TTACTATACAAACAATTGTGCAAGTGAAATGATAATCAAAATAACTAAATATATATTATCAGGACCAATTTGTTAGCTGATTTCTTCTTCTCAAATTTATGCTGTACACCTTCAAATTTTAATATTACACTAACATACATTAACAGACTGGTTCTGTGGTAATATACTATTATCAAAATACAGAATAATGTTGTTTTTTTGGTTTATTTTCTACTGGTAATTTAATTTTCTAAATACTTCTAAGATTGTGCTCATTTAATCTACTGTTTGTGCTGTAAATTGCAAGATGTTCTGTTTGAGATCTTTCACAGCATTTGGCTTCCATGTTTACAGATAAATGTTTACTGTCATTTGGCCAAGTGACGTTCAGATGGGGGGCTAAATGACACTATCCATTCGTCTGTGACTATTTATCATAGCGTTGTTAAATAAAAAGAGGTACTGTGTTATTCTAGGGCATTGTTTGTTATAGTCTAATACTTGTTGACTCTAACCTATATCCTGATAGATATTGTTAAATGTCTGTTAGGTAGAGCCAGAAAATATATTCAAAGATATTCTGAAGTTCATTCATTTTTTTCCCTCAGACTATTTCTTGAAAAAATTTTAGAATGAAAAATTATCTGGTCATTTGCGTTATTTAATTTTGCTTATTTTACTTAGTCATAATGTCTTTAGTTTCCAGGGTAAGAATCAACAAGTTTTAGACTATATTGTTGTGTATATTAGAAAGATTTGTTTTAAAGCATGATATATATGTATAAGTTATTCAATATAGTTCATATAAGCATATCATATTTATAGTCAATATGTCAATCAGTCTGAAATCCAGGTTGAAATTATGAGTATTTGGGCTGTGTGTTTATTATAACTTCAACGTTTCAAATGAACCCTTCTTTACAACCTTTGTTCATTTTGTGTGGATTAAGGACTTACTACTAATTATTTCTGAATCTGTCCTTTGAGAGGAAATTCAACAAATTTTGATTCAAATTGTTTTTGTTTCACAAATATTTTGCATATATCTTACGACTTTTTAAAGGTTTACTATTTTAGCTACTCCTATGTGATACTTTGCGTTTCTGAGGATTATCCATGAAAATATTGTAATTTTTGTGATTTTCCTGTTTTTCTATTTTGATCTTTAATTTTTTCAACTGTCAATCATGAGAATGAGAAATTCATTACAATCACTTTAAATAAATTTAAATAACATCATTTTTTTAAAACAAACATTTCCTCAAAACATCCAATATTGATTTTATTTCTATAATCATTGATTTAGTTAAGACTTTATACATTAAAATGTCCTAATGAAGAAAATCATTAGTTTGTTAGAGAAACAGGCATAAGATTAGATTATTTGGCACTGTCATCACTCATCCAGGATCAATATAGTTTGTGTTGATAATTTGAAGTAAAAATTTACAACAGTCCATATGTTAAGTTGAATCCTTTATTTGCCTGTTTTAAGCTTTTCTCTTGTCCATACAATTAAAATCTTTTTGAAGCAGAATAAGATGTCACCAATAATAAATAATCACTAATTTAAAGTAGAATCTATATTTACTTTTCTTATGTAACAATTGTTTTATTATGTGCCTTAAGGTCTTCACTTATAATAATCTGTAGTATGTATTTTAAGTAAGAATAATTCAACAATTGCTACCTATACTCTCTATTTTCAAAATAGAATAAGACTTCGATATTAAGAAAATTTGGTTAGGAAAATAAACAAAAAACCAGTAGAATTGGTCAACGGGTTGGTAGAGTGGTGGACACCTTGCAAAATCATTAGAAACCGATAACATCGGTAGATTACTCACTAAGTTCATGTTCAAAATACACAGTATTTGATTGTTAGACCCAATGAATAGTATTATAAGTGTCATTATGACAATATCTTCTTCATTCCAATTCAAATGTTTTGTTAATGCCATAAGGACAAACTTTTGGATTTACAAAATAAACTTAAAATAAGAATATAAAATCCCACCTTTCCTTTAAAACTTGCCATTTAAAGCCCACTGTATTATGTTGAAAATTTTAACATAATTTGTAGAAACTAATGAAATGCATGTTATTATTTGATGTTATAATAGTTATATTGTTTATTATTATTATTTATTGTTAATATTATGTTATTTTCTTGTTATTATAAGATATTATTTAGTATAAGACTATCAAATACGTCTTAAATACTTGCTTGATTCAAAAGCTTATGATATCTTCCATTTAACATGTCAAAACAACTTTTTTTTAATTGATAAATAAGATTTAAAAAATTAAATTCTTTGTTTTTGTATTGAAAATGCACATTGGATTTTTGCTGGACATTGTCAATTCCTGGTTTTGAAAAAATTACATGTGTCCTTTTACTGTTACTGCTTATTCCCCAGGTTTGCAATAACAAATTCATTTTACAGTTTGAACCTCATTTACAAGGATATTTTAACCTGTGCCAAATCGGTCATCATCAATAAGAGCCTTATAGTATAATAACAACTTGTATAATTTAATTAATTTGACAACAAGTAGCTACAGCTTTCACTCCTTCTTCTCCAGGAAATTTATCACCACCATTTTTAGCATTACACCAATCTTCATTGTTTACAGCTGAAATATTGACATGAATTGGTCATACCCTCTCTGAATATGTTATTTTTGATTATAAGTCGGGACAGAGTAATACTTAATGTTGTTATGAAGCTCCTTTTAACATGTTTAACATTATATTTGTTTGATGTATTAAGCTCTATTTTAACAGTGAAAATTTGTTGCTATTGTAAATCCTCGTTATGTCTAATTAGTAAACATAAGGATGGTTCACAATTTATATGTTAATAACATCTCCAATTGAAAATGAATTCATACCAGCTTAAACATACCTCTGATATATGCACCGGCAACTTTACCATACTGAGAGAAAGCACTACAACCTGTTAGAGTCCATCCAGTCTTGCATTTAACCTTACTTTCATTGCCTTTTAACAAATCACTAGGTTGAGACCACTGCACTTCACATTTTAACTTGGGGGCCTTACAGCAGCTACCATATGCAAAGATACCTAGAATGAATACATTGTCATATATTTACACGAAAATATGAATGAGTTTTTAGTAAGTTTTCATGCCAAGCTTACACAGAAACGTGACTTAAAGAGTTGTGTTACCAGATATGCAAATACGTGATATTTGTCCAACGATACTAGATTCTTGCATATTTATGGATAAAAAACATACAAAGAAAATATGTAAACTAACCGTGTTCTGTACCATCATTCTGAGCTACACAAGTTTTGTTAGACGGAAAGGCACCGTCCATGTGTGATACCCATGTATAGGCACCGCATCCTAAAACAGAAGGAAAGATCGTGGAAAGGGCTATAATACCACTTCTTTAAGGACAAAATAGAACGAAAGAAACAATTTTATTATCAAGAATTATTTTTCCAGTGGATCCTTTGAACCCGATGATTTTCGTACTAACTTCTTAGATATCTTAAAATAACCCATAGCTTGACTTATTCGATGTCACCAGATTTTCAGACGCCAAAACTTCATACATTATCTCAACATGTTTGGAAAGATCGCACTAAATGGGTTGCGGAATGTTTGCGGCCACTACAACTAAAAAATTATTTTAGACATAGATTCGAACCATCCACTTGTATCAAACCTACCCATTGGATATTCATCTGCCTTACAAGTTACTGTTGATTCATCGTCTATTCCTATACCAGATGGACCAGACGTTTTATATGAACATTGTAACCCATCAACTTTACAGCATCTAGCATAAGCCTGAACAGCTGAAACATTAGAAGGTAAATAATTATCTACATCCTACATTCTACTACAAGAACGTTTATGGAATGAAGTGGAGAAGTTTAGTCTACCCCAAAAAGTGTCATTATGATATAACCATAGTGGCAAGAAAACAACCGCCACGAGTCATGACATCATCAATGCTAGGCTACTTACGAGCGTAAGATCTGAAACCATTGACTGATATACATTTACTTTGTCCACCATCTAAACTAATCATATCGCCATCTTTATGCCAATCACCATTCTGTAAAAGATCAGACTTCAAGCTGTAAAGCAATACGTCACTGTATGATAGTTGTCGTTTTCGTTCAAGTCATGGAGGGAATTGGGCCATCGGGGGTCAAGGAAGTTACATGCGTCTGTGGTGATCACAGGTCCACTATAATCTAAGTCACGAATAAATTATCTTTGGAAGCTAATGCAAATTTGGACTTTTCACCTTTTAAGGTTTAAGATTGTTCGCAAAATCTTGTACCTTTTGATAAGTAGTACAGCTAGTTAACAGCATATCATCTGGACATTGTGTGGAAACTTTCTTATCATCGCCAATCTCAGAAAATGCTGAAACTCGGGTCTCACAAGTTAACTTACTGCCCGCTCCTGCTTTAACTATTTTAGTGCCAATAATACGTTCTGATTTATGAGTGGCATGTGGATGTGGTTTAACATGTTGGAACGGATTCAGTGAAGTTGGTAGCTTTATCTCCCCTGAAAAGACAACGTCAGGTGTCGAGTCCTGCTATTTAATAAACTTCCATTGCCATACCCGATGAGAAAGGACGTTTCAGGTCGTAGAATTCTTTTAATAATATTAATACTCATGAAAAGGAATGATTACTTTCAAATAGTGATCTCAGAATGGATGATTCTGAACATCAAATTTCCACCAGCAGACATTGGGTAGGCTTAACAATGAAAGTTCACAACGCTCATCAACTTCCAATACCTTCTGCATTCAGTCATATTACATCACTCCAAAACAAAGAAATCGAATTTAAGTATATATTTTATACTTATTGAATGTCATCATCACATTCCAATGTAGGCCTACCATCTGTTACCACGATGCATCACAAATTCTCTGTGCTTGGCAGTTGATGCGTTTGTCATTGGTTATAATTGCAATAACCTTTCTGTAGTCATTTCAAATGTAATTTTGGTATATCCGTCTACCGACTCAATGGTAAGACATTGAAACTAACTAGCCATACCCTGGAAGACTGGAGATAAAAAATACCTGGATTGTCTGGTATAGTTACAATAACGTCTTTATGTAAAGCCAATGTAAACGTTTGATATTGTATTGGTTTTCCTTTATATCGTACAATTAACTCATAGTCACCCATAAATGCTCTCTCAGATATACTGGAACCATTACTTAGATTATGTGTAATATGCGTGGCCCATTCCTTCTTGATAAGATGTAAATAGCGTTTACCAGCTTCATTGACCTAGAAATAAGATTTTTATTTTTCAAAATTTGGTCGAGAGGTGTTGTTATGATATGTAATTGAAATTGCGAGGAGAAAAGTTCATTAACATTAATTATTGTTATTTGCAGAAAAATGAACATGAATATATATGGTATATCATAAAAAGAGTTTGCTGTGACCAACATCTGCTTGAATAAAGCATAAATCTGTTTGCACAGAATGACAATCACCTTTCCAGAAGGGTGATTATTCCCTTTAAAATGATTTTATCAACTAGTAATTGTTGAAATGGAAGTAATTGCCAAAAAAAGTATTTACCTAAATCCGGTATCGCCTTTTGTTAAATTGACCCTTTAAAACTACGTATACGACCGAAAAACATGGCCTCCAAAGAACTAATATTCACTTACATAATAGTTGAAACCATTAACCAGAGCAGCATACGGACTCTTCATATTGTGATCCCAAAACCCCCAGAAAATAACACCATGTACCGCTGGATGACTAAAATACATTCTTAAAGCATCTTCATACCAATCAGCTCGTGCCTTTTCATTCTTCACTTCCAGATCTAATTCTGTTATCCACAATGGTAGACCAATCAGAGCCAGTTTATCAAGATGTTTCTATTTAAAAAAAGATAATTTTTATCATTTATCAAATACACATATTGATTTGGTTGGATTTAGCACCAACCTCAACCCTCGTCCCCAACGCCTTAACGGAGAGCAATAGCTCAACTACCATGAGGAATAATGGTATAGCAGAATAGCAGATTTCACAATGTCATAACATGCGTTCGCGATGTAAGGTGAAAGAAAATGAACAAACCTTGAGTAATGTGGGATCCGGTTGGGTATATGCTCTAAAATGGCTTTGTAATCCGATACCACCTAGACCAGTCTTATCAGCTTCAAAACCAAGAGCTTGATCTACATAAGACTGTAAATATAGATATGCTGATCGGACCACAGAAGACAGTCATTGGAATAAGAACAGGTTTCGTGTCAGATTTCTTTGGCGCGGAGTACTTTTCTGAAAGCGTTTTATAAAGCTAACGTACACATTCCTCGGTCCGGTTGATGATTGTTGCATATTGATGTTTGATACGTATTATGTGACAGCTGAAATGTTTTCTTTTAAGTGCAATCTTAATGCGAATGGGACATTAACGACTGATAGAAAACTGTGGTTAAATCTCTGACCTTAACTGTTACACGAAACCTCATATCACCTTATCAGTGGTATATGGCCGTTGGTGATTGCTTGTCCATTATTGATGTCTTTCCCAAAAACACATAGAGTCGCTCAAGTAAACTTACATCCGTCTCTGAACCCATAGAGAGTACATCGTAATCATTGAGAAATAATCTAGCATGTGGATCAGCTTCATGAACAGCTTTATATAAGTTCTGAGAATAAAAAGGATCACCAGTCGTCTCTTCAAAATATTGACCATGTAATAATTCATTATTAACATCCCAGTGCTCCAAACTGGAAAATAATATGTATATAGTTAAATGTCGAGCTGCTTGAACTCAATTCATCTTCAAAATGAAAGTCCTCAATCGGGTTCGTCAGCAATGACACAATTAAAAGCATTGGCGTTCAGATATTGTCTGGTCTGGAGAACTATCGCCGATTTTATTACTTACTCGATCAAACCTGACCGATGGATCCCGAAGAACAAGAAACTACAACCAACCACACAGATAGTTGTTTAGTTTACAATTCCTGGTCAGAGAAATACTATTGTCTGTCACTGAAGTTTTTCAATAGTTATCCCATTAACCATTGTTTTATGATGGTTTTAATATAGAAATTTCTAGACTGAGTCAAAGGATTAAACGTGGAACTAATATCTAAAATTTAGTTATAAGAATGAAGAACACATTTTAAATCCATTGAAAACATAGGTCTTCTTCACGTTACTTACTTTCCTTTGGTTAAGCCAGTAATAAATTTAATTCTTTCATGAATAGTTTTATTCAATTGGTTGCCATCCAGTTTTTTAACCCAATCTGGAACATTGTTAGGTACTCCCCAAAACATATTGTGTCCTCTAACTTTCATTCTAAATATATACAATATGGACAATTATTATTTACCTTTACATGATTTCAACAAGCACTAAATCTCGATTAATTTTTCTCGGATATGCTTGAAACCTTAAAGGGACAGATGCACCATTTTTATGGACTAATCATACTTTAGTCTCAGAAACGGGAATTTTTTCAGCTTAGTCAATCAGTAATAGTGTTCAAATCCATGTGTGTCCAGATTTATCCGTGTTCGAATGTTAAAAATTAAAATTTTACCCATTTTTGTTTAATTCATTCATGCAGTTTACGGCAAAACTATAGTCCGGATTATCCTGAAAATTGTACAATACTGCTAGTAAATACAACAGATTCTTCATGTGAAGACAGTAGTCATCAGAATTTCCCTAAAGGCGAGGAAATTCACTGTGTACTAGTAGGCCTACTTGGATATATCTAAAACTTCATCGATATCATGTGTGTAAATTCATAGAGATTCAAAATAGTTTTTATAGATTTTATTTGGATATTGCGAATACATATATATATCCCCTGGAATATCCCTTTTTTTAGCTGTGGTTCTTGTAATTCCAGAAAGAAAAACATTACGACGATACTAATGGAAATGTATATCAATGAAATTGGAACATCGGGGTTTTCCTTTCATAATAAGAACCAATGACAGCGGACAAAAAAGGGCAGAAAAAATTTAAATGTACTCGATAATCTAATTAAAAAATCATATTTAGTAACTATTACACCATACATACCGGTGTGCCTCTGGCGTATTTCCATTTAAAAGTACCAACAGTTGCCCAGTTAAACATGTGATAGAAGAATTGCTGATACTGTTTATAATCTGGGTTGGTTATATAAGTATCATCAGCTAATGATCCGAATCCAAACAAATGTTTCTTGTGGTTTATCTAAAATTTATAATACGTCAATGTCAAGTTTTAACAAACTTTAAAGGCTGCAATGGCATGAAAGAAAATACTGAATGTTTTCGTAATAGACGATAAAAAAAAGTCAAACTAAAGGGCCCATCAAAGCAAGTAAGTAAAAAGGGAATCAAAAATAAAGTACAGGACTAACCTCAATTTCTATGTCATTTGGATTCATTGTTGTAGGATGTTTTACACTGAAAAAGATGTAAAATACAGTTTAAGAGAAAAATATTGAGCAGTGTATATAGTCAAAAATAAGTATTTAGGTGCGTGATGTTCATTACTTTCTCTTAATAACTGTACATAGCTTAGACAACGTGCAAAATGCCACAATATAAACAGTGTTTATTTGTTGATTAAATATATGCAATGCTGTATCTAACATCCACTTTGGGTAACTATTGCCTTTTGCCATTGGAGTTAAAAGTGACCGTTTGGGTTGCATAATGTATGTTACAAACAGAAATGATTTTCTTTGTATAGAACGAAAATCTAAAATGATACTGTAGAGAAGAAAATCATGTATTCAGATGTATCTTACTTGACATTTAAATCTCCTTTTCTATGCCTTTCTATCCTGGAATTGGCATCGGTCTTCCAATTGACATCCTCGGGAACCATTTTTAAAGAAGCACCATCAACAATATAATCTATTCCAGGATCAACACCTTGCCAATATAAACTTACTTTACTCCATGCTAAGAAATCATGAAACATGAAAAATATTTATACTTGAGAGCTCTTAAATTAGTTCAACAAAAAACATAATGTCAAAATATTTTACGTTAAGGCCACATTTTGGTTTCTAGCTTGTATCCAGAAACTGAGTACATTTATAATATTACCAAAATATTTTTACTTTGCCATTGAATGGGCCTTTGGTATTAAGAAACTCAAACAGAACAAGTTTGGCGTTATTGCAACCAAAATAGTACGGATAATGAATGAATTAATACAAACGTCTTTGAGGTGCATTAAAATCTCCAGCTAACTTGTACCAACCACCTTTTGAAGTAGCAAAAGAGTGACCAGCGATATCATAGTAATCCGTTTTACCTGAAATTCAATAACATGATCTATTTTCCGATGGAAATAAAAGCCACATTTTATGTGTCTTACCAAAGCCGCGAATAGACGAGGTACGGTGTCCGGTGAGATGGACGGTGTGGGATGATCGATACAAACGAAAATAGAAGTGAACTCACGAGGTACGGGTCCGGACAAGGTGCGGACACGATTTGTTTCTTCTATTTTCTACTGTATCGACAATACCTCGTCTATTCGCACCTCAGGTCAAGCGCATTAACTCAAACTCTATCGAGATTTCATCAATGTACATGTACACCGCGTTTTCCCAAATTCGGACAAATACATGTCTATAATTTTGGAGGCGTCGGATAGCCCTACACTTACCGTCATCCGCCCAGGTATAAGACAATGTTATTTTCATGCGTTGAAACATTTTGCCAGGTATATCGTTTAAATGCTTGACATACGATGTAAAAGAATATATTCCATTTTGTATAATCTTCGATGATATCTCTTGGCTGGGACCTTGGTAATAGTGTGTCCTAAATTATAATAGAATAGATGTCTGATTTATCATAGTTTACAGAGATATCAACGAAACCTACTTGACAGAGGGACATGTGTATCAACCAACGAACCTAATTGACTGAGAGATGTGTGCGTATCAACCGACGAAACCTAAATGACAGAGAGATGTGTGCGTATCAATCGACGAAGCCTAATTGGCAGAGAGATGTATGCGTATCAACCGACGAACCTAATTGACAGAGAGATGTGTGTGTATCAACCGACGAAAGCTAATTGACAGAGAGATGTGTGCGTATCAACCGACGAAATCTAATAGACAGAGAGATCTGTGCGTATCAACCGACGAAATCTAATTGACAGAGAGATCTGTGCGTATCAACCGACGAAACCTAAATGACAGAGAGATGTGTGCGTATCAACCGACGAAATCTAATAGACAGAGAGATCTGTGCGTATCAACCGACGAAATCTAATTGACAGAGAGATGTGTGCGTATCAACCGACGAAATCTAATAAACAGAGAGATCTGTGCGTATCAACCGACGAAATCTAATTGACAGAGAGATGTGTGCGTATCAACCGACGAAATCTAATAGACAGAGAGATCTGTGCGTATCAACCGACGAAATCTAATTGACAGAGAAATGTGTGCGTATCAACCGACGAAATCTAATTGACAGAGAGATCTGTGCGTATCAACCAACGAAACCTAATTGACAGAGAGATGTGTGCGTATCAACCGACGAAAACTAATTGACAGAGAGATGTGTGCGTATCAACCGACGAAGCCTAATTGACAGGGAGACGCGTGCATATCAACCAACGAAACTTAATTGACAGGGAGACGCGTGCATATCAACGGGCGAAACATAATTGAATGAGAGATGTATCCGTATCAACGAACAAAACATAGGTCCTAACACCATGTTTGCCTGAACAAAATGTCATATTATCATTGATAAAACTGGTTTATACCAGTGATCCAAAACTTTAAAACAACATTTAAGAGTTCCGACCTGTTGGTACATTTCAAAGCCTGGTTTCCCTCCTGAACGTCATCAGTTACCAGACGAACCACAAATCCCCACGTATCCCATGGTGATGTATCAGAACCTTCAAATCCACCATTCAGTAACAGTTCCCCATTTAGAAATCCACAAAATAAGGCTGCGAAAAGCAAAATGATCTTCATTCTGTAACTTTATGAAATCACTTTGAAACCAATGCCATTTTCTCACCAGTAAAAACTCTAGACTTTATTAAGATTGAGATTTTGATCTGATAAAACAGTCGAGATAAGAAGTTGAGATAAGAATTGAGATAAAATACATGCAAATACAGTCCACAAACTCCGCTATATTTTTTCTGAAGCAAATCACTGTTAAAAGCGTTTCGGTGCTGTATAAGCCAATCTTGGAACCTTACCACAGCTACGCCCGAGTTTCTTCAACCTGTAAACTCAATGTCCTTATAGAGTCCACGTACGTGCTGTAAACAGTAAATTTTCGGGCGAACATTATCAAACACGCTTGATGTTAGCGAATGGCTTCGGCCAATGATCGGGCGAATGTCGTAGCACTGTGAACGCACTGGGCGGAGTTCGCTGGCGATCGACTCACCTGAACCATTCGCCGTGAAAATTGGTTAAATCTGTCCGCGGGACCTATTAAACATGTCTAAATGTCGTTCAAGGATTATGTTTTTTTACATGTTACGTAGGCTATCATTTTGTCTTCACAATAATATGTCGAGTTGCCACCAGATGTTTCTAAAATTTTACTTATCACCTGTTTTGCCTCATACTATTTTGTTTGTAGTATTATATACAGCAATGACAGGTGTGGTGTAAGGCAGAGTATGCTAACTCTTCTAACACTTCATGCCATTTTTTATTATAGAATGCAGCCTCGTTGTTGCGGTTAACATTTTTGCCATAATCATATAACTTATATGATTAACTCCTTGAACTGTTAAAATTGAATGAAATTACTTCCACCAGGTATCTCCCTTGAACATTTGAAATTGGTTTTTGCCTCCCTGTTTGTCGTGTTTGTTGTATGTTGAGCAACAATGCTGGGTGTGCCGCCAGGTTAAACTTAGGCATATACTTCTAGACATCTGATATTACTTTTCATTATGAAATACTTACTCACTTACGATTGGTATAAATCCTCATGTGAAAAATTGATGCGCTACTTTATTTCTGTACAAAGTTAAAATTGGAAAGAGGTAAGCCTACAATGGCTAGTCCTACATATAGGCCTTACCTAAGTGCTGTTGGCGCCTAAAGTTCATTAGCTGCTAACAATGAGTTATATAACTTATTATATTACTCTGTGGCTGCTATCAATGTTTCGCCATTAAATGTTTTGGGATTTCGGGTTACGTTTTGTGGTTCGGACCGCTTGGTTTAATCTTACAAGGGTACATGATATATTTGAGCGATCTTCATTGTAGCCTATAATCATTAATTGATACATTCATTAAATATTTTTTAATATTCGAATGTATCAATTCAAGTTCTACTTGACAAACTTTAAATATAACCCAGACTGAAATAGGTCAATAATAGGGCATACTAAATATTTTTTTTATATAAAAATTTTAGTGTTCCCTATTCAAATAAAGTAGGCCTATATTATTTATATATAACCTCTATATGAATTTATAATCCATATAACATATAGGCCTAAATTTGGGAGAGTAGTGTTTGGGAGGTAAGTCACACTCAAGCAAGATGGATCAAGACAACTGATTGCTTGTTAAAAATAGATTCAAACGGTCTACCATAAAAGTTCACGGAAATGGCCGAGAATTGCCGAATGAGAACTGAAGCGTGAATGCTATTTCCGTTTTAGATAAATTGATGAAGTATAGTATAGTATGCTCTGCAAATTATGCCCTTGTGTAATTAAAGAAGTATTGAGACGACAAAGAAACAACAAATACTTGTAAATTCTATGTTCAACAAGAAGTCAGGTTAGTAGGTCTATTTAGATATACATGTGTAATGGAAGCTAAGCCGAAATTTCCAGTACCGGTATATTGGACAACGATGAGTGATAGGCTTGTCTTGTAGTTGTACATCATAGGCCTAATAATAGGCTACTAGTACTATAATGATAAGTGTACTTACACCATTTTATCACTCAATTGCATCAATTTATTGTCCAATTCTTTCCCTCTGATAGTCTGATGCATTGCTAAAAATAGATAGAAAATAATTGTGATGTATCAGCAAGATTATTAATAAACTCTGTTAAATAACAAATGACACAGAATTCTCTCTATATAATAATAATATAGTAATTGTGTCATGAATTGATTTTTATGTATAATTTTTACATTAAGATTTGTAAAAAATCAATTCAGACTTATTAAAAAATTTAGAAATGTCTTTCACAATTCTGTACTTCTAAATGCCTATGTTTTATGTTTATTTCATGTGAAATAGTGACAATAACTGATATAAATCTAAAAATGTCTACTATTTTTTCTCTTTCCTTATCTAATAAATGAATCATGATTATTATTGCATTAAATCGTAGCATTGGATGAGTATTGCTTAGTGTATCGAATTGGAAGAATCGTTGCAGGAGGAGTTCAGAAAATTAGATCAATATATTGCATGTTCATATAGGAGATACCTTAATAAACAAGGCTTACTCTGGACTGGCACAAATTGAAAAAAAAACAAAATTTGCAAGAATAAGGTAACAGCATACATCTTATTTAAACACTGCTCTTATTCTAGATATCTATCTAATTGGTGTGCAGCTTTTTATTCATAGAGACCTTGATATCCTGAATTTTTTTGGACATTAGATTGAAAAGTCTAGAATTATTGTTATATGAAACTTAGATCTACTCCTAATGAACTGTATTTAAATAAACAGATGTGCCATTTTTTTTGACCAATCATACTTTTGTCTCAGGAACAGAATTGTTTTAACTAAGCCAATCAGTAATAGTGTTCACAGCTCAATTTCAATGGTGTCACCCCCACCCCAGCAAAGAGACTGGCCCGGGTATGGTCCCCGCTTTCAAATTTTTTATCATTTTACATTGTGAAAGAATGACTTGTGGCCCCCCTGAAAAATATTGTGGCCCCAAGTCAGTTTCCTCACCTGATGTTTTCTAGAAACTCCATTGCTCACTGTCTAATTTTGAGCCTTCAAATCCACGTGTCCAGAATTATCAGTGTTTGTTAACTGTATTCAAAGTAATCAATGACGAAGGAAAATTTTGAATAATTTCTAGTGTCAGAAATTCTAATCTTTTGTAGAAAAAGTCTGATATCAAAAGTTTTATGGGGCATAAGAAAGGAAACCTTCCTCATGAAAGGTCACACATATAAAAATGTCAGTTCAAATTAACTAATACATGTAATGTCTTATTCCTTATTAGTTGATAGAGTTAATAGGTATGATAGGAATTCAATACTGATTAAGGCTTTATAGAATACTCTACTAGCAAATTATTTCATTATACTTTACTAGTCATAACTGTATTGTTCCCTCACAGCAGCCTCTTTCTTCAATGTTTATTATCACATGAACCCTATTGGAAATGAAAAAAAATATTTAATTTAAATTATTACCCTTGTTCTTGAAAATTTGTTCAATATTTAGCTTGTAAAACTCTACAAAACACAATTCTCAAGGGATTTTGACAAAGTTATTACCTTTGTTCACAGAAACACGATCTACAAAAGGATTGAATATGTCATACTAGTGGTAGTTATTTAATCTTATCTTAGTTAAATTTTCTATTATAACCAACCCATGCTGAAGTGGGCGTATTTGGACATGATCCACTATCTTGTTTACAACCCTTGTTCATCAGAGGGTGTAAAGAGGCACAATTTGTGATGAAATGAATAGAAAGGTGATATTGTTTATTATTATTTAATGATATGAACCTTATCTTACATTAAGAACCTTGAAAAATAGTTTACACGAGTTATTGCCCTTGTTCTTTGATTTTTAGCTTTTGTTCACTCATACATGTTTATGGAAATGAGTTTGACTAACAGTCACATATTTTTTTCAGTTTGTAAAGAAACATAGTGGAATTGTTAGTGTTATTACTCATTTTATACACCTTACATGATAAAATATGTTCATCAGTGGACTTGTGCCCAGTGTCATATATAACTGAATCTCTGATTTCTGAAAAATCAAAAATACTATGTAAATATTGAAAAAAGCTTCAACACTTATTTTTCAATAATCACAATAATTTTTTTTTATGATGGATTTGTAGCATTTTAAAAGGATCCTGGTGAATAATTTTGACATTAAGTAGGTCCACAAATGAATATATACTGATATTCTATGATGAATATAATACACAGGTTAATATTATTATCCAATTCAATTTTGTCTTCATTCTAAGAGGTAACAAGTTGATGATTTTCTGCCTAATGTCTTAAATCAAACAAAGCTGTAAGATACAAGCTTATTTTTTCATAAGCTTGATGATGCTATAAACACATTATTGCATAGCTAACCTGTAACTTTGTAGGGGTTTACTATGACTCTTCAAGTTTTGAGACATTGATTAACTATGCTTGAGGGTTCTACTCTGCTCTGGAACCAGTTGTGAAGGTAAAAAGTCATGGTATTGTAAAGACTTCTTCTTCTGACTTCATTCAGATAAAAGAAATGAAAAGGAATTAATTGAAGTATGTTTTTATATTTTACAGATAAATGGAAGAAAATAATCTAGAGAGAAGTTCCTGAAGTTAAAATGGACTGTCCTGATTCTGATGATGTAGAAAGTTGTCATCCAGATTCATCTGATTTTGAAGATGAAAGTGATGATGAGAGTCGAGATAAAAATAGAGCTGTTACAGTTGAGAATCTGGCTGAAGATAGAATATCTCTTTCACTGAAAATCAAAGCCACTCTGTCAAAAAAATATGGAAAAAATGGGACAGAGCATGTAACCTCCTCAAAAGAAGTGTCAACAATTTTAAAGGCTAGCGATGTTCCCGAAGAAGGTATTGACAAAGCAGGTGGTAGCAGTGAACAAAATAAGGGAACAGACAAAAATTCGAAAATCAAAGCCACTCCGCTTTGTGCACCTGAAGATTTATCTACTGACAAAGAAGGGGATGTGACATCCAAGACCCTAATGGACGTTGAAGTAAATGGAGATGCTAATGATAACCCTATACAGGATGAACAATTATCAATCAAACCAGTACCACAGATCATCGATCAGGATTCAAGTGGTTTTGCCCCTCCAAATTGTAATATTGCTGAACTGATCAACAAAATTGTCTCCACAGCCTACAAATGTACAGAATGTGATATAGATTTAAGTAATTATAAAGAATGGAAAAATCATTTAAAAATGCACAATATAGATGTGTCAAATCTAACAGAAGAAGAAAGAAAGAGTCTTGGAGAATGTATACCTGAGTTTAACTGTGTTATATGTGGTTGGAAGGGCAAAAGAAAAGGGGGTCTTCAGGTTCATTTAAGATCTCATGAAAATGACGTGACATGTGATGTATGTGGAATAATGTTTAAGAAAGTTAAAGAACTCAAAATTCACATGAGATATCATGATTTTACTGAACATCAATGTCATATCTGTAAGAAATCGTTTCCAGACAACAACAGTTTAGTTCGTCACATAGCAACACACACTACAGAGAAATTGAAAAGAGATAGACATGAACTTTTGTGTGAAATATGTAGTAGGATGTTCCACGCTCCTAACCTTCTTGCTATTCATTTAAAAACTCATAAGAAAATATCAGGTTTTCGTTGTGAGAATTGTGACATAACATTTAAAAAAAGGTCTTTGTATGCTAATCATTTAAAGAATATCCACAATGATATTAAAGACAGTTTTGTTTGTCGTGTTTGTAAAATCCAGCTTGACACTAAGGATGATTTGAATGAACACATGAAGGAGCACATAGGTGAGCAATCTTTTAGGTTGAAGAACGAAAACGCGTTGAAGTTCAGAAAAACTATTTTCAAGTGTACACAGTGTGATAAGGTTTTTAAAAGAAAATCTCAATTTACTGTTCATATGATGATACATACTGGAGAAAAGCCATACATATGTGATGTTTGTGGCATAGGGTTTAGAGTGTCAGGTTCACTGAAAAAACACCAATACGTTCACAGTGGTTCTAAACCACTTAAATGCCGACATTGTGGAAAATGTTTTGCATATAATTCTTCTTTATTTCGTCACATGCTTCTCCATAATGATGAAAAACCTTATGTTTGTAAGACTTGTGGTAAAGGATTCCGAGCTTCCTCTTATTTAAAATCGCATCAACGTGTGCATGGTTTTGATGGAGATAATGATCCAGGAAAAACTTCTTGTTCAATATGTCATAAGCAATACCGTTTTATTGATAACCATATGAAAAGACATTTTAAAAACCAACCATTTAAACCAAAATCTTTTTCAAGAGACTTACGTGCATCAACATCTTCTATCCCTAAGATTCGAAGTTTACCGCCTCCAGAAGCCACATCTGTAGCATCAAATTGCAATAAGCCTGAACTCATAAAAACATCGCAAATAATCAATTCTAATGAACCAATTTCATTTCCTGTGAATAATTCTAGTACATTTATAAAGGACCTTGGTGTTGCTTCTAAATCCACTTTTGGAGAAAGTTCACATGATATGACTATTGAGTTTTCTAGAGAGTTGGCAGCAGTTTCCAAGAATATAAACAAATCTTCTAGTCAAGATATTTCTGATGATGATTCTGGATTATTAATTGGATTTGATGATGATGATGATGATGACAATTCTGTCACTTCTCATGGGTTTGTCTCTTTGACGGGGAAGTCTGATGATAGTACAAACAGTCTGCATTCTGATCTTCACACACCTGAACCTCATAGTGAACAAGATGAAAACCCTGAAGACACCAATACAAATCATACACCAGATACAAAGAATGATTTTGACAAAACCCAAGAAGAAGCTGATCAGGGTAAAACGATTCATACCAAGCTTTGCCAAGATATCTGTGAAGATTCAGAGATGCTTGAAAATACACTCAAATCTACTATTAAGAAAATCGATATGGGTATTGAAGCAGAAATATCAGAAAAGCCAGTAGAAGGTTGTGGAAGGAAATTGCGGAGTTTAACGAGAACGAAATTGAAACTGGATGAAAATGTTAATGAACAAATAAAAAACAAGACGCATGAAAATACAGAGGTACCCTCCATCGAGGAAACAGATTTTGATGAAGGTGAGGATGACCATACTGAAGATGATTCAATGCTTCAAAATGTCATTTCACATCTTGATAACCTAATAGAAGAAATTAGTAATGATGAAAGTAAAAAGGATGACACCGCTAACTATGAGGTAACGAAACCCAAAAAACGTGGAAAAAATCAGCTTATCACATGTGATGTTTGTGGTGATGGATTTAAAACCACTTTATCTTATGAGGCTCATCTTCAAATTCACAGCACTTCTGATATATTACCCAAGGATGTAATATGGGATTTTTTCGAAAGTAAAAATGGAATTTATTTTTGTAAAAAATGTGATAAAAAATGCAAAACTAAAGGCACAGCCTTTGTACATTCGAAATTCCATTTAGGTATTGCTCCCTTCACCTGTGAAATTTGTGACGAAACCTTCCAACTTGCAGTTTCATTAAAAAAACATTATCTTTGTCATGGTACCTACAAACGCTTTAAATGTAAATATTGTGATAGAGGATTTAATTTGTCTTCTCGTCTTAAAAGGCATTTACTAACGCATGAGAACGCCAGAAATTATATGTGTGATACTTGTGGAGGTAAATTTAATACTCCTGGTTATTTAAGGGAACATATGAAAATCCATGGAAGCTCTGGTGAAGAAAGAAACAGAAAACAGAGAAATCGGTATAAAGCTAGAGAAAAACGCCAGTGTCCAGTCTGTGGAAAAGTCGTTAAGGAACTGGAAACTCATCTAAAAAATCACAAAAAAGAAAGAAATTACCAATGTTCTTATTGTGATAAAGCATTTGTTTCTTCTAAGACATTACACAAACATTCCAAAGTACATACGGGGATTAAAAAGTTCATTTGTCAATATGCATCTTGTGGCAAAGCTTTTTTACACAACTCCGATTTGAATCGTCATGAAATGATTCATGAAAAACGTAAGACCTTTAATTCTTTAAAATGTGGTTATTGTGTTGCTGTATACAGTAATGAAACTGATCTAAAAAAGCATTTAAAATTACATAAAAGTAGTAAATGGTCATGCGATATTTGTAACCGAGTATTTGAAAAACAAAACAAGTTGATATCACATGCTTCAGTACATACTCGAGAAAAACCTCATAAATGTAACCTTTGCACCGCAGCTTTTACTCAGAAGGGAACGTTGCAAAGACACATGAGGGAGCGCCATTCTCCAAAAATTATACTTTAGAGAAATATAAAATTCGTATATATATTGTTTAAAAATACAGTTGATTTTTACTACTTTTTGAAACAAATAATCAGTGTTTTTTTTTACCAAACTCATTTATACATTTTATATACGATGGTATCAAATAAGGGGTCTGCTGTTATGTATCGTTTCAGATGAAAAGCTAAAAGTAGTGGACGATACTGGGAAACATTAGGTGAGGGGGGAGTGCGAACAGGGACCACAAAACAATCCAGGAGGGGTAGGGTAAACTATTAGAATTTTGAAAGTGGGCGATAGTGACTGCTACAAAGTTATCAGACAGGGTAGAATTTCAGTTTGTTGGGACAAATAAGACTTATCCTTAAAGTTTTGCTTGCAAAATTATGCCGACTCAGCAGTGCATTTGATTCAGTTAAACTTACATAATCTGATGTCAAGGTGCAAAAATAGTCGAAGGTGTCTGTTACGGTGAAGGGTTATCTATACAGAGGAAGTAGAATAAGCGACTCTTATTTGCATCGTGTCCGATATCGAGTATTCGCTTCTTCTATTTACTACTGTACATTGTCTATAATCTATTATGCCGTTCTTTAACTGTATAGTTCCTTTTATTTATGATTTTGGCTCCATGGGAATTTAAGGCTTTGAAATGTTCCTCCTATTCTAAACTATGCATTGTTTAAGAAATCATAAACTTTTGTCTGACATGGAATTTGCACATTACTCACTAGCGGATCTGTCTTGGGTGGCTATATTGAGATTGTGTTATGAATCGTATAAAGCTTACTAAATCTTATATTAATTATGTATAATTATAAAGATCTTTTTGTCTGATTTCCAGTGTTGTAACTGGCCTTGCTAACCAAATAAATTTTAATTTTATTAATGTAATAGGTGAAATAACAGTAACAGGAAGTCCGTTTCCAGCATAAATATGTTCTGCTGCATCACACATAAGTTCACAAAACGACTATTTTTAAAATTAGCCTTACGCCTTTAAGTCTATCATCATCTCACCAAATCTTAAAGATAATGCAATTTCAGACTTCAAATTCCAAATCTAGACCAAAAATTACTCAAAAAATAGGCATGCAAAGAAAGAAGATTTCTAAAAATAGCCTGGACTACATTCGTACAATCATTTGCATTTTAATGTTTTAGTGGAGTGAGACCATTAGGTACAAGGGCCGAGTGAATCCACAGTTTTGTCGAGGGAGGCAACAGCAACAGGTTATCTCTTGTGTTTTCTTATTAAGTACCAAGTTCTACTATAACTGTTTATCTTTCTTTGCCTGAAACGTTAGGGGAAACACGTCGAAACAGTACATAGAACAGTGATTTTTTTCTCCTTAAATAAATAATAATAATATTTTATTGAAGTGTAACAAATTATAATAAACAGCAATATCTATATACAGAATAAAATAATGATTTCCGGCCATGTTATCACAGAAAATTTTTAAATACGGCAATGTCATTATTTTTAATTTTGTCAACGGATTGCCGATAACTAGTCAGTGAATGAATTAGGTTGCCGGTTACGAAAGGTTAAAGTTTCAATTCACATACAGGAATCTTTATCAAGCATAAGTAATGTTTTTTTTATTTACTGATGTTACATCTACTTCTAAATGTATTTTTAAATGTCTTTTGAAGACGGTTAATCGTCGGATGGCGTCCATGTAAACAAGATTTATCTCCCTTGTATTACACAGGCATTCTCAAGTGAGGTTGCTCGTCGAGTTTCAAAACACTTTTTGGACTTAAGAGGGTCCACCAAGCATTGCTACAGTTCGGGTTACAGTTTAGACAAAAGCAATTAGGTTTCGGAGAAGGGTTAAGCGTACCCATTGCTCACCATCTTTTGTACGCTAAATTGAAAGAATATAACAGGTTCGGGTAAACTCCTGCTGTTTTCAACATCAAATACGGTTGACTCAGGGAAGGGAAAAGATACGGTTTTGTTGCACATCCTCTCAACAATAATTGTTGATGGAAAATTTACTTACGTGGCTTTTATGGTCCTTCAAACATTACTACCCTTCTTTCATATGGTTTTTAAATAAGCCCACAGCCAATAGGGTTAACGTAACTGCAATGGAGAATAAAAATAAGAAAACAAAACAAGATACGAAACTGTAATTTTTTTAAATTACAATAGCTCGGGTTAGACTTATCAATGATTTACAAGTGTCTTTTATATGCAAAAAAGCTTCTTCTGGGATTCACTCATGCGACCTCAAAGTTGACGAGCATGTGCGAAAACCAATAGAGTTGGAGTTAAATGGGGTTAGGCGAGGGATGAACCCTTAAATGTCAGGTAAGCTTGTTTTCTTCAAAGTCAAGGATTATAGCTTGTTCAAACATGGTTTCCGCATATGAAACGAAATTGCCTGAAATAGACCAAAATGAAGTAAATATTTAATTGATTAGAAGGAACAATATTTCGGTCGTCCCCCAATTTTCTAGTATTTGACTAAGTATTATCTACTCGATATTTCATCTGTAGGAACACTTTGCTCAATTCCGATAACTCGTAATGCTGGACTCTGTGATAAGCTTGGGGCTGTTAATATCAGAGGAGACCTAATCAAAGCGTCATAGTGAGTGAAGTCTCGTCTTATTCCCTAGTTAGTCCCTGCTGGTGTTCTACATGGATTTACTATTTCTGGTATATATAAACAAAATTGTTTAAAACATCCAATAAAACATCCATCTCTTTGCCGTCCAAAATGTTCATACTTTTATTAATCTTTCAAAACGATAAAATAATATATTTTCTACTTTCCATTCCGATGTAATTTCACTGATTACCATAAATATTTAAAACTTCCTGTAAAAACGTTTGAGCTCTTTTGTATTTTTATTTATTTTCTTATTTATGACATGAACACTATATATTGTAATATATTAATGAGAGTGTTTACATAGGCGAAATTAGCCTCTTTCCCAGTTCCTAAAAAGTAGAAATCGTAATAGTGTAACATGTATACTAGTGAAACCTTGATGTGATGTGGTGGTATTGATGAAATTGATTTTTTTCGCTTCATTTAAGTAGCTTAAGTATTGGTTTTTGTTAAAATACTGGATCTTTTACAATTTATATTAATTATTTAAGCTTTCATTAGAAACAAAAATGTTACACCTAGGATCAAAATTGGCCTATAGAATCTCGCTGCACAGTTTGGGGGTAAGACCAAAACTTTGACAGACTGCCGTTCGAAAACTATCAGAGATGTAAAGTTGTAATGTGAACTGAAGGTACATACCCATCTGAAGTTGCTATATGTTCCAAATTTCAGGTTCTTACCGTGCAAACTCTGCCCGCTAAAGCACTTTGGTTTCAGATTTTTCCCGAAGCAAATTTTACTCTTGAAGATAAGGGTGGAACTTAAAAGTCGATTTTCACGAAAGTTTGAACAAATTTTGAATTTCTGTTTCTGACTGAAATGGACAGGGGACATGTTAAGCATTCATAAGAATCAAAAATGATATACCTAGGGTCAAAATTGACCGAGTTATGACCATTTCAAGTTGGGATAGGGGGTCGGTAGCCGGCCTGTTCAGTCCTATACAGTCCTACAGTCTCTTATTTCTTTAGATCAATATCAATATCCCTTTCATCCAGGATTACATTGATGATGATGATGTAGATCATGTACCTCAAATTCAACCAAATCCAACCTCTTTTATAGCAAACATAGTCCTAAAGTCCAGTAAACCCATTTTTAAAGTGAACTACATTAGGTTCTTTTAAAAGAGCTTTATCTTCAAGGTATTGTGGTATTGTGGAGTAAGAGTGGTAGCAAGCGCAATAACATATCCGATTTCTTTTACAGAGGTTATAATCGTCGAAATGTTCAAAGTTTTCTTCTTGCTTAGCCTATCGGTCGCTAACGGCGCCATGTAGAATGTCGGAATTGGTTATCAAGGAACCACAACTAATAAATAAACCAAGCACTAACGAAACGCAACCTAGTACAGGTTAGAGGATACTTAATTTTCTGTATACTGTTGTGGTCTGAAGCATATGGTTCAGTAAAGGGAGGTAAAAATCTTCTGCTTTGGAGATTCATTCAATTTATGCTGTACTGTATTATTTCTCTCTTCCACATCACAGGTAAATTTTAACTTTTATTTGTATTAATTATCATAATGTGCATTAGTCATCCATGTTTATGTTTATAATAAGAATAACTGTTGGCAGTGTTAATTATTTGAGAACTAAGTCAATTTATTGTCTTGATAGAATTGAGCATATTATTTGTATGACGCTTAGGTTGTTTTCCTCATTAATATGTATAAGCCATTTTGGCGGCAAATCCTCTTGCTTTTCATGAATATTAATGAGCCCAAGTCAAAATATGGTCATGTATTATGTCATTCACACCGGTGACTGTAATTCGCCAAACTTCCATACTCAATAATTTTATTATATAAACATTGTCAAAAGGATTCCGTAAGATGCTGTGTAAAAAAGATCTTGTATTGAAATTGACTCTGTTATTTCTCTCTTCCACAGGTACAACCTGAGCCCAACCAAACCTTATCCCATGAATATAAATTTGTTTGTTGACAATACCGGGATCAACAGAAACCTGAAATCCGTAACAACATTTGGAATAAATCAATTATTGATTAACTTGCTGGAAAAGTATCCCTGTAGTCCACAAAAACTTCAGGTTTCATATTTAACTATTGTTCAAACAAAATCCATCCCCTAATATGCAAAAAAAAAAAAAACTTAAAAAATATACGGAACGACATTTTTACTAGCTGTTGAGTGACAAAACAAATAAAACAATAGATCTAGAGCTTCATTTAGAAATAGATGTATAAGCTCTGAATATAATTTTTTTTAGTAATTTCAAAATGGCATGTTGGAATTTTTCAACGAAGTTGGGCCAAAACTGTAATGTAGATCTGGTGGACGGGGTGACAGTCGATAAGACAATAAACAGTCTGTGCATTAAAGAATACTAGGCAATTAAAAACCGCTGCCCTCACAAAATTTCCCTCATAACATAGTGCATGTCCTTATTGCAAAGTTTTTCGTTCTCGATTGGGAGGGCAGAGGTATGTTGTTACTGTATGTCGATCATCTATGAGTATATTCATGTTTATATATTTCATATATATGTACGATTCCTAAAATCTATTTCATGATGTTAAACTAAAATTGTGACTAGTCAATAGTATGATATTGATAGATGAATCTAGCCAATACACACTGCCAACACAAAATGTTACAATTGGCCAGAAAGATATATTTTCTGAAACTAATATTGTGATAGAGATTAATAATATAAACCTTTGTCAATGAATAGCGGATACTTCTAAACCATCAAGTAGATTAACTCAAAAACTGCCCTACTTATTTATTTCAACAGAAAGTATCGGCGTGAATCATGCTTTTACCAAGCTATCAGCAATGAGGATCGCCTCTTTATATTGCTCCTCTGTAACCCCACCGGCGCCCCCATTGATGGTAATCTCTCCGAACTGCATCAATGATAAGGAGCAACACTGTGTTGAAATATGATCTCAACCAATGCTGCAATTGACAACAATTATCAGAAATAGCCTATAATTGAGAAATGGAATTCGATTTCTGGTTGAGTTATAAAGAGAATCACAATTGATGAAATGATTCACTTGAAATAATGTTATTTAGGTCAGTCAAGTTATTCATTGTAATAACTATTCTTGACACGTTTGGATTTCAAACCATCTCTTTTCTAATATTGATACAATTGATAGTTATTCTCTTTCTAGTTTCATACACTAGTCTTCTGATGTTCAAACAGGTTACCATTGTTCTAATTCATGACAAAACCTTACCCCGACTCACTGTATCTGAAGGAGTCTGCATGACAATGTAATGATTATTACCAAAGACAACTTCCATAGTGCTGCTTGCTAGTTGGATGTGAAGGTTTCGTGATTACTATGGCACCGAACCGTCCATTGAGCAAATGCATCATGTGGCCATGTTTTACTTTGTTGAAGTAGTATGATCTTATCGTTGATCTGAGAAGTTGAAAACTGGCCGCAGCCCATTCTTACTCTTTTCGAAACACCTGATGGTACTTCTCTTTGGAGGAGTTCACTACTATACAACTTTTACTCTCGATTTTGCCATACCAAAGCAAGAAAGAAAGATATTAGAGGGAACGAGAGGAAGTGGACAACAAGGTAATGAGGGACAGAAGACGAATTAACAGAGGAAGGAAGAAGAGAAACGGGCAAGTAGACAGGAAAGGTGAAACGTGGGGAAATGAAGGGAAGGACCAGTAATCATTGGATATTAAATGGAGTTTTATGTCCTACCTTTCTGCACCACGTGGGCCGATGACGACAACGCCATGCCGGGTGCAATTAGGGAAATTTTGCCAGGACAGTAGCACTAGCCTGCTCTTTTTCGATTTCCAACTGTCGAAGGATCTTTAACGCGCACAGCCTGTAGTACACTCGGTTAACTTATTCATCCGAAAGACAAGACGCTTTTTCCATGTCAGTCCTTATCTGCAAATCCGAAGGTATTATTTCTTTTGGAGAGGAAATGAAGAGAGTGGAAAGCTTTGACACTGACTGGTCAAAAGATTTTCTCTTAGATCGAGAGGTACGTATTGTACCACCGTGCAATGTTTCGAATTACAGTACTCCGGTGTCCGTCGTACCATTAATTCAACCTATTTCTAACCGAAAAAATTTCGGTCAAGTAAAATTGCGGTGAATCCCCCCCACCCCCAAACGTATATAAAACAATAACATACTTGTTATAAAATTTGAAATAATTTGATAATAATAATTAAATAATCTTATTGTAAAATCAGATACTTGTACTATTTCTAGACTAAACGGTCCATAGTTCCTCGTGGAAATTTGGATCACCAAATGGTTTAGTTTATTAGCAAATTACAATGGGATACCGCTTATATCAAACCCTGGTCGTATGATTGCAGTCTCATTAAGGAATGCTATTAATCTTAGGTTTTGTGATCCACGAACATTGACCGATCTGTTGCACTATAGCAAAATGTCCACCACAATTTTAAAAAGTTTACATGGTTGCACACAAATGTTTGATTAGGAAAATATTTTTAAAGGTGTAATGTTGTGTTGAACCTAAGTATTTTCTGTTGTTTTAACCTCAACCTTTTTACTGGCAAACGGTGCAAATTAAACATTGCAAGTTTAAAGTCAAGTTTTTATTGCTGAAGTTCACACGCAACAAATTTTATTGACACATTACCCGTTGATTTTGAAGTTGGTGATATAAAGGTTAATATATAGTTGACATTTAGATGAAATGGTCTACAAACTTAACAAAATGCTGCCATAACACAAACCTTATACCCCAAACTATAGCCTCAGTAATGATCAGCATAAATATTACAGCCTGTAGAAGTACTACTGCGTGGAAATGGCAAAATCCCTTCAAATATACTTCAAACTACAAAATTAACTTTCTATTGCTATAATGGTCTCAAGAAAAGACCAGTCGTAATTTTAAGTTTTAAACGCCAATAATTCTGCACATGGATCTAAAGGCTCAAATTTCGACGTGAGCTGTGAACACTATTTTTGGTAATATTAGCTAGAAAATTCTTGTTTCTTAAGTACGATTGGTCAAACGGTTGGCTGTCCCTTTAACCAGAATCAGCTACGGCGCCAGTGGGGATACAGGGGAGGCATTTCTTCCCTAGAAAAATGGCTTGCACCCCCAATTGTACCCTCACTGTATTTTCAACAAATCTAAATGTTTAAATATTTTTTTCCAAAATAAGTGTCAGAATGCAAAAAATCAATTCATTTTTTTCTAAAATTTTCTTGAGAGAACCGCTAAGACGCTCTATCAGAGGCTTGTGGCTGTGACACCACCACAGAGTAGCCAAAATTGAATTCAGCCTCAGCAGTTGTTCCCCCATTGAGTCAGTCTGCTATGTATCCCCAGTCTCGGAAGGCTGGCGCTGCCACTGACCAGAATGATTGATCTTTCTTTTACTTGATTTCGACTCATACATTTTAAGTCACTTGACTGCCAATTCCACCAAGAATATAAAAACGAAATCATGGTATATTAATTTAAATCATTTTTATCCGCCCACATCAAAATTCAGAAAATTGCAAAGAATATTTAGAATTAGTTATTGCCCTTGTTCTTTACAACGCATTCAATTTTTAGCTTGTAAACACTGTAGAATCCACAATTCTTGACAGTTTTTGACAAAACTTGGCGTGAGAGTTTGTTATCATCCAACGATGAACCCTATTGAAAATCAGAAAAATGGAAAAATAATAAGTACGAGTTATTGCCCTTGTTCTTGAAAATCTGTTCAATTTTAGCTCCTCTACACTGTAAAAGGCACATTTCTTGACAGATGTTGAAATTTGGTGAAATTGTTTTTATCACCCTGAGATAAGCACCATTGAAAATCAAAATGTGTTATATGAGTTATTGCCCTTGTTCTTGAAAACGTGTTCAATTTTTAGCTCGTAAACACTAAATATGACACGATTCCTGTCGGATTTTGACAAAACTTAGTAATATAGTTCAGTATCGCCTCTGAAAGTAATATTTCATACTGGTGATTTTTACCTTTGCTGGAAATGATCGTCACGAAATTTGCTATCTGATGATGCACTGAGCGGGAACAAATAGACCGTTGTGATATAAACATAACTACCAATGACTTAATGGTCAACTTCATCGGAGGAATCGTCAGGTATCATTACAAAAAAGTTACACGTAAAAACGGAACTTTTAGCAGGTTTTAACGAACTTACAAATCCGCCTCTCAGCCAAATTTTTTTTTCATTTGTCTCTTAAAAGCGCCTGGAAATTCAGACAGTCTAATAATATTAAAAGAATTGCTGTAAAGAAATACAATAATGTGAAACCAATAAACACTATTAAATATATATGTCAATAAACAGTGTCTAGAATTTGGGAAATGATTCAAATCTATTTCAGGCATAATATTATTTTACATTAAACGCATTTTTTCTAATAAAAATCGTGTTTTGGGAACAAAAGAAAATAAGATAAATTTATCAAACAATATTGTGATAAATATAGAACAATGAACAGGGAAACATATTTCCTGAAAGGACTGAATAAGTGAGAGATAACCTGAGGATGTCGTCTACTGCCAGCAGTTAGTTTACCTCCGACCTCCTGTACACTGTCAATAAACCAAATACATACACCAATAGAAATTCACGTTACATTGACACAGTCTCGATGTTGACAATGTTTTCAAGTTGGTAGTTAGTGAGGGTCTCCTTTCATCAGTCAAGCAATTTCTTATAATTTACCCTTACTGTTTTTTAGTGGATATTGGACGATTGAAATGAAACATTGGTACATTTGTTATTAGTGATTAGTGGTTGTAGAAGAAGTCGAACACCGAAAGAATTTGCTATTTCTGATTCTCATCTGGTTTCATCTTCAAGAACGGATTAGAATAATTTGGTGAATAATTAACGTATTGCAATCCGCCAACAAATATATAAACTAGAATATCTAGATGGTGTAATTAGGTGTTCATTTCTTTATAATTGTATCTGTACGTATTGGAGAAAACAAAGTTGTTGTGCAAATGTTCGTCTCTGAAATCAGGAAGTTAAACGAGGAAGCTGAATCATAAAGAAGTTCTAGAATATTTGATTTCACTTACAGATCGGTATTCGTCATTTTAAGGTGTAATTTTAACTATGAAGGAGTAAATCGCTAATTATAGTTGTCAAGTAGGGTGTGTCGCACAAAAAAACGTACTTCATACCAAATATCCAAATCTATACAGATCCAGTTATATTTTTAGATCACTCTACAGTATTTCAAAGTCTCAATATGTTCAAGTTAAAAGGATTCAGTATTTTAATTTTATGGATTTTAATGTTTTTAGTTGATTCAAAGGTAAGATTTTCTCACATGTACTTTTCATACTTTCAATTCCAATGTTTTTGTCACTGGAATTTTGTACCTGTAACTGAGCAAAATGTACGATTATGATATTTTATGAAATAAGAAATTTTGTTATTAAAACTTGTGTTTTCAGGGTGAGATTACATCCTCTCTAATCATTATCAAGAACTAAAATACACAATTATAGTAAACAGCGTTTCAAAGTTCGAATGAAAAATGAACCGAGGTTGAATCTTTTTAATTTTCCAACATAATAATATATTATTTATCAATTATGACTAAAGAATTATACGAAATGTGTCTAAAAGGTGAAGTTGTCCAAAACGTTGTCAGTGTTGTCTTGCAATCGTTCAAGTTAAATGTCAAATTGGACTATCACACAAGTCCGAAGCGATTCCAGATGTCAAGATTCTTTCGAATTTCTTAAAGCTGTTCCTGAGCAACATTTAAAGAAAGAAATAAATATTCTGAATAATAATTTCCAAGGAGATAAGGTTTCATTAAATATGACAAACAAAAGTTTCCTATTTTTGGGGCAAGTCTTTCCTAGCATCTTAAATTGTAAGATGTCAATCTTAGATGATCTGAATCATACACGTAAATACAATATAAATACCACTCATGAAGATTTATTACAATTAACATGAAAGTGTAGATGGGAGAATTTACACCCCCCTCTTCCTCAAGAACCCCTTCCCCCTCTCTCCAACATCGCACATGTAAAAAGTACATACACGACACATAAAAAATCTCAGACAAGTTAAACAAAATTAAGAGATGTGAAAAAAGAAACGGCCGCAAGAAGGAAATTTCACCCTTAGTAAATATTCTTAGATTTACCTAACTAAATACAAGCAGAAAAGGTTCAGAAAGTATAAAAATGTCACTTGTTAATTTACTAGATAAACTTTAACAGTGTAGCCAGTTAAGTTGTATCAACTTTGATAAAAAAAAAAAATCTATCTCAGATACAAATGTACTTACTAAAGTCTATGAGTATGCACCAAAGTTTGATATACTGAATATCTCTTGTAGACAGTACTAGCTTTGTAGACTCCGATAGTTGATTAAATTGGAGGCATTAGAAAGGGTATGTATAGGTTCTATCTTGCTATCGATATCCGTCAAAGTCATTGAAGCGGTGATCAAACATAATGCAATCTACTCATTTTTACCAAGCCTCAATTTTGTTTTTTCAAAGGAAATCTGTAAAGCAATTTGGTTCAATTTACAAAGTTTTATGAAATTTTATTCATAGTAAGACAAAATATCCATGCTAGATATATTTTATATCTATAATATTCAAATTTAAGTCAATAATGTATAAATCACTAATTGTATAAATGCTCTGCATAATACAGGGAAAGTACAAGTTTGAAATTTAAACCTAAATCTATCTATATTATCTATATTAAACCATTACAATATTTGCAAATAACAGTCTCAATATTAAAGTACACTTCCTTCTTCACAAGAACTCAAATTCTGTAGCCAGGAGTTTTTTTAAAAAAAAACATTGATAGACCTACAGTCATTTATAAACTCTATTGCTTCAATTTTGCTTATGATGACTCATTTCCATTATATTTTCTTCTTACTATTAACTATGCTATTAATACTGGAGAGAGGTGTATTTGAAATGAATTTAAAGACATACGTGACCTGTCAATTTGACCTCAACATTTATTTATACAATATCGACAACAGTACAATAGGTACACATTGCTCTAGGTATGTAGCTTCAAAATCTTTCACAACATTCAAACAAACACACTCCCCTAGCTAGTTAAATTTGAATTTAATTATAATGTAATGATGTAAGTCATCTGTATTGTAAAGTGTAAACAGCACTCCTTGTCTTATACCTAAAACTAAATCTGTCTATACTATTTGGGGGCGACTGAGAGATGCTTTTTGTGGGCGTCTGGGTGGTGGCTAATTCGGAGCGATTTATACAAGCAATGGCTTTAGTTTGAATTAAGTATATCGTGAATTTATATAAAAAAAAAAACAGATAGGCCGATAAAATTTGACACACAGTTCGATACCATTCTGATTATTTTAAAAAATTGTATAAGCCAAGGGGGAAATATTTGTTAAATAATTAGTTTCAAATTTAAACTGTCTGATGGACAATCACGAAATACAAAGAAAAGACCCATTAACATTATTTGTAACCTTATTGATATCCGAATAAATTGTGTCCTTGGTATAAAAAAATCGATTTTTATAGGACATTGTCGAACATTTTAGATCCAGATAACGAAAACAACTAACGTGACCTTCAGATTCTTTTCTGCAATACAAACGTCGACGACATTGGACACACACTTCTGTTTTTATACACTCAATAACACAACATATTAAATAGTGCACCAAATTCATGCAATATATAACTTTACCTTGATATTGTGAAATTAAGATTTTAGTTTTCCAATAACCTTTTAAAGTGTTCGTGTCTTTTAACAATGTATCTCCACAATGCCTGCTGTCAACGTCTGTGAAATTTGATGTCGACATGCTTTATTTTTTATACATTTATCTGTATATGAAATATGAAAGTTCAGATAAATTGATATAACATAATATGTATGGTTGACTTGCCCAATGCTGCAAAATACCAAAGAAACAGTTTATTTTAGTACAAAATAATACTATGTCGAATTAACCTCATACATGATTATGTTTTTATTTCAGCCCATAGGAATTTGTAAGACATATTTTTCAATAATTGGTATTGAAGGAAATTCATTGAATGGCCAAGCATTATGTAGTCGAACAGAAATTCCTTTTGTTTACTTTGTTCTCAAATGTAACGACAGTAACAGGTAAATATTGAGTAAATTTACACAAGAAAAAATGAGCAACCCTTACCAGAGTCTTCTTTAAATACGGTAAAGATAAAATACAATAGAAGTATAACACAAGGCTGCCGTCTTTAACAGTATGGCTATTATTACTTGTGTTAATAAAATCTACAGATTATACTGAGCCCGAGACTCCATTAGAACAAACTCTTAGCCTCAGATCAATGTTTCGAGGTTTAATGATAGAAGAAAATTTAAACGACTTCTATTATCACTACAAATATGTTAGCTACATTGTTCAGTTTCAAATGAAATGTTACGAATATTCACCCTTCTTACACTTTCCCTTCTTTTTCATCGCTCGACGAAATTTTTTTAAATTTAAGACAGTTATTACTACTTTGATTTTTTCTTGAAAAAAAAAACTCAGGGTGAAAGTATTTTTATTTTCCAGTTTAAAATGTGCCAAAAATGTCCAATGGTCAGCATTAAGCGTTTGTGATAAAGCCAATGTTCATCACGAGGAGATTCCAGTTACTACGGCTTTAAATACAATAGATGTAGGTATCTATATTCCTTTCAAATTCTTCCAACAGTCCTTAAAGCAGCATCAGTTTTAATATTAAAATATGTAAACGTCATATATACAAGTGTGTCCGATTTGTTCGTTGTAAACTAATCTGTATCCTTATAGGATTATCTGATCGTTCTGTTGCATTCTGAATTGTTAAATGAGAATGACATGTTAAGTTTGTAGTAATCTGAATCGTTCAATGGTTGATTATCTGATCGTTCTGGTGTATTCTAAATCGTTATCTGATCATTCTATCGTTTAATGATAATGGCTTGTTACTTTTGTAGTTATTTAATAGTTCAATAGAAATATATAGAAAACTGAGTCTTTCATATAAAAAAACCTTATTGCCTTATTGCAAGTTGTCTTCTTAATCTCGAATAACATCATTTTGTAGTAAAAATGACCAAGCTTATTAAGCTCTTGCGAATTATGTTAACTCCAGGCAGTAATTCGTAAAAAAAAACAAATTCGCTGTGACTTGAATAATAAAATATTTAAGATACAAACACATGTTTATTTGATTAGTGCAGTTATCATGACGGTATTTATTTGTTATTTGCTACAACGTTACAAACTAGTCAAACATCGGATTGACTGCTGAATTTTTCATAATGTATGTGAAATCACGTCTAGTAAATTTCACCTTGATAGAACTTAATAGTTGGCCTTGATTATCGGAGAGAAATTGATCTAAACTTCTATCAAGTTCAATAGAACTAAACAAATAAATTGATTCAGTGAATTTTTATTTGATGAACAAGGAGCACAACATGTTAGAAGTGTTAGTTGCAACTCTGTTTTTACAGTGTTATATTTTGTACGATCAATATTCTTAGACTAATCGTTCTTTTCGGGTAAGATGGCAACTGTGTCCCATTGTCAGATGCACTATATAATAAATTTGTCAATGTTAATGTTTTTTACACATTACCAGCCAAAATGTAACATTCTAGAAAATTTAAAGGACAGCTACAGAATCGTTGCTCTGACCTTGTCGTTTCAAGACCTTCAAACGACAAGATACAGACATATTCCCATCCTTGGCTAAAATCGAGTTTATTTAGACCCAACTCTTATATTTACAGGTAGCTTTAGAGATTAAGTTTGGATTAGTGTTTTGTTTATATGTCCAGACGTAATGAAACAATTTTTTTTACATCTTTGCCCAAAACTTGATCGGTGTCTCTGTAATTTTTGCGTAGTTAAAACTAGTCGATTCCGGACACAAATATGGGACTCTATCCAAGTATTGGAAAATATATAAGATACGATCAATTTGATTAATCCGCCTTATATATGACACCTGTTCCAACAGTTCTGTTTTGATATTTTTAATTTTATATACACGTAGATTATACACGTAATCAATTTGTTAATCCCCAACCCAAACAATTACATGAAACGTACACGTTAGTATATGATAAAAAAGTTTAAAATTCGTAAATGTTTTACCGGCAAAAGATGCTGTTTCATTGCCATATGATATATGATGTTTGCACCAAATTCTCCCATTTGAATTTAATAATTGTTAAGGTATGAGTAATTAAAAAGATTGTATAGGTAGGAATAAAAGCACCATGCACTAATATTCTCCAATTTGAATAAGATTTCCGCCCATAGATGACTATTTTACACCTGGATAATTCATTTCATTCTTTGTCGTGATATCGAGAGGCCATCAACCTTATATTTAAATAAAGTTTAACCGCATATCTTACATATACCCACTATCTCAATATTTATAGATGATACAAGAACCTTTTGAGTCATCTTTGTTCTGTGGTTCATGTCCTCATTACCACGGCAACCATTATATTGTCTCAGCAAACACTTGATAAATACATAGAGTTACAATTTCAAATATTACAGTAAGAATTCACTGGATTTTGACTGATGTTTTGAGATGAAGTTGATACTATTTTTATATAGAATAAATAAAATGACATTCTTTAGTTTGTATGATGTCAATATGGTATAAGGTATGAATACAATGGTAAAGAAATAAGAAAACTTGTTATGCATTTTACAGTAAAACGTCTGCAATCGTATGACCTAAAAGTCTTTGGTCAAGATGATCAATCAAATATTTCTTCAATGCGTCCGGGATTTCAAGAAACTCTCCGAGAAGATTTCATTCCTTTCCACCATAATATTGTATAAAAAAAAACGTGATAAACAGTTATGTCTTAAAATAAAGTCATTCAGTACCAACAGCATTAAAAGATGAAGAAATCACTCTAAAACTTCATGATTTCACAATGTTCTGGGTCAAAAAAGTAAAAGTATATTTTCACGAAAAACATCTGAAAGAGAGTAACAAAAAAATCATTTTCTATTTCAGACAAGCGAGTTATCCATGGAATTATCTTTATTCATTCAAACTGAAGATGAAGTACGATCAGTTGATGAATTTACTATCAACACAAAAGTTGACCCAAATGATGAGAATCTGAAAACATTTGTAGATTCTGTTGGTAAACTTCACAAAACACAGTAAGTACTAAATTATTTTTTGAATAATTTCTTTCATAAAGCCTGATATTTCATATACATGTACTAGTTAAAAATCAACAAATGTAAAACCCATAAAGGCGAACTTTGGATAAATTACATGCACAGCATATATCCACTTAGCGTTTCACAAATTTAAATTACCTTTTAGCTGATACAATGAACCCTTTTCAGGCTAGAAGTAGAATTCCATCGAGTGTGTAGTTTACCAGATAAACTTAAAAGCCCACGTCAAGTAATATCTTATCTATTACGGAACCATCCGAAAAGAAGACGAAAACGAGCAGCTGCTACTTTGGAGTACGCCGATCCAGGTCTGTCGGAGTTACAACCAAGTGTATCGTCAAATAATGGAAATCCGTATCTCAGAGATCCCTTTCCATTATCAAAGACTGATACGGAAGTAGGTGTTGGACAGATCAACAATGTACTGCCTTACCAAAGGCAGACAACCACTGAAGAACCTTACAAACAATTCTGGAGCAAGATAGCGAAGTTTAGTCAAGTAAATACCACAACTGATTCTGCCCCATCTATAACAATTGGTCTCAGGAATCCCTATGTAACACCAGCTAAGACATTAACTCCATACCCAGGATCCTCGAAGAGTACATCTGCATTAAATGAGCTTTTGTCAAGAGATAAAATATTCTCTGATGTTGTTAATCAGGATACCTTTACAGTACCATCGACTTCATCAAATCCCAGAGTAACAGCAAGATTCATTACTAGACCAGCTGTAACAGTACCATCAACAACTTCACCATCATCTTCTTCTAGTATGTCCCGACTATTAAGTAGCACATCAGCTACTACTACGTCAATAACGACTGCGAGAAAAACACCAACACCACAAACATCACCCACAACATCACCAACATCAACAACATCAACAACAAGTCAGACATTCACAACACCATCAACTACCTCAACCACAACCATTTCTAGCCCTTCTACAACACTTGAATTACCAACAAGTTCGAAGTCAATAAAACCCCAAACACCAATTCCAACATTAACAACAACAACAACAACAAAAACAACACCGCCACCACCAACAACAACAACAGCAACAACGGAGAAACAACAGTCAGCGTTATCAACCAGAGTTCAGAACACAGTAACAACTTCACCAACAACTACCAGTGTACCCAGAACGACTAAGCAAACAACTGAGATGGTTACAACAAAACAACCAACGTTAAAACCGATGGTTGATGATGTAACAGAGATATCAACGACGAAAGAAGAGAATACGACAGAAAACAGAATTAGCACTGAACCAAGTATTAATACCCCACTACCATCAGGTGAAACAGACACATCAGCTAGTTCTAGTTCTTCTCGGATGGAAGGCAGTGGAACAGATACGAGTGGTGGGGATGATAATTTCTGGCCAATTGTAGCAGCAATGGTAATTGGTATTCCATCAGTGATCGTATTTGCAATAGCTATTACAGTTATTCATAAGAAGAGGTTAGGTAGAGCTCCTCGTTTTATGTCATCATCTATGTATCCATCGCTCTAATTAGCACAGCACTAAGGTAGGCATTACAGCACACATCTCTCATTTCTAACCCAATGTTGTAGATCTCAGATCTCACAGATTATATATCACCATTAACTCATAATAGCCTATTATACACTAACAAATATCAAGATTTAGTTTCAGGTAACCAATTCCTCGGTAAGTTGTCGTTTTAGATTGTAGGCCGGCATTTATAGTTCTTTGCGCTTTTTATACGAAACACTTCATTTTGTTATATTTTCCATTTGTATCTTCTCCCAATTTCCAAACGAGTCGCCCTGATAATGGATTTGGTATCATGAATGCATCATATATCACCAAATGCGAAATAGAGCAAAATCTAGACAAGACTTAACATTCAGTTAACTGTAGCATTAAGACTTGTAAGTTCATTCATGTTGGTTCTTCGTTATGTTTTTTTTTGTCAATTTGTTTAATATTTTATGATCACGTACATGTATAGTAGATATGAAATCGTTACATCCCTAAACTTATGTGAAACATGGTACAGTATGTAGAAGAAGTTTTCTAAATATTCACTCGAACAGTAACTTTCTTTCAGGTCAATGGCAAGACCTCGACGTGGGTCCTCGCTACATCTACATGGATCCTACGTGAGAAATGTTGCAGCCAGAAACTCAATATCGGTTTGATAATAGCTGTAAGAGTGGAGAATGTTTTTCTTTCTTTGGTAAATTTTGCATGTGAAATTGAATGTGTTGAGTGATTTTTAATCAGCCATGAAGAGAAAGCTCTGTGACATTTTTCTGCATCATATATTTAGAACTGTATTGTTCCAGCTGATACCGTATGTATTCGTATGTATTTATGAATGTTAAATGAAACTAGTATAATAGCTTAAATTTCAATTCGTACTCATCTTCAAAATGGTCAAGTCACTACGTCTTCATCTTAGACCTTGACTGCAATGGCGTACAATCGAATTATATCGCTTACAGTTAAACAAGAAAATTGACAATTGCAGTCAAGATGAAGACGTAATACCTTGACCATTGTGAGGATGTTTCGTACTCAGCTGTTTATTATGCTAATGTAATAGAATGAAGGGCATATAATAAACAAAAAACATTACAAACTATTTGGATCAATTTGAAGATAGTATTGCAATGCCCTCTTAATTGTTTGCCCTTTATTCTTAAATTAAAGAGAATTTTTGATGATAGAACCATTCATTATGTAAAATGGTTCATTTGTAGTAGAGCATCGCATGTTCATATACTTTGTTTCTTCTAAAGGGTAAGTTTTGCTGCTTAGACAATTGATTCACGTTAATGCATGTCCAATTCTGGAAATTTATAGCATGTCTAAGTATACTTTTTTAGTAACATTCCTTAATTTCATCAAAATAACAGGATTGAGCTTGGCATTACCATTTATGAATTACAGATATATATCTTGCTTATGCTGATGTTCTTCGCATTTTTTGAGTTCGTGGAAACTATTTTGAATGACATGATTGTGACATGCCAGTGCATCCATTACGAAATTCAAAGGCTCAAAAGTTTGATAGAATTTTTCTTAAAGCTTTCATGCTTTAACCAGAGGTTTGGTTTTGGTTTGTATTTCCGTGTGATTGTTAGAATTATTGCTTTGACTGTATTTATTTATTCCATCTCGTTTTTATTGATATTTCGTGGATTAATGATCTAAAGAGGTTCGATTTGGAAGTGATGTAAGTAGTTTGTTCTTCATTCTATTAGAAGTTATTTTGTCTTAGGTTACCTTCGGAATTTTGGTTGACCTTCCTTTGTAAGTACTTTACTTGTATATTAAAAAGCATTTTTCGCTGTTCTATGTCAACTTTTGGCCTTTCTTTCTTTCCACACCCAAATACTTTGATAATGACCAGTGTTAAACATAAATAAATATTAATTTATTCAATTTGCATCTTGTTTTGTTTTCGACTCGGGACTTGGATGTAGGTTACAGTCTGAAACCTTTTGCAGCATTTTGAACTCTATTGCAATTGAGCTTCGGCATGAAACGGGATTTTAGATCTTTTTGTACCATTTGACTAAAGTAAAGAAAAAATTAGCTTCAGTCTTGGCATTTTAGGAAATTGGCTTAAATAAGTACTTTTCTTGGTTATTATAGTTACGAATTGAATTTAGATACCCGCATGTTTACGTAGTTCGAACAGTATATATATAATTGATTGCTTTGTCTCAGTTTTTTTGTTGTTGGATATCACTTCATCGTATGATTGTTTGAATTTGCTTGTTATTTATTTATTGTATATGTAAATACAGTTTATAGTTCATAATATTGCTCTAGGTATTATCGGTTCAATGTCTATCCATTCTGGCTTTTAGCTTCTTGGGTCTTTTATTTATACATTTTATAGCATAACCAAGTGTATATTTTTAAACTGTTGTAAATACGTATTTATTTGGATATATTATTATTTTACCATTTTGTATCACCATTTTGCACGTATATTGTATACTGTGTATCCGCTGATCTGCTGTATGTGAAATTGCTTGAAGCATGACTTTTGTAACCTCATTTGTTAGTTGCTGTAAAGTTTTTTGCAGGTGAACGATCATCAGTAACAAATGTAGAGAATAGCTTACGAGTATTTAGTTAACAGAAGATCGTCGGATTCGGAGTTTGTCACATCATCTTGCCGTACACAATTTTTCTTTTCATACATTTAAATGTTCAACAATCAATTTGATATAAAGTCAATTCAAACGATTGACAGTGATGGAGATTGCCAAGAGAAATATCAATGTGAACACACAGCTTTAAGATGAACACATTATCCACTTCGTTTTGTTATATGACGTGAGGGGCGGATTCGAAATTCCAAGTCAAAGCTGTTGTTTACACCTATGATGTACTATGAGCAATCGAAATATTTCACTGTCTATTGTTTTAGTTGAGTTAGTATGAAATTGGTGTAAGTCTTGTTAATTATTTATTTTAATGTAAAAATCTTGCCGTTCATTTTAAACGATTTTTTCACTCATATTCAGCCACATAAGGGACGTAACTCCCTTTAAAGTATCTTGCCTAATAATGATAATACTATTATGATCATCATTGCCAACTTGTTTTAATGCTTCTATCGACTTCAGCATATTTATGAGTTTTGTGTGTGTTTCTTTACATGAAAAATATGTCATGGGAAGCGACCTATAATTTGAGCATGAATGCCTTCAAAATATTATTTCAAAAATAATCATTTTTGTGAGTGGCGATTTTCCAATTCAAAATTCAAAAATTTGACGGTTACTTCTCGAAATGGTAAAATTGACGCTGTGACGTACACTGTAAAACTATAGATACAATAGGAAAAGAAGATAAGAATCGCGCCCACATCGTGTCAAGACACCGTACCTCGTCTATGTGCATTTTAAGTAGAAAATACTGTAAAAGCGCATACACGCAAGGTATGTATTCGGGTATGTGGACATGATTCTCTTCTCCTTTCTTCTGTATCGATAATCTTGCTCCATACACATAGCGTGGCTCGTCTATTTGAGTTTTAATGCACAGCCAACTCACTTGAAAAGTAACCACATTCTCTTGGTTGATCTGAAAAAATCTGCGATGTTATTTTCATATTTCAATATTTCACCATGTTTCAAATGTCGAGTCCCTAATACATGCGGGTAATTTTACTTACAATAAACTAAACTAATACCTTACCGTTATTTAATTCTATAAAATTTTGACTTGGTGATTTATTACCTGTTTGATTTTTTTTAACTGTGCGATATATTGTTCTTTTATGCACTAGTCATCTTTGTAAATATTGTATTGTAATTTTCTAAATGTGAATATTTCTGTCAATTGTCTGATGTTGTGTTCTATTAAACAGACGTCTGCTTGCCTTTCATAAAGATTTTTCTATCATACTTTGTTTAATAAATCAATAAAAACAACTGAGTGTGTTACATTCTTTCGAAATTTCAATCTGAATAATTATGAATAAGAATAACGTTCTCCAGTTTACAATAGGCTGAATCGCATTCACATAGATACGATACTCATAATGAAGACGTTTCTATACTCTACCGACGAACCAGGTTGATGATCAACACAGATCAAGAATGCCAGTGCCAGTAGCGAGTAGACTATACCGGTGTGAAACATATGGAGAATGCGTAAAGGCTTTTGATGAGCTTTATAATTTGCCTCGTATATGATTTAACAATGTAACAACGTTTCTTTGATTTATTTAAATAAATTAATCGAATATATTACTGTCATAATTATTTTTGTGTACATTTAAACCATAGAATAGAAAAATATTCCTTAAATAAAATAGATTCTTAATATCTTTAAAATTATCACAGAAGTCTGGTATACGAACACATGTTCTAAAAAGCACATATTAATCCCAAAGCCATCATACTTATATATATAAAATGCACAGCATAAAGGGCTTGTTAATTATACATTTACACAATTCTTATTCCCTCAAAACGATCTCTAGGTTCTGGTTGAAAAGTCTGAGTATAAAGCCTATCTCTCATAGCACTTGACCCTGGTTGACCCCAACGCCTGAAATAGTCATTATTTCTATTGGATCTGACTGCCAAGGTACCTTGTTTCCACTTATGTTGTAAATGCTGTAGATTCTGTTGAAAGATTGTTTGTAGTACTGGCACCTCACTGTTATAAGATGGGTGTCTCAAAGTTCGTAATGTATTTCTGTTCATTGTTTCGTAAAATTCTGAATGAACCGAGCTGATATCCGATAGGTCCGTTTCAGTCATATCCACAGTATACGCATCATCGTCCATTTCATAATCTGGGTCTGGTTCCAAGTTCTGGAGTTTTCTAGTTTCACTGACAACAAATCGTGCAAAGTCTTCTTCACTGTGAGTCTTCTTACACCAATCAATCCTTGTACTGGACATCAAGTGCAGGAAGGTTCCCCAACGATGGAGAAACATACTCACAAATTGGAGACCCAAGGCCAAAGCGAACACTACTAAAAATGCCAAGGACAGTGGTTCATACTTTTCCACAATATAGAAGCCACTTAACTTATCTTGGTTGTTCTGTAGTTGAAGTGCCAAAACTGTCCACAAGAAGTTAAGCATAAAATATATGAAAACTACGTTGTTTCTGATCAAAACCAAGTCTTCTTTGATTTTCTGTTTATGGGCTTTATCTTCGTTAAGAGGGTGTAAGTATTTCTTGATAAGATATTGCCAAAATTCCTCTTCGCTTTCTGGTAGATATTCTACTGGACCGTTACCAATTAATTCCAGATTAATCCAATGAGGATTGTCAGGATCTTGTTCGTAACCTGTGGGTAATTTGTTTTCAGGTCGTGTTGGTCTAGATACTGGATGAACAATTGGTACTGTCGGATTAGGGAAAGGTGGGGGAGGTGGTGGTGGCGGAATTGCTCCTGGATTGTTCTTATGATCTATTTCCTGTTTCAGACCCATTAATGTTTTGATGGCATCCCTTAATTCGTTTATAATAGCAGCGATTCCCAGTAAACTGAAGAAACTGCGATTCTTTTTCTTGGCCTTTTCTTCAGCCAGGATTTTCTGTTCGGCTTCCTCTTCAGGTGTTAATTTTTTTGGTGTTTCTCGAGTACCCCAAGAAACGTTGTTTAGGTTACACAAATAATATACCGTCAGCAGAATAAATGTTGAAGGAACCACCATGAAATATAAGGTACCATATATAAGACAGAACAATTCTTGGGGATGAAGCAATCCAGCAACCACGAATATAATGGCAAGACCACTCAAAAATACTACATTAGGACTGTTGAAGCTCTCTGTGGCGATACTGATAAATGTCCCAACTGTTGCTATCATCATCACGACTGTGTACATGGCCGTCAATGCCGCAGCAGCAGTTATTTGAAGGTTGTTTTTCTGTGTCATACATATAACGATGTAAATAGCCACGGGTATTACTGATATGACGTAAGACCACCACATATCAATACCAAACACCGAATGATAGGAGCCAGTGATCATCAATACCACTGTTGATGGTGCAAGAATCGTAGATGCCATGAGAATAAATTGGTATAAGATATATGGACGACTGATATTATCGTTGATTCGACAGGTTTCCCTCCAAGAAGACAACAAGTCCATCATGTTTGCGAGTGTGGAGGGAGACCACCGACGACGTTGATTAAAGAACTCATTGAACGTTTCGGGAGCAAATGTTAAAGCGTCGGCACCGGCACAGTAATCTATACGATGTCCTTGCTGAAGCAGTAGGGTACATAACCATCTATCTTCGCCTACAAAATACAATTTGAATACTGTTATAATGTAGCTGACACGAAACCATAAATCTTCATAACTTCTATTTCACGAAAAAATGTAATAAGGAGTCAAATTTGGGTTCTGAAATGGGCGGAAGCAAAAATAAACATGGGCATCAGTACATGATGTCTATAATACTATCAAAAACATTGATCGATATGAGAGAAAATCCCAAATCATTGAACTTTTAATCCCACTTCAGAAAGTGGTCAATGTATACCTTGTTCAAATTGAATGTAATGTCTTGCTTCAGTTGGTTTAGTAGTGTACATCTTCATAACATTGTCATCCATCAACGCCGAGGCCCGAAATAAACTAAAACATCCGGGACAACATAATACACATCCGAATACATGTTCGGCAGCCTTCTGTAACCAATGGCCTACAGCATACTCGAATTGTTGATACCACACCATAGGACCTATTTATAGATTACAGGCGATTAAATTTCACCACAGAGACAGAATAAAAGTATGACAGTTTACATAGCTACATTCGAATTATTTACTTTCTAATATGCCTCCCGACTATGCCTTTAGAATGACACTCTTAAAAAAAACGATGCAGCTAAGAATTTATGTAGGAAAAGTACTTTACCTGACCCAATAGGATGAATTCTTCCACAAACAGCTCCGACCTTCTTGTTCTTCTTCATTCTGTCAATCAACAATTTAACTGATTCTGGTTTGAAATCAACATCACCATCCAAAGCCAGAATGAAGGTGTTTTCTGCTTGTTGCATGACCTGAAATTTCCAATACATTGTTTATAACAACATCACATAGTTGTAGTAATGAACATGGTGTACTGCATTGTGTTCTGTTTATTTTTGGTAAAACCAATCATCTGAGATTATTTGGATGATAGGCTTACCTTTTCGTATTTTTCTGGTGTCATTCGCATTAGAAGAGATCTGAGTGGTGCAGTTTTTTGTTTCCTCTTTGATTTTCCTTTCTTCCTGTTTCTGACTCTGTTATTATCTTCTCCTTCATGCTCATGTAGTTCTGTTTCGTCAACTGTTCTCATATCAGAATCTTTACCTCCCAGTAGGCGGTATCCAAGTAGATAATACATATACATACACTGAAAATAGATCAAATCATAACTAATAATGTATACACTAACAATGCGTGGAAATTGATGATAATGCAATGAAAAAAGAAAATAATGCATCTGCACATACTGAAATAGCCCGATCTGGCCCTACCCGTTCCTCTGACCGGATATATGGATACGATAACGTGACCATACACAGGTAACAATTCGCCATTAATAATTTATGTTATGTGTTATTATTAGGAATTTCCCTTACCTGAGACCATCTTTTCCTGTGTCGTATCATGTTCTTGTTTTTGATATGGACTATCATTCTTGTTTGACCAGGCATGGTAAAGACCAGACGTCCTCCGTATGGTGTTGGTATTTTTACTGGTGGTGCGATTATAATTGGTCCTTTAACTACTGATCTGTAATAAATATAATACTAGTTGAATAGGCTTCTGAGCTTAAAATAATTTGATTCTAGTTATAACGGATAATTAATAATGACATTCTCGTAGCTGGATGGGTGCTCAGTTTACAAAACCTGAAACCTGCTACAAGGAGCGACATCTAAGTGAATCGATAGATTTGATGGACCAATTTGAATCGACGACTAAAAACCTCACTTCTGACGCTAGTTGTCGTTAGTTAAAATATAATAGTGCATACCTTGCAGCATCTTCCATACACTCTATCAACTGTTGAACAAAACCATTTGGAACATATTTATTAAAGTCATCATCTATTTCAAACGCATCATCAAATATAATGTGAACTGGAATAAAAATATCAAAATGTAAATTGTTATATTATGTCTTTTTCTGATAAGGAGAACAGAAGAAACTAGTTGTATTAAGGTATGGAAATATAGAATAAAACCTACTTTCAAAGTTGTAATAATCAGGATCTCTGATTCGAAATTGCTGTTGAGCTAAACGACTGGCACATTGTACATAATCCAATCTAGAATAGAATAAAATAGCATCATAGCAATGATTATTGAAGCACTTTTCTCTCTAAAGAGACATGCTCAGCTTACATGAGTCCTGATGCTACAATTTGACTGTCTTCGTTCACTTGCTCTTCGGATTATCTTCTGAGTGTGATTTTCACCACCAGATTGTTACAAGAAATTATCATACCTGTACAGAGATTTGAGAAGTTGCGTCATTTCCTGTCTAGTCTCGTGCCACATTGTTGCGCATGCGTAGATAGTAGGTATTATATAATCCTCTGTAAGTTTACCAGTAACACTATCTCTTCGAGTTCGTCGAACTTCCTGATCAATCCTTCTCCTTCTCATTGTAAGGTTAAAATCAGGAAATATTCCATCATAGTGAGGGGTCACAAACAACCTAAAAAGTTAAAGGTACATAAAGACATTTATTTCGAAAAAAAATCTGTTTCCTTCGTTAAAATAGTATTTAAAAGAGATTTGATGACGATGAAGCAATTTGATTTGATGTCTAGGATAAAAAGAGCTACTTACTTTTCTGTTTTAGCCATTCGTTCACATTGAGGAAACCACACATGTGAGACAATTAAGCAATAGGAAATCCAGAGGGCACCAGCACAGCCAAGTGGAATGATCATTTTATTGATTTCGACGTCGGAGCACATCCAATTCCCCACAAACCAATGTGACGGAATAAACATATACTGACATTGTAGATAAATACACATTAAACTGATCGGTGGTGACAGGAGTAACGGTAGGGCAAAGGCTGTTTTCTGCATATGGAGCTTACAAGCCATACCGGCTAAATAAGTACAGACGATTCCGGAGCCGATATGTAGATACATTAAACTGTAGGTTGTAAAATGTGCTATTGCATCATTGGAATCAGGATCGTCATTACTTGTATCTGGTAGTTTAAATGGTGCATCCACCAAAAGATACGCCATGAGCACTGCCATTCCAATTTTCAAAGGACCAATTAAGAAAAAAGACGTTTCTTTGACATCTTGCATTTCACATCGCCAACTTCTGAAAGAGGGTCGTATCTTGCCACAAAGACTCCATTCTCCTGATATAAAATTCTCAATCCAACCAACAGAAATCAAAATGGCCGCCACTGGAAGCTCCCATTTCAATGAAGAAAATTCTATGTTAATCCTTGAATTGTCGAATATTTGGAGTAGTGTATGATCGCCCACACTGGTAAAATCAGATATAGTGAAGAAGAATAAAGCAGCAGCTTGACAAACAAAGGCCAATAGAGAACAAAACATTTTCAAATAATCCCACAAACTACAAGCTATTTTCTTTTCGTGAAAAATCAAACTGAGGAATCCTGGAATTTGAAAGATGGTAAATGTCACGGTGATACCACGAAAAAAATCGGTACCCGGTAGAACTCGGAATAGCAACAACGACATGCCCACTATCTGCATCATTTCCAGCAGCAACATCTGGAAGAAAACATATTAAAAGTGAGTTAGGTCAATTTTGAATGAAATTTCATTTACCTCGAACCTTATAATCATCGGATCGAAAAGTTGCAGTTTATACAGCTGTATGCCATACTTTTTTTTTGTAGACAATATTTTATTCATATAGAATGCTTTATCATTAGAAGAAGAAGCATTAGGAATCATAAGGTTGATCGGCATTGAAGTATTGGTATAATAAACTGAATTAAAAAATACACACTTACGATGATAAACATTTTCAAAGACGGCCATTCTTTGCCACCAAACAATATTTTCATGACGGCATTTAACCAGCTCCATAAGATCGGTGAACACAAACAAAACAGTAGTACAACAGAACTCTCTCCTTTCGACTTTTCATCCTATAACATTATTATTTAGTTTCATGAAATCAAACTTATTCTATTATATCTCCCATTTCATAACGTGGTAGTGTGCGGCAAATTATTAACAAAGGAATTCATAAGACAAGGTTTTTCTTACTAAAAATATTCCTAAAAACCAAATTATTTGTAAAAACAGGATTAAGTAAAAATAAATACCGATTGTTTTGAAGCGGGCACACACTTCCCTTATCTACAATCTAATTTTTCGCATCACGTTAGTTGGCTAAACCTTTTAAAAATCCACACAGAAATGGTTACAACTAGATAAATAGGTATCTAAAATCAACAAAAAGAACGTAACTTACCCCTTTAATTCCAGATGTCATGAGCAGTAATGAGATTCGACTAGCTACAGTACTAGCTAATATCACAATCACCACGAATAAATACAGAAATAATCGAATACATTTTAGGATTTCTTTAAATATAGCCTCATCATCGTCGACTTCTCGTTCTTTGACTTGAAAAACATCGTATGGACGCCTAAAACATAATAAAAATGGATAATAGACATTTCAAGAGTTACATTATCAGATCAATGTTACCATATGAGTTCGGAAACAAGCTGAAAGTACGGGAACTATTACAATTAACCTACCACTGATCATCCTCAAATTGGTCTTCCTCTACAGTCTCATCACCTTGATTGTCAGAAGACTCATTATCGGATGGTGGGGTTTTCTGGATTTCAGCGTATTGTGGATCATCAAGTGAGTTACTGCTATGATGGTAATCATCAGACTGTCCAGCAATAGAACGATCTGCTAACGAGTAGGAGCTTGACATCATATCTGGCGGTGTAGTGTGTCCATCGTTGTAAGAAATGCTGGGACGGTGGCTGGTGTTTCTAGAAGTTCCTTGAGGGTCTGGTGGTTTCAGCAAGCAATTTAAACTTTCTGATATATTAGCCATGGTCATCCTTCTTCTCGACAAATCAACATCGGACAATCCCGAAGCTGCCAGATTGGGTACAGATAGTCTTTTACCATAATTGCGATTATTGGGTTGTAAATTCAGACAGTCTGTAGAAGCATGACCACTATCTCTGGACAGATTGTAATAACTGAAATCTTCACTTTCTGTCATAATAGTCAACAATGAGGCTTGTGACTCCCTCAACTTTTTCTCTGTCTTCTGAAAGTAACGAATTTGTTCAATGAGCCGAAACAGTCATAAAATTAATTCATTTCGCCAAGGGCAAAGGTTGTCTCCTAATACCTATTTTCACAAAACTTAAGATATTTCCGCAATTCAATCAAATCTATGCAAAATATTATTGATGGATAATTTCATAAAACAGGAGTGGTAAATAAAGCAGTGTGCAACCAATACAAGAATAACAAACAAACAAACCTTTTGCTTTAAAACAGTATCCAGTAGTTCCTTGTGTTCTAATTTCAGGAATACCTATATGACAATATAGAAATTAAGTTATAAAGATATTATACCAGTATTTAAGACGTCATGCATTCCACAACTTCTCAACAATCTCGATTGGTTGTAGACACGATCAGACTATATATTTGCACTCAAAAGACAAGATACACCTATATCATTGCAAAAGGTCATTAAATTTCCTTTCCTTAGGGTTATACTTTATCTTAAGTATAGAATAATGATTTGATCGAATATTATTATATTCAAATGTGATTGTCCCCAAGGCGGTTAACAATATACATCTATTTGAGAGCAGTGAGTTCGTTTTATTTTTTACAATTATATAATGCATTTGTCATCCGAATCTATATTTGAAATCTACGGTTGAATAAATCGAACCTTCCCTGTTCAAAAGTGTCTGTGTTATTATCGCTGTTTAAATACGTCAATATTTTATGGATAAAACTTTAACTTCTTGAAATATTTTCCTTCTTCGACACATCCACATTTGACAAGGTCTTCAAAGAGGGCGATCGCTCATCAGATAACATACCTTAGTTCGACCCAACTGATAATCCTTTATACCATTTTTATCACAAATTTCCTGACATCTTGTCAAGATAGAACCAGTTCCAACGTCTTCCAAATCAAGATTATTTAAGAGTTCGCCATACCTATATAAATCAATGGTAAACAAACTGTCACCCAATGCAATGCCACGATAATTCAAGGAAACATAAATTGCACGGATACAGTTTTCCAAATTTAGTATCATTTGGAAATTGTGTTCACCTGTTCTAGTAAATAAAACCTCTGAGCATTTGTCACCAAATGGTGAAATAAATGAACTGGGATAAATGTGCTGTTTGAACTAGAAATTTCACTATGATAGATAACCTTTGAATGTGTAATATCGACATCCTTGGGGGACAAAACGTTTAACGTTAGTGATTTAAACGCTAATTACCTTTCTGAAAAATCCTGGTAATGTATTCTTATAGGAAATCCATCTCGCCTTAACTGTGTTATTTCCATTAGACCATTACACCTTAACTGCCTTCTAACAAGTTCTGTGTCAAATTGATTTGGTGCTAGAGTAGTGTTTGGTTTCACACATCTAAAAATATAAATAATGGATACTAGCGAGGTCTCTAGGAGTGCTTCATTAAAGGAGATTATAGTCATTTCGCGGAAACTTGACTTTTACAATGATTATGATATTTGATTTTTTATGGAAATCGTTATCTGATGCATCTTTCTCTATCAGGAATAAGTAGACTGACCCCTTATAAATACCTGTAAACCCAATGTAACATTAAAGGATATTCCGCTTTTTTGTAAAATATTTTCATTTTTAAAAACGCCGTAAATTATACTTGAAAATATTTCTAAAGTATGCAATTTATGTATCTTCTTGATCAAACTGAATTGGTTTTAAAAGGGTTAATTAAAAACGGAGAGTACTTATTGTTAATTAAGCAGTTTGACCTAGCTTTGGTGTGACCAATAATGGCTCGATATTGTTAACTGAAACTTTTAGCATACGTAGGAGACATATTTCTCTACAATTGGGCGTTTATTTAACTCAAATCCGTACAGAAGTTTTCAAACAGCTTCGAAAACGCATAAAGAAATTAAAAACCTTACCAACCTTTTTTATATATTTTTGTCGTTTAAAAATTAACGGCTGGAATTTTTTAGTTATACTTCCAGATACGTTAAAGGGCACATTTCTCTAGATTTTTGAGTGTAGTTTTCGCAAATTTGAGCAAAAAAAAAATTCCGACCTACAAAAAAAGCGGAATGTCCCTTTAAATATTATTTGCACTGCAAAATCTTCCAGTGAACTATGTGTAGAGTTAAAATTACTAATATACTTACCTAACAAACAATGGTTGAGCACGGTTCAGTTTAGAGATCAGATCAGCTAGAGATCGCTGTAAATAACCAAATAAATACATTAATTTTCGCTAAATAAGATTTTGAAAGTTGCTTATACCCAACGTTTTTGTAAAATTTGATGATTATTTTATGGTTTTACCAAAGTATATGGGCCCTATGCTTTGAATATTTCATAAGAGAAAAGTTAATAGAATTCGTAGAAGGTCTCAATGACAACATACCTTAAAATGACTAGTAACTGTGGGTTTGGATCTAAGAGATGTTGATAGACTTGATGAACTGCTGGATCTAAAAATTATAAAATTAATTTTATTATTAGATGGTCATATCACTAACCCAACCCAAACGATTTAAATAATTGATATCAACATTTTTAGTTTTAACTGTTTTATTTAAGGTGTGACGTTAATATAAATTTGATTAATTTCATGATACCCTTCATAGAGAATAGGGTTTGTAAGGCTCCGAATCTTTGATTTCGTATCGTGATGTGGTTTTCCTGGTTGCACAGACTGTCCACCTACAGCCAGCCCAAACACTAGACCAGACAGGTGTGAACGATAGGTGGAGAGAAAATGATGGTCATCGATGACGTCGTCAACATGTAAAAAGGGTGCTATAATTAATGTCTTAACAAGTATATTTGTTAATCCAGTCAAGTGTACGTTTGACAAATAACCCAACTTGTTAAAACTACATAGCCTGTCACTCAAATATATCTCATCCCCTCACCAACACATCAGTTAATATTAGATAGTATGAAATAATTCTAAATGACAACATGTAGTTTGTGAATGACGTCTAACACTCTAATATCATTGACTTATCAACTATTACCAAAGAAAACATGACATTCAATGGTAAATCATATAAGGTTCTTTGAAATGTGGAAGGAAGTTGAGGGAAGCGCTCGACACGGACATAAGTATTAAAAATCCGATCGAAACAACACTAAACAAAAAAAAATTTTTATTTTTTGAATGGTTATTTGTAAATATAATCTACACAATTTTGGCGTTTTGTGTCCTCGCAGTTAAATATTTTAACTCAACTTGCAAGAGAAGCAAATAGGCAATTATTTTTACTATTAGCTACTTAGACACTACTTTCCTTTGTGTGGTGAATAATACCTGTTTAATTTACCTTTCATTTAAACTAGTATGTTGAAAAACAGGACTAGAAACATTGTTGTCTTGTTGACCTATATTTGGCCAGGATTGGGGTAATGTAGGACGGGATGTAGATTTACTTGCAAAACTGAAATTAGAATTGTTACATTCAAATACTTTAAGTAAAGGATGATATCCCTTTCAAGTAACAATAAGTTGTTGTCTTATTTAAATGTTTTAGACGTATACGTAAATGGTTTAGGTATTTTGCCTCCGGGCAAGTATAAAATGGAAATGATTTATTGAATTATCGTAAATTATCTGAAAAATTATAGTAGGTATCCTTTGCCGTTATAATGAATCTATCCGTGGCACATAGGAAAACAACCTCCAGATTTTTTTACTTACTCTGATATGGTACCGGTTGCTGATAAAGAAGCAGTTAATAATTCTCTAATAAATTCATTTTGACAATTAACGAGACAGTTAACTATATCACTACTAAGTTTATCTCTATTTCTTTCTAAAAACCCTTCAGCATCATAGTATACCTACAAATAAAACATTACTTTTATTTTTCATACATACGTATACAATATAAGTTGTCAAAGCTTAGATGTAACATCACACTTAATAGGATCCAATTTAAACTGTTATCAGTTGGAAAATGGAAAATCCGAAAGCTTCTGACCTAATGAAAACGAAAGAGTAGCCCAAACCTCGCTTAACATGTGCGCAAATATAATGAAATATTCATACCTTTTCCGCATAATGTGACACTCCGAAGATGCAATGGTTTCCTTTTGGTGGTATATATCTATCATTAGGACTACAGTAACGATTCAGTTTATGGACAAGTGAAGCATCCGAAGATTGTGGAAATGTTGACTCTTCATCCAGCAGTGGTAAAATACCATAGGATTTCTGAAAATAATATCAATACAATGTACTTTGTTTGATTATGGGCTGTTATAGGCAATGATGAAGTTATATTACTTGACCTAACTATACGGAAATTTAAAAAAGTTGCTCATTAAAACATTTAGGAACGGTGGAGATCAGAAAAAATATTATTTTCTTTTATTAGAGCTGTCGTACTCCGCATGTCAACAAATAAATAAATACGAAATTTGAGTTGATTTAATAAAAAATTCCACTGACCAAAAATATCAACTCTAAAACATCTTCATTAGATCGGTACGTAATATCAGTCCAATTTATTCCCTCTATTTCATACTCTTTCTGCTCTCGTGGAAATACATAGTCCATAAAGTGTTGCTGGAGACGTTCATTGGACACATTGATGAGAAATTGATCAAAGCTGTTTCTTTCAAAATTCTCAAATCCAGACATGTCTAAAAGACCAATGGATGGTCCATCGGTAGAGCTGAAATAATAAAATCATCGTTATTCATACACATACTCGAGTTGGTAATGCGTAATATGAGAGGAGGTTTTCATGTTCATAGCATAGCTCTAGAGAATAAGAGTTTAATTTCCAGATTGTTACAATTATTGATATAGATTACAAAGAAATTGGTTTCGATTACAAACTGTATAGTTTGAGATATGCTTACTTTCTGTTCAGCAGACTATCCGAGGAGAGATTTCTGTTTATCTGACCCACGATCCACCCAAATAATCTCGCATACAGTTCTTTACACAAAGCATCACGACTGTTGTTGGCTTCTCTTTCATTCTTTGGACATCTGAAACTTTCACCTGAATCACAAGATAGAAATTGTTAATTGAAAGTGTTCATATTAAACGAGGTGCATGGAAATCTATTTTGTCAAATATTTAAAAAAATTGGTATGGCCGTTTGTTACGTTGAGTTTGATAGGAACCGGTAAATGTCTGCACCCCTTTTTACTTAAATTATAATGACTGAGTTTGACTAAGGCAACATATGTTGTTCTAAGACCTCGTGAGATGATGAGCACAGACTTACCTCGAATTATATTAACTTGTGATACCAATGCATCCATAAAGCCTTGTGTATCAGATATACGCAGTAGATTACAAACAGCCTTCAGTGGATAGTCATCAGCTATTGTTACACCTTCGGCATCTAGATTCGGTATGAATTCAATGTTAGCTAGATTCAGTATGGCCGAAATCGTCATGTGGATGAAAGTCAAATCCTAAAATAACAATTGAAGTAAAAAGTTGAGTATGCATATTGTCAAAGTTTGTCAGTCTTGTAATGCGAAAGTAGTTGAGAAGCTTGATTATAAGAAGGTTAATATCATGGTTTCGATGTTTTTGGACATAAGGAAAAGAAAGATCATTTTCAAATTTATCATTACCTCTTCAGTAAATCCTATTTGATACATGATATTAGTTAAATTATCATACATCTGTTTATAATACAACAATTGGTTTTTAGAACCAAATACTGGTTGATTGGTATTAGCATCTTTGAGTATTCTGAAATAACATCAAGCAGCAAATTAATATATGCAAAAGCTTATCTATATCTCCGGACATATCTAGGCAGTTTGGACATAAGAATATAAGTTTTCTTCAACTGGATCAATAATTCTGCATTTATTGGCTGTACACTAATAGAAATGAGAAAGAATGATAGCATGAACCGCAAAATTGTAAACGAAATATTTGTGATTTACAAAACAGTTTCGAACTACATTTTTTCCATGATCTTCAAAAATTCCATCAGATCAATAAACAAATGAAGTAAGGAACATGGTCAAGCTCAACTAAGTTTAATATATTGGAAAATATTATCTATATAAAAAAATTACCTGTAATGATTTGGATCTTCCAAGAAGTAATACAGCAGTTTCTCCCGGGACATTCCAGCAAGTAAGGCGTAGAAAATATGGAAATTTTTTTCTCCGCGACATCTGTGAACCACTCGAGATTTCTCCAATATATAATCATGAAATTTTGCTGAAAAGGAACCAACATTTCATGAAATTGCAATTATATTGAATCATATTTTGTCTCATATTTATGTTGCTTCGAGAATAATAGCTTTCTCATGATAGAAATACAGATAAAGATAATTGTGAGTTTCTTACCTCCTAATATTTCACCATTGTCTTTATAATAGAGTTCCACAAATTTACCAAATCTACTCGAGTTGTTATTAACAACAGTTGAAGCATTACCAAAAGCTTCAAGTAAAGGATTCACCTGTAATATAAACCGGAACAATGATAATCTACGCAAGTAATGTAGCTTGTATCCGACATTTGATTGCACTCGTGATCAGTACTTCTCGTAGAAAAAAGATACCTATGGTATAGCCCTTCCAATCTATTTTAGGCAATTTAAGAACAGATTGGGGAGTTATCATACGATCTCACAAAAATGTAAGGGCGTCTGAAATACCATCAAGGTCAAACTATACACGTCTTTTATATTTAAACTTATATCCTTGTGGTTTACTACTTTTAACGCTTCATTGCAATGCAAAATCTTCACATACCTGAACTATTTTATCCAGATATTGCCTGTCCTCACTAGAGCTAACATGCATCAAATGACGAATGATATATTTAGATGATTCTGTTTTGCCGGCTCCTGATTCACCACTCACTAGGATACATTGGCTCATACCAGAATCCAACATGTTCCTATAACATTGGTCAGCAACCCAAAAAAGATGAGGAGGGTTGTTACTTCGCACCGATACACTAGAGTAAGATGCATGGTTCTGAAATAATAAAGAAATATTTAAAATAGAACGTCCATCAGAATACAGTAATATTCATCAGCAGTATAAAGTAATATTCATCAGCAGTATAAAGTAATATTCATCAGCAGTGTAAAGTAATATTCAACCAGCAGTGTAAAGTAATATTCATCAGCAGTGTAAAGTAATATTCATCAGCAGTGTAAAGTAATATTCAACCAGCAGTGTAAAGTAATATTCATCAGCAGTGTAAAGTAATATTCATCAGCATTATAAAGTCATATTCAACAGCAGTGTAAAGTAATATTCAACAGCAGTATAAAGTAATATTCAACAGCAGTATAAAGTAATATTCAACCAGCAGTGTAAAGTAATATTCAACCAGCAGTGTAAAGTAATATTCAACAGCAGTATAAAGTAATATTCAACAGCAGTATAAAGTAATATTCATCAGCAGTGTAAAGTAATATTCAACCAGCAGTGTAAAGTAATATTCATCAGCAGTGTAAAGTAATATTCAACCAGCAGTATAAAGTAATATTCAACCAGCAGTGTAAAGTAATATTCAACCAGCAGTATAAAGTAATATTCAACCAGCAATGTAAAGTAATATTCAACCAGCAGTGTAAAGTAATATTCAACCAGCATATATAGTAATATTCAACCAGCATGTAAAGTAATATTCAACCAGCATGTATAGTAATATTCAACCAGCATGTAAAGTAATATTCAACAAGCACGTAAAGTATTACATGTAAGCAGTGTAAAGTAATATTCAAAGAGCAGTGTAAAGTAATATTCAATTAGCAGTTTAACGTAATATTCAATTAGTAGTGTAAAGTAATATTCAATCAGCAGGGTAGTAATAAGTAATATTCAATTAGCAGTGTAAAGTAATATTCAATTAGGAGGATAAAATCAATTAATTAATGAAATTGATTAAAAACAATGGTCCTTGTACTTACTCTTTCATCAAAAATATTGGTTGGTTTACAGGGATTGACTGCGACCAATATATCACCAATATACGTCTGAAACAATAACATGTATCAGTTTTATTGTTTCTTTAACAGTTTCCAGTATAATGTGTTTGTATGACTACTGCCACTGTAAAGATTGTGCATTTTCTGTGTCTCATAACTTCTTTTCATTTTATAACACTTGTATACAGGAAGCGATTTCAATCACATAGCAGTAGGCAAGATACTGAGCAAACGAAAGAAAGCTGATGATACTGTATACTTACATAGAATCTGTCTCTTTCATATCGTTTCTTTAATGTTTGTAGAATGTTATTTTCATCCAAAATTTCAAGTTGACATAAATCATCAATCACTCCCATTGTAATATCTTCTGTAAAACCTTAGTTCCCGATGTACATGCTTTAAGGTCTAAAATACAATTCCACATTTACTAGTAACTCATGGGTGAAGAGTTTCTATCCAAATATTGTACATTGGGCACACTTGCAAGGTTCTATTTGTACCTCTCTGTTATTCTATCAACGTCTGTGGTTTTAATCAGATTATGACTGCCCTAAGCAAATAGCATTTGTAGTGATATCTTGAAAGCCTCTATTGAATATGTTTGAAGTTAAGATAGTTATATGATATGACAGTGTTCGTTCAATTCAGGTATAACTTCAATGAGCCAATTATAATTCTTTTGCACCAATCTCGCTTATGTTCAAATTCAAGCCTTAATTTTGATAAGATAATTCTTTTATCGAAAACTCCTCTAGACATATCCAGCTATTTTCATTTACTGGATATTGCCGTAAGCAACGTTTCAATAATTTACATTATATAGTCTCATGATCACATTGTGGTCCCGAATGAACATGAATATTTCGCTATTTAACGAAATGATTGAAACCAGAAAACGTTGTATCTATATATAACATCAATAACTAACCCATCTAGATTCAATACAAATTCATACGGATTTTAAATTTAAAGAAAATAGGAATATTTCTTAGTTTTTTCAAGTACAGGGAAAATGTATTGATAACAAAATCAAACTTAAGTAAAATATAAAAAAAAAAATTTCTAAAAATTAATGAGCTAATCAAAAAATTATAAAATCAAAGTAAACATGCAAATGTTGACTTACAGTTAATAGGTAAATCCGTTTATAAACCGAAATTAATTTCCACTATCTTTGTTTCTAGTCCTCATTAGTGGCTGTCAAAAATACAAATGATAAATTCTAAATAATTTTCTCTATGTATATAGGCCGCCACTAATTAAAGAACAGATATGCATGTCAAAGGCTTTTCAAGGTTGAGAAAATCTTTTGATTAGCATCCCGTCATTTATCAAAATAATAAGTGATGATGAGAGGTCATAAGTTGACCACTGTCCACTACTGTCCACTTCAATAAAAGGTCATTTTTAATCATTTCTATTGTCTTAACTTTTAATTAACTTATGTTGTTTATCTTGAACTCTGTTCAGACAAACAATTGCATGTCTTTTGTTAAGTATTTTCAGATAGAACACGGGTTGTTCATTAGGCGACCCGGTCAGGTCATATTGCAATATTGAGAGCAAAACATTTTAATTTTAACTTATATTGTTTCATATGTGATTGATTATAGAAATATGATTTATTATTGAAAATTGAGTTTTGTTATATATTACAATATATGAGTCATGTATTTTTTTTTTACCTTTTTAAATATTTGACTGTCTGTGTATTTGACTTACAGCAATATAGAGTATATCATCAATTTACTTGAAAAAATCGTTTGTTGAGGGATGGTTAAAATCACGTTATTTAAATTACAATGCATTTATATAAATATATATCATTAACAGAAAGATAACACAGGCCTATAGGGGAGGGGACAATGCCCCCTCCCCCCCCCCACTACCCCCCCTCCCCCGAAAAAATGTATTGCCCTCCTGACAACCGACCCATTCCATTACTGCAAATAAATACTACACGCCATTGCCCCTCCGGATATATTACTTGCCCTTCCAAACAATTAAGTCTGGCAGTATGGGCCTACACAAAATAATAGAAAAGAATGAGCTAACAGCTATAGTCTTCCACGTTAGGATGCCGTCATGGCATTTCAAATGTATAGAAGCAGAAGAAAATGAAAATATTGTATCTTTAGTTCACAGTGCTGGGCAATGCAAAAACCAGGAATTTTTGCGTCCTATATTATAAATTAGGCCAGAGAGGCGACATTGCCTAACTTTTTTCCGATTGGTCTATTTAAGGAGCATAGTTTGTATCTTATGTTACCTAGGTTACTCATTGTAACTGCATGTTCACCTCAATCAAATTTTTGCCTTTGGAATCTCTCTAATGCCAAAAATAAATAGGGGATGGAGGGGTACCAGAAGCTTTACACGATAGCCATTAATATCTGCATTTACAAGATTTTTTTATAGGGCATATTGCGCGATAATTCATCGGATATAAAACTCCTGTCACTTTTCACTTCGGAACTTTAATAGATATTACAGTGTCATAGTTTAACCTTGTTGAAAATGAACGTAACTAATTCCAAACCAGGCGATGCCACTGTAAGTGTTCACCAGATAATGAAAAGGTTACTACTATTTTTTTTTTATCTTGAAGATAAGGTTACTACTATTAAGTAAGGTGTCTACTGAAATACTTTGATAAAATATCAGTATGGTAATTTAACTAACGAGCAGTTGACGAACCTTATATTTCCAAATATTATTTGAACGAATTGATCTTGTGTTTAATTTAAAATAGTGATGACATGAGCTTGAAGAGGTTGATCATTGTTAAACAACCTTCACTGATTGACAACCTTTTCCATCTCTGTTCGATTTCACACGCATTGAACTGCTTCACAAATAACAAAGTATAATAAGTTACACATCAAAAGGTGAAAAAGTTTAAAGGTGTTATGCAACTGCAATGAAATCTGCTTGTAACCTCTCTAACAAATCTTGATCGGTCAAATATTGTTTTCTTTCGGTTGCCTTAAATTTCAAAACTACGCGGGAATTTAATCTGTTTAATCTACAGAATAAGCCTGATGGCCTCAGTGACAACTATTATGATTGTCATTATGCAGATTTGTATAAAACACTTGTCTTATGAATTTGCTTCATGTAATTGCAAACGCGAGTTTTTCGATATTGCTACCAAAGTAACATTGCGTTTCATTGATATATTATTTTTTGAGTATTAAGAATATCAAAAAGAGAAAGGACGATCATTATTCAGTGTTTACTATGAAGTGTTAAACGAATACCATACTAACACTGGAGTTACGTAACAGTGACAATGACATAAAACGTTTATCAAATTTTATATGATTGGTTTTTTTTTACCTTCTTACGAGAAGTCTTGTCCCAATAAAAACTGCTCAGGTCACAGACTGGTGCACTCATAAACATGCATGCAATTGATCAGATGGATTCAAATTCGCTTATTGATAATATTAGAAATAGCGATTGTCACCTTTAGTTTCTATTAGATTCAATTTTCCATTTCAGTAGATTATTGTACTGTAGCAAGTTACTGGGGTCATTTCAGTAATTACTCAGTAAATATTGTTATTTCGAAGTTGATGAGTCGATGAAGCATAACCAAAGAGCAGAAAACAAGAGTTCGACAATGAAAATAAAAAAAACATAGATGGAGAGGATTAGACTTTGACAGCATTGCTATACCATATTACATTTCCAGTAAAATTTGCCTTTTTTCTGATAATTTTCACATGCAATATCAAATACATGCAATCAAATACAAACTCAAAGCAGTCTTACCTTCACAAGAAATACAACAAATTTTCGACATGTATACAAATCTTATAATAAATAATCCGGAGGCGTCATCAAATTTTTAAATCAAAATTTCCGTGATTTGAATAAAAGGACACGGTGTTCTGACTATCCACTCCTGATTTCTACTGACAATGTGACATCACATTAACCACATAGGAATAGAAATATGAGTTTTTACAGTTGAGTAGGTATGGTAGATATCTTTCCTTGTTACACCATCCTTTCTACTTGTCAGTCTTCAGTGATATATTAAACATGGTTTATATGAAGGTGTTTTCTTATATTATATAATTTATCAATTTATATCAATCCCCAAAATATTACTGTCATTTTTAGTGCATTGTCAGGACATATTTTTATCTGGATTAATTAATGTTAGTTTCTCAGTACGACATTTTACATTTTAACAGTACATGTAAATATTCCCTGAAGAGACATTTCCGTGATGATTGTTGGTTAAATAGATCAACATGATTGTAATGCTACCTACCATTTATTCAGGCTAAATGATCATTTTAATATCATGTATATGGCTAAGTGTCAGATATATAGAAACCGCTGACGTCGGATCAAATGAAATTATGGTTTAATTAGAAACTCTGTCCGATACACATTTAAAAGTGGGTAATACTGTTTTAAATCTTATCTTATATCTTTTAAATATTATCCAATATCTGTTTGAGGTACTCAATATAAAAACTGTTTATTTATCTGGAACTTGATCATTTAAAGGTACATGTCATGGAAGGTTGGTGTTAGATAATTATTGACACAGTTTTCTGAAACCGATTGTTTCATATAAGAAAAGATTGTCAAATGTTCTCTAAGAATCATGTAAAATGTATGTAAGTAAGGATAAAAAGCTCTTGTTATGAAACATGTCCACTGTCAGTCATAGTCTAGCCGTTAAAATAGGATTATATCACATGCTGTCAGTGACACTGCTAACACGACGTAATAACAGATTAATACGATTATAAACTCTTTTATTTAATCACAATAGGTTACTAAAATACTATGTTAACTTATATCTAGTTGTCTGTTTAAATATTATAGGTTGACAACCATTGTTGTCTGGAGCTTGTCCTTAACAATTCCAGATTTCGGCACATGTTCCAAATAAGTCTCTCGGAATATTTCGTTTACTCGCCTCTAACACAGAATTAACATAGATTATCTCCCCTGATGATGACGTGACAGATAAACAACAGGGCTCGGGGACGGTCGACAGTAATGGTCTGAACATGTAATTTGTATCCGTCTACATCGTCTGTATTTTTGCAATATCGTAATAAAATAGTTATAGAAAAACATCCACTATTTTCTTCTGCTCTACCATCGAGAACAGCACATGACGTCTAATCGGATAGAGGGCAGAACAAAGTTTTAACTTCAAGCTTAATTGTACCTTTTCCACCTATAGTACTAAATTACTTAACCTTTAGTCAGAATCATCAATTAAATTGATCGGAATTTCTTTTTAAAAAAATGTATTAGAATATGATCATCTTCTAGGAAACTGACTTAGCTAATAATAACTTACACTGCAGTAGCCTACTAGGCCTACATTTCGTTTTTAATATGATATAATAATCCGCGACACAATTCTTTTCGATGCATGATTTTAATTAAAACCGTGTGATCAAACACATGAATGTATTTCCAAAATATATTCTATTGAAATTTCAGGACTATAAAATGTCTCAAAATGCACTACATAACTCTGTTGGTGACAAATTGGATACATTTTTTCAAGATCAAGGGAGTCAATTTTACAAAATGAATTTTGACCAAATCGAAGGGAGGCAACCATCAACCAAGATACAAATAAATAACAGGTAACAACCCACTGAAGTTAAACCTATTAAATGATTATTTTCTTGATACCCTAGATATTTTCCTTGCATTGAAGCAAATCTAATGTCTCAGTCATAGAGGGACAAATTTTACCGAAATTTTACCCTCTGTAAAAAACTTCAGTGCGATAATATCTGCCCATTATATATACTTCTCAATGACGTCTGTCGTTAATATTTTGATACTGCTATTCACATTACCCGTTAAACTGAAATTTCTGACAAAATCACTGCTATGTCTTACGGAATATTCTCTGAAACTATTTTAACCTTAGGCTTTCAAATGGACACTACCAAAATTACAAATCTTTTTTAAAACGTGCGAAAATCAAAACATATGCAAGTCAAATCGCAAGCTTTCAGTTGGCATCAAAAAAAAGTTCACGAATAATAAGTCAAAATACCAAAGCTCATTTCATAAAAAATCAAAAAAAAAAAAAAAAATCTCACCTGGTCAGACCTAAATTAATGGCAACGATTAAATTTTTAGTGTAAATAAATTTTTAATACAATCGTGGTTTTTATATTTAAATAATATGAATCATGCTATTCATAAGGTCCTGTATGAATCTTTCTGTTGTATTTCTTGGTAATAAATAATATTTTTTCCACAAAAAACAATAAATCACGATTTAAAAAGGATGTCCAAGCCCAACTGACAGTACAATGTAAAAAAATGTCTAAATATAATTGTTTCAATTATGTTTAACGCATCTGTTTTGAAAACACGTACGACATCTGTGAGTAGGAACATAACATATTCAATGCCACCCTGCAAACTTGGTTGTGGAAATCTGGAAATGCTTCTCGAATGAGGTCGATTTTTGCAACATTTAAAATTCTTCATGCATCTAAGTTGCATTGTTAACGCCATATTCCACAATCTTATCAGACGCTTTTACGGGACAAAATTCAGCTACTGGATTTGTCAACTCGACATGTCTTAAAAATAACACTCCAGAAGACTGACGACTCTGTTGGTTGAAAAGTCTGTCTCCAAAGTTTTGTGTCAACATATTAGACTTTATAATAGCACACCAAGTTCACTCTTCACTTTATTCCACACTGTCACCATGTTTGTCAATTCGAATAGCTCACATATCTAAATATTCTTTACTGAGTATTTTTTTATACGAAGTTAAACCATAAAAAACAATACAAAATATCACAAAAATAAGATAGTTTTATGCAGTTATGGAAAAGTAATTATTCTATGGCCCAAAGAGTATGAGAAAGAGAGTACATGCACGCTGTATATGCACGGCGCAAGCTGTTTAGAGGTTGGTAATAAGCAAAGTAAAGGATTATTTTGTACTAATCCATCTAGGATTATTATTTAAACATGTTGAACTCGTCAGACGATTGTCGAAACTTTTTGGTAACGGAACGCAGTTATAAGAGGTATCTATAGCTATGCCAGTTTCATTAACGATACATAAAAGGGATTGCATAGGGCTTTCGAAACCTTGTATTGCAGACATTGCTCGCATTTGTACCATACCAATTGTCTGATTCCACTAAAACGAAGTGTTTACGTATAACGAATGTTATAGATTTATTGTACTTCTACACAAAATTGTGATGTCGACCAAGAAACTTTTTTTTCAAAATAAATAGTCTTCTTATAGTCTTTCTCAAATACAATTTCTCTCGCATCTTATTTCGTACTTGTAATGAAATGACTCGAATGGTTCAAACGATGCTAAATGCTGAGCACATGTATAGTTAAATATACAGATGTCACTAGATGAAATGTATGTAGCCAAAAAAAAAAAAATAAAAAAAATAACGTCTTCCATGTAAAGGGTATATTCTAGTACATGTTAAGTGGTTAGTAATGTTGAAATTATTTAACAATATATCAACATGTCAGAAATATAGCATTTATCAAATACATGTTGCTTTGTTTTTTGTACTGATTAATGATTAATTCGAAGGATTGTGATATGGTTTTGCTGGAATTCAAACGAATACATGTATATAATGACATGTATGTATATATTGAAATAATGGGGACATTTATCTTGTCACAACTATTGTCATAATGTATGGGATTTAAAGGGACAAATGCGCCTTTTTTGGCTAATCATGCTTTAGTCTCAGAAAAAGGATTTTTTTTTAGCTAAGCCAATCAGTAATAGTGTAACCGTCGAAATTTGAGCCTACAAATCCATGTGTGTCCAGAATTATCCGCGTGTGATAGTGAAAACGACGAGTCGTCTTTTTATGATACACTGTCATATATAGAAAAAACATCTATAGAAATACTAAAAGAAATTCTCAGCTTGAGATATTTTTGATGGAATTATCCTATGCGATTTTCGTACAAATTCTAGCACTTCTAAAGACTATTTACATATATTCAAGACTCAAATCAACCTCCCAAAATGGAGCATCTGTCCCATGTAAGCATCAGGTACAAACACAATGTTTTTTTTTTTCCTCGAAATATCGAAATCAGTATCATCTAGCCCTCATGTCCTGACTCCTCCTTCGATTAACAAGTATCATAAGAACAGAAAGATGTGATGTCAGGTTCATATTCCTCATAAGAATTTCACCAAAAACAAACCCCATAAAACTTTATTCAAGCTTAATATTAATAATTCATATAATATAAAAATATCTGTTATCGGAAATGTATTAACATCATAATAAATTATGGCACTTAAAATATACAAATATCACAGAAATAAATAAACATAATACTATAAATATATATAATGATTAGTAACAAGCATATTGTCTTCAGGAAAAATACAAATCAGGTACCCGATGCTGGTGCACATGATTCTTTGAGAAAATCTATACCACTCTGTCCCAGCACCCTCTTTCAGTGTTTTTTCGCATTTTAGAAAAGCGACTTGCTGTAGCTTTTACCTGTTGAGTTCCATGTCTAAGGAACTAACTTGAGTTCCTCTACTTAATCATTGTGCTGCAGGTCATATTTATCCTTTGTCAACCAGGTTTGACAATTCGTTCAGGTCATTATATTTTATAACTACTGTCGTGAGAGAATATTACATTCTCTTGTCAATTCTCATATCAATCATAATCACATTCTGGTATAGTTTCAGGAAAATCTGGTTTGTAGGAAGCGTTGTGGAAAACCGAGGAACTTTTTGGGGTGTATCTTCGTGTGTAATTGGACGTTGATGGGGGGTTAAATTGTCTGTGAACGGTTGATTTGCGGTTGTAACGTCCACGTGTATAATTATGTTCAGATTCGCCGAATTGTTGACTTAAAGGACTGATGGATGTTCTCCTGTATAGATTTCTAACGGCAATACTCCTGTTGTTTCTTTGGGAGGTTGCTACCCAAGCACTTGGCTGAAAATCTTCCATTCCAGCTACCATACTCTTTCTTCGACGTTTGTGTTCCTTTGTTACAATTTTCTCATACTGACTGATTGGTTCGTCAGTTTGTTCACTTTCATCATCTTCATTGTCTGAATAGTCGATATCTAATGCTGGATATTCTGAATCACTTTCAGAATCATCTCTAAATATAACTTCCTGTTCACCTTTCTGCATTTCTTCAATTTCTTTTAGGGCAGTAGCGGTATCATTCGTGTTGTAACTACTGCACCAGTCAATTGTAGTGTTAGAAATTAGCAATAGGAAAGTTCCCCACCGATGTATTAACATAGCTATAAATTGAGTCAAAATCAGAGCAGCGAATACGCCAAGAAACAACACAGAAACTGGTTCGTATTTTCCAACAATGAAGAATTGGTCTCGTAGCAGATCTTCTTTTAAATCTAACTGAAGAATAACTAATGTGAACATAAGATTTACCAGAAAGTAAGCAAACACCACATTATTCCGGATTGATTTAAGATCACTAGCTATTTGTTCTTGTCTCTCTTTGTTTTCTTTGATAGGCAACAAGAACTTAGTGAGAAGTTTCTGCCAAAAGATGGTTTCATTCTCTGACAATTCTCCTTCAATTCCATCTTTGATACATTCGGCAGATTTCCAAGAATCAGGAAGTTCAACCCATTTCACTTTCGGTTTTCGAGGAACTTTCTTTTTCACCGCTGGGGTACATTGTCCGGACGGGACAGTAGTTGTCAATCCAGATTCCATCTGATTTGGTGTACTGCTCGAGCTTTTAGGCTCGGCCTCTTTTCCTAGAGTTTGTCGAATGAAATTACTAAGTTCATCAAATATGGACGGGATACCGATTGAATCAATGAATTTTCGAAATTTACTTTTTTCTGGTGGCTTTTGTACTGGCATCCCCAATTCATCATCATCATCAGTTTTCTTAGGCGCTTCCCGGGTACCCCATGATACAATATTCAGATTGCACAAGAAAAATACTGTAAGGAATACGAAAGTTGAAGGTACGGTTAAATAGTACAAGATACCATGGATTAAACACATAAGTTCTTTAGGGTGAATCAAGGCAGTTATCACAAATATTGCTGACAGTCCCACAAGAAAAAGAACATTAGGTGTGTAAAAGTCTTCCTGAACGATATTTATCACTGTACCAACAGATACAATAACCATCACAATAGCATAAACAGAAGATAGAACGGCTGCTACTGCCACTTGTGTTTCTGTCTTTGCTTTCAAACATAGAAGAATAAAGGCTAGTATTGGTAATACAGAGAGCAAATAAGACTGCCAGGCATTAAAATTAAGTACTGCAGTATAGGATCCGGCTATCATGAAGGACACTGTTCCAGGAGCTAGAATACTCGATGCCATTAGGATAAACTGATAAAACATGAATGGTGTACTGATGTTGTTGTTCATTTTTATGGTAGTTTTCCAGGAGCCTAGAAGATCCATAACGTTTGCCATAGTAGAAGGAGACCATCGTCGTCGCTGAATGTAAAAATCATGAAAAGTTTCAGGAGCGTAAGTGAATGCATCCGAACCAGCACAATAGTCAATCTTGTATCCTTGTTGTAACAGAAGAGTACATAACCACCTATCCTCACCTAAATAAAACATACAAAAAGAGCACATATAAATCTTAATTTTAAGACAGGAATAAAATAATTTAGTTTTCAGCTTTTATGGTTACATTATAATTGTTTGCAATTTTGTGTCGTCTAAATGTCTAATTCTATAGCAGCTATTTTCATGCCGCTAGTACAAGTTTGGGGCATTAAAGAAGATGGTTTGGAAAATGGGTATTAACTTATCAACGACTCGAGCCATGTAAGTAAAGGGAGTATACTCTATAAACAGATAGAGAAGTCAACAACGTGATTACAACTATGCTCTTATACAGGGGTTTTCCATCTTGGGATTATTAAGGCGGCAATGAGGCACTTTGTAATCTAGATTAATATTTTGTGACAATTAGAACTTAAGTTGTTCTTTTCAATAAGACTATATTCTCCAACAAGAAAAATAAAACAATAGGATTTTTATGGGGACGATCAACGATCCTGACAGTGATAGAAAGAAAAAGGTTGTAAACCCCTGCTGTTGACTAATCTCGAACCGACCACTTAATTTCGGAGTGGACATTCTACAATAACTGCTGGATTTGAACCTCTGCATTCATTTTGAAGATAAATTGTCATTATACATATCATATTCAAAGCAGTTGCGACATGCTGCCTTCAGAATACCTACCCTGTTCATATTGTATAAAATGCTTTGCTTCTGTGGCATCTATAGCATAGAGTCTCATAACATTATCATCCATCAGTGACAGTCCACGAAATAAACTGAAACATCCGGGACAACATAATACACAGCCTAGAACATTCTCAGTAGCTTTCTGTAACCAATGACCAACTGAATATTCAAATTGTTGGTACCATACCATTGGGCCTAAAATAAGATCATTATGTTAAAAGTCCAGACATTTTATGCACAATCTTAAACTAGTAACTTGGTTGATTTCTGATGTTCTGCTTCCATTGGTTATGTTTTGATCCATTATCATGAATTTTTGTCATGCTATTTCTACACAAACGTGATTCGAAAGTAGGGGCCTTAAAAACTAATCTTATGATGATTTTAGTATTATAATCGTCCGATTGTCAATGATTAAAATCAGATTACAGAATCTTAAAATCTCAATTTTATTTTCAAGGTCCCAGTAGTTGAGAAGAGATCTTTTACCTTGTCCAATAGGATGAATTCTACCGCACACAGCTGCAACATCTCGATTTTTCTTCATCCTATCAATCAACAATCGAACAGATTCTGGCCCAAAATCAACATCCCCATCCAGTGCCATTATAAAAGTATTAGCAGCCTAAAATCATACAATATTTTAAATATTGGTCTCCTAATATTTTACGAGGTATATATATTACAATTCATTCATGTGATTTCTTTTCCAAATCTGTAGATTGTGACGTGTACTATATCTCTTTACCGCTAGTTGGCACAATGACAGACACTCTTCTATGATGATCAGAATGAACAAAAGAGGTAGGTCGGCAGCTATTTGGAATAGGCGTCTCTATAAACGGATTGCAAACTCAAGTCTCAAGATAAATATGAAAGGATATTTCCGCCTACCTCTTCCACCACAGTAGCTGGTAATTTATTTAGTAGAGAAGAATATGGACGTACTCCAGATGCCGATGGTGCTCTACCTTTAGCTTCACGAAGCAAATCATCTGATGTTTGATAGTTCTTCAATAGTTTATGTCCCAAGAGATAATACATGTACATAATCTGTAATTAATAGACACATATTTAAGTGACTTTTGAAAAACGCTACTAAGGGTATTCCAAGGGAAACACGAACATAATTCTCGGCTGAATTCAAGCATAACCTGATCGGATCTACCATAAAAGGGAATTTTAAGGAAAGCTTAATCTAACTTTTCCATACCTCCACAGATTTTATATTGTTCGAGGTACGATAATAAAAACAAACCTGAGACCATCTCTTTTTGTGTCTAATCTTATTTTTATCTTTGAGATGGACCTCCATCTTGGTACCACCTGGCATGATCCACTCTAACCGTCCACCATAGGGAGTGGTGATTTTCTTCACAGGTTTCAATACAACACTACCTTTAGATACAGATCTGAAAAGAAGTTGTAATGGTATTGAATATTTTGGCTGAAATATCTTAAAAATGTCAAAAGTCTTAGGCGCAATTTCAAATTTCAAAGAGAGTTGAAAGAAATATTACTTACGAACATGCCATAGGCATTACTTGAATCAACTGTCGAACATAGCCATTCATCATTCTCTGTTTAGTTTTTTCATCTGTTTCAAAGGCGTCGTCAAATATAATATGAACTGAAAGTATAATAGTATGCAGGTAACTTCAGAAATACCAATGTTCGCTGAACGGACTTTTCTTGGTAAAAATTGATTTCTACATTTCTAAATCATGCCTATTCATGAACCAATGGAGAATTTTACTTACTTTCTGCTGTGTACAAATCTTCTATATTGGTTTCAAATTTTTTCTGAGCCAGGTATCGTTTACAGATGTCAAAATCCAACCTGAATTGAGTGATAAATAGGTCAAAAAGGTCTTTTGTGGAAGCCAGCAGTTGATTTGAACAATATTTGAATTGAAGCCGTTTGAAATTTGTCTTTAGCGATACCGAACCTTGTTTCTATTACGGCATTTAGTCATTTGCTTCTCACTTTGAAACAGCTATTTCATACGATATTCATGGTCACTTCATAATCCCCCATCACTCTCTTCAATTTATTCCTATGGTCAAATTTGTTATGATATCTATTTTCTTGCAATATAATGTGGAATAGGATGAAAATGTACGTAGTGGCTCCAAGCAAACCGATTATTTGAAAAGTTTACCTGAACAATGATTTCAATAACTGTAACATTTCTTGTTGAATTTCATGCCACATAGTTGCACAAATGTAAACCATCGGTTGTTTAAATGTCTGTTTTTTCTTCTTATATTCAATATTCTCGGCTTTATCTTGTCGTCGTTTTAAAGCCAAACTAACGTCAGGGAATACTGGGTCGCTATGCCCGAATGAAAACAACCTACAAAAATTAATTCATTTGTAAGAAATTGGTTCATTTTTTATCACCAGCTGGGGCAGAGAGATAAGATTTTTAACCAAATGGGACATAGTTAAATATTGCGGTTATAATGTTTTCGGATTGTCAACACCAATTTTCAGCATCGTTGACCGAAACAGCGAAGACTTGGATTGCAATGTCAATGCCGCCCCCCTCGCAGCCCCGTAGGCTAGTTTTTTCGGGCAAGGCATTAAAAAAAATATTTTTTGAACGGCCCGATTTTTTTTTTTTTTGGAATTTAAAAATGAAATCATATCTTTGCCCGAATATCCTATACTATAACTGTATTTTTTTTAAATTGATAGCCCGATTCTATTCTCCTATAATAATATTTCATAATGCATATTAATTAGGGATCGAAGTCACTGCCCGAATGTCATTCGTATGATTATATTTTACATATTTCAAAAATTGAAATCGCAGCCCGAAAGTAGAGTTTAGAACTTTTTTTTACTCAACCAAAAAAAGGCAATTCGGGCACAGATTTCAATTTTTTTCAATAAATATTGTATGACATCTGTGTCCGAATTGTATTAAATTAAGATAGTTCGGTAAGGTTTCAGTGAAACAATAGTGTTTCTCTCGAAGTTTTCAAAACTCTCATAACTAAGTTAGAAATTCCGGCAACCTCAGATATCTCGCCACCCCTGGGACGTAACCCGCCACTTCATGTAAATGATGTTAAATAAAATAGATAGATGTTAAAAACATTTAGGTACAGGCAGTGACATAGGTCACAAGCAGAGGCAATGCATTTCAACATCTGAATACATCAAGAATAATTGAAAATATAATTCTAGATAATATTTGTGTACCCATGAAAATGAATTGAATTATCACGCTAAATGGTGATGGATACAATATGTTACAGGTAAACGATATGTAAAGAATATTGCATGACAAAGTAACTCACTTTTCTATTTTAGCCATTCTTTCAGCTTTTGGTTGCCATATGTGTCTTGTTAAGAATAAATAAGATAGATACACACCAATTGTCAAACCTATCGTTATCCAATCTGCTTGTCCCTGAGGTGCAGCAAATTTTAAACAACTGTTTGGAATGGTATACCATTCAACTGGGAAGCACAGACTACCTAGAGCTGTAAACACTATAGGTACAATCACAATTGGTAAAGCAAATCCTAATTGTTGCATGTGTAATCTACAAGCTATTCCAGAACAATAAACACACATATTAGTTGATATCATTTGAATATACATCAGCCCGAACTCTTTAAAATGTTCCAGTATTTTTTTCTTGATGAAAAACATGGAACTGAATGATTTCCAATAGTAGTTGAAAGAATCTTCCATATCATTGTCCAATAAAAAATGCATAAAAAGACCACTAAGGACTATCTGTATCGGTGCCGAGTAAATATAACCTGTCGTGCGCACACGGCGCAAATTCTTCCGTACTTCATTCAAATCAAAATTACAGCATTTTAATTTTCCGAAGGCGAAGTTCTCCCACCAGGTAACAGTAACACAAAAACATACTAAACAAAATAAAGCTCCCAATCGCAATTGGGAGTTATCACCCTTTGATGGCAATTGAGAAAATGTTCCCGTAAAAATTACAGCGAAAGGTGAGCCCAATTGCACCAAAAATACAAGAAATGATACAAAAATAACATAGATAAAGCGTCTTCTACCAGGAACATGGGTTGAAATATTTAATTCTTTTTCTAACACTGGGTCTATAGCTTCTGATTTTGGTTTAGCCCGTGCAGTAAATTCGTTATGTATATTTAAGATCGCTGGTAACAGACCAACTGATAATGTACATAATGTTGTTTCTATGGGTGATAAATACGGCATCACTAGCAGAATCATCACACAGCGTCCACATGTTTGAAATACATCTACCACAGTTAACTAGAATACAAAATGATATAGTAATTTTAATTTGCAGAAAAGATTAGGTACTGGTGGCAAAATGAGAATTCATTCTTTATATATCCGAGTAATTTCACTGGTTGCCAGTCATGTAAACAAGTACCCCATGTGATTACTTTTGAATACCTCAGTTGAATTTCTGTGTAACTTTTGTATAAAATGCAATAGCTCTTGAAACTTCTCTGTCAAATGTGCCAAAATATTTTGATTCCTTGATACATGCACCAACATAATCATTGTACCTTTTGGTTCTTCCGATGAAAGTATGGTACCAGAAGAAATAAAAAGAAACAGGAGTAGTCGAATAGTTTTGGAACCACAGTGTTAGTTAAAATGAGTGTTGGATTAGAAAAACCACAATTTGAAACTTGCTTTGCAATGATCTATTTTTTCATATGATAATTGCTTCACTTTAAATGAGTATTTATTTAATAACCTGATGATACAAGAATTAGAAATGAATTTTATATCTTATCATCTTACCACAAATATGGCCTTTTTTGAAGGTTTATTAGAGGTGGCAAACAAAGCTTTAAACATAGTTAAACACCATTTATATATCATTGGAACAGTAATACACCATATTAATTGAATAAATAACTTATTGCGATGAGGTTGTGACTGAAAAAGAAAAAAAAGATAACGCTTATGACGTTTTACGTCCTACTTTTCTGCACCTAATCGGTCTAATGAGGACGGACAACGCCGTGCAGTGAGGGAAATTTTGCTTGGACAACAGCCTTAGCCTATTCTTTTTCGATTTCCAACGGTCGAGAAATATTTTACGTGCACAGACTAGCACACGGGGCCTCGGGTTTGTTGACTTGTCCGAACGACTAGACCCTTTTCCATGTCAGCCCAACCTGTATCAATAACAGGAGGAAACCGGGTTGAAAAAACCGAAAGTATTATCTATACCAATGTCAAGATTGAACCATGGACCCTCAGGTTAGCGAGCAGTTTGGAATTTCGGGAAAAGCTGCACAATTCTTCTGCTGTTATCTGTTCATCTGTAACCTATTTGAGTTGTAGCAGTTAGATATGTTAAATTATAATACCTTAGATGTAACTATAACAGATTTGGAGATCCAGTACATGCTTAATTTGCTTACTGAACAACTTCCACACACAAAAACCAATAGGAAAATATACATAACACATCTGACGATTCGTCGTACCGAATCTTCGAATTCATTAGAATTTTCACAGTCTCTTTCTGTAATGCACATTGTTTCCCAAGCTCTAAAATACAAAAAGCAATACATTAAATATATATGATCAAACTGAGTGATATGGACTCAGATCACTAAAACGTTTTATGTACGAATGTAGTCCGTATTATATTTAGAAATCCTCTTTCTCCCTCCTTTAAAAATGTAGTCCGTATTATTTTTAGAAATCCCCTTTCTCCCTCCTTTACGGGTTCTTGCATGCCTATTTTTGAGTAATTTTTGGTCTAGATTTGGAATTTGATATCCGAAATTGCATTTTGCTTTCAGATTTCGTGAGATGATGAGAGATGTTCATGCGAAAGGATAATTCTAAAAATAGTCGTTTTGTGTGCAGTGACAGTGATGTTTATAAAATGTAGTGGTCTACTAGTTTTTATGGTCATGATATATTGAATTTTTGTCCAGACACTAAGTATTGACCAGTCTTTCATGTGACATATTGGAAAGTTTTCAACGAGATTTCTGGAAAAAGTCCATGTGTTCTGTGTAAAGGGGTAAACAAACTCTTTGAATGATATCAACTAGTTACTGCCGTGTGGGCCAGGTGTTTTTTTTAATATGCTTATGTGTGATTTTTCTTGCTGAGAAATAAATACATATCCAACTTACTCTGTTTTCGATGAATCTTTTTCTGATTTCGTCGATTTTGACGCATTCTTATCTGTGTCTTTTTCTGTTTCTGTATTCAATTGATCAGTGATATTCTCATTATCGTCGTATTCATCAATAACAGACTTATTATCTTCTAATCCTTCTTTCAGTGAAGGCATAAACCCTTTACCCATTGAATCGTTTAATGTTTCTTGATTCATATAGGGGTTATATAGATCTGAGTTAGACGACAATCCACTATCTGAACCATCTTGCGGGGCCGTAAAGGCATCCCGCGTGGATTCAGAATCTTGGTTCATGGAGGATGCTTGTCTTATTGCTAATTCCTTTGCCTCTTCTCGTCGTCTTGCTTCAGTGTCGCGTTTCTCTTTTTCTTTTAATTTCTGCAATAAGTTAATATTAACATTGATAAATATTTTTTCAACATGTTAATTTTCCACTTAAATCTTCAAAAAAACAAAAAGCTAAAATGATAACCTTGTCCATTACTATTTTGTATTCTATACTTATTTCATATCAGCACAGAAAAAAAATACCAAGCAGATCTAAACCGCTTATTCTAGTTCCTCAATAAAGTATTTGTTCTATCAATTGGAATGTACAATAGGCAGAATTTAACCCACCCTTCCTCGTAACAATCTAGAACAATAAACAATACCTCCTTTTCAACCACTTGGTCTTCCAGTTTGTCTCTGTGCTTCATTTTCAGGAAAACTTTAGTTTTACCAATTCCGTAGTCAAATATTTTAAGTGAGTTAAGTATATTCTCGCAATCTGATTTCGGAGTTGATCTTGGAGTTTCTGTATTTTGGAGTATTGAGTATCTAAAAGAAATATATACAGATAAAAAGAACTTAAAGGGAATTCCGCATTTTTGTAAAAAGTTTTAATTTCAAATAATGTTGTAAATTATTCCTGAAAATATTTTTAAAGTATGCTATTTATATCTATGTATCTTCTTGATCAATCTAAATTTGTTTTAAAAGGGTTAATTAACAACGGAGAGTATATATAGCACAATACAAATCATCAAGGATACAATTTTTAAGTAGTCTTACCGTTTGACAAAATCCTTGAAGAACATTCTAACCGGATAACCACTACATCTCACTTTCGCAGCATCCATAATACCACTTCTCTCTAACTGTTGACGCACAAGCTCACCATCAAATTTCGAAGGTTGTAGTTTAGGATTGGGTTTGATGCATCTTTAAGAAGATTAGTATTGTTTACATTTTTGCATGTAATAAGATAGGATATTGTTTGTTTACAGTAAGATAAAGTTCAAAATTTCTCTTTACATTTTAATTGCTTATTAAAACATATTTACTTACACAGTGTAGAGTGAAACTAAAGCTACCTACCTGATAAACAAGGGCGGGAGAGTCTGAACTTTATCCATCATTCTCTTGAGTGATTTCTGTCAGATACAAGTAGATACAATTATGATCGTGAGGGCAAATATTTCATATAAATAAGACTTATGCAAATTAATGATTGTTGATCCCATAGATCACCACCGTATATTATAGAGCAAACCTCATTGACAATCCAACCAGGAACAGTTACTCTAATCACGCAGCAGTCCAACTTTGAACTAATCTGAGATCTCCCACTGCTTAATGAAAATAGTAATTTTAAGCCAACCAGGGGCAGTATGTGTTAATACTCTATTAAAATTCTATTATACAGACCTGAAATGAATCTGAAACACGTCCAACCAATTTACCAGTACGACTTGAATTAGATGATTCCGAGCAACTGAAATCGAAGAAAATCTTAATCCTTAATTGTAAAATATTATGATTTGAATGGATGTGCTTGTAAGGCTGGATATAATTGCCTATATAATTCACTAAAATGTAAGATTATATATACAGCTTTATGTTCATCAGATTAACATTTTTGTTAAAAAAATATTCCAAAAAAAAAAAAAAACGAAAAAAAAAAACAAATAAAAGGGGCAATTTCATAGTGCTTAACATCATGGAGCTTAAGCACGATAAAGAATAAACAAAAGTACTTACATACTTTCTCGTCCTCGAAATGATGACCTTCCTCCTCTGAAACAAATAGATACAGAATTTTGAAAGATGCAATTATGATTATGATCTGGATTAAAACCGGAATTTTGAATCGAATCAATATAATCAACAGTGTAAACAATATCAGCGCTTACAAAGACTGAGGTTCGAAAAACGTAATCACCTGTTTCTAGAGGTAGTAGCAAAACTACCCAGTTGAAAATAATTCCTGATAAACATATTATCACTTCGTTGTACTATTTCACTAAGTTGAGCCGAGACAGTGTCTCTATTCTTCTTCAGAAAATTACTAGCATCGTAGATAACCTGAAATTAACCGTCAAGCAATTTGGAAATATATACAGGACAATTTAATTTAGAAGAGAATAATGATCTGACGCTAGTTGTGGCGGACATAGGCGGAATGGTGGAGTGTTTTCTATTTTACTTTTACGTAATCTATGATGACGACCCACACTTCTGCTTTATCGTCTATATTAATATTATTTAATTTCTGGTGTTTGATTACAGGTCATGGTTCGGTATTTTCGGGGGTTGAGTTTGGTCTTGAATATATGTATATAATCTTCAGAAGTACAAGAACTGCACAATAATCGCAAAATTCCTTCAAATATACCGTAAACTAGAAATTTCACTTTCTATTTTATATAATTATGTCTTTCCTCCATGACGGAGTCTCAAGAAAAAACGCATCGTCATTTAAACTCTCAAATGCGGACATCCAGTTTCTGTGACTAAGGTACGATTGGTAAAACGGATGGTAAACCTGTCATTTAAAAGCCTGCAACCTACCTTAACTCGTGTTTTAAGTTTGATTTCGAGTACTAATTGTAAAGTAAAATTGAATACATACCTCGGAGGCATAATGATTGATAGAAAACATCGTATGTTGACTTCTTTGATTCCCTTTGATAATGCTAAAATTGGGATTTTGGTGATGAATCTGTTGTACGTGTTGTATAAAATGTCGTACTGACGGATTAACTGATACCGAATCATTTAATATGTGTATTATACCAACTGGTGGCTGAAACAAAATTCAGAGAATGACTACCTTTTTCAGATAGTAATAAATATATCAAACACTGCACGACGCATCCATCGTTATAAATATACATTCAAACAAAACCATTGAAAACAATGCGTTTCGTATCTGGCAGAAGCCACATTCATAAATTGCAGGTTATTCGATTAAGAAGTGCACATGGAGCTTGAGGCGCAAAGCAAAGTGCTAAGAGAGGTATCATCATTTGATCAGTATCAACATCGCGAGTTCATAAGATTGTAAAAGATACTTACTCTACATAATAAACTTATGACATCAGTATTATCTCTATATTGGACGCTATCAAACCGTACACCTTCTGACAGAAACTCTCTCTCTTCTTCTTTGAAAGCTTGTCGTAAGAAATACTGCTGAAGATTTTCATTTACTGTATTGATCAACAACTGTTCAAAGCTGTTATTCTTTTCAAGGTTCTCAAATCCAGAGATGTCAAGAATTCGTATAGACTTCTTCTTATTCGAACTTAACAAAAAATAAGAACAATGGTGACAAGGATCATGGCAATGGTACGTAAGTAAATGAGTAGAAGCCGGATTGGTATAATACACCTTAGCGATCACTAGTTGCATATGGTTGGGAATATGAATAGAAATCATAAGTTTCGAGCGACACTCTCATACAACCGAGTTGTGAGTTGCGTTTAGAACTCGTGGCCACTTTCATTAATCGCATCCATACCCAACTGTTAATCTCCATGATGTGAGGGCACCTTTAGTGTCCAGAGTCATTACGTAAATGCATTTGAATAATACATGTAATTATGAAGATAGCTTGGCAAGGTAATATACGCCCACTGGCAGCTTTGATTTTGAACATAAATATTTAGCAGTACAGTAACAATCAACAGTATGAAATATTCAACCTTCAGTCATACACTTGAAAACGTGTTCAATCTTTAGCTCGTGAAAACTCTAGAAGACAAATATTCAATCTTCAGCGCGGTAATGAATAATGAAACAAAGTTTTGTCAAAATTTGGCAAGAATCATGCCTTCTAGAGATTTTATGAGTTACAAATTGAACGAGTTTTCAAGATCAAGGGCAATAAATATTTTTCAATTCGTCTGATTTTCAATAAGGTTCATCCTTGTGTGATTACAAACAACCATACCAAGTTTCGTCGAAATCAATTAAGAAGTGTGCCTTGTAGAGTGTTTACGAGCAATTGTGGACGGACCGACGGACGGACGGAAAGAGGTGACGGCAATATACGCCCCCCATTTCATGTGGGCGTATAAAAATGAGCACGGAAGTAACATATCACATGGTATACAATTGATCCAGAATCATCTACGCTCGTAATATAACTTATCAGACAAACTTTTCAAAGCATAATTTTATTACCTTTTATCCAGGTGATTATTAGCTAATATTGAATTGATCACGTCAATAATTCCATAGAATAAACAAGAATACAATTCTCGTGCTAGAGCATCTCGACCATCTTCAGCATCAGATAGAGTCTTTAATCTTTTCTCATCTAAATTGTCATAAAAATACAGAGTCAACATTATTAGCTATATGCACTCATAGAACATAATGCAGAGTTCACAAACAAGGAATGGCATAGATTGAAAAGTGAAAACACATTAAATATGCTGCTAATAAAACCGGTTTACAAATGATTCATCAATTATGTTGAACAAATATGGTGTAATATAATTCTTGAAATAGACATGTATTGTCGGATTAATACAAATTCTATCTTAGATTTTGTGTAACCTGGCCTAAAAGGAAGACTGAAATGTCACAGATTTAACCCTACAAAATTGCTCCTAATCAAGAATGAATTTTGACTAGATTTATTGAAAAGAATTTGTTATTCATACACAAATACCAAGGCAATACCTCTTATTTCTGTTGACAGGAGCAATCGCCTGATATTATCAAAGTCTTCTTCTTCTAAATTCAGCATACGACCAACTGAAATATTTCAACTGCATATGCCATGTTTTCTAAATTGACTTGCATGTAAACAAATACAATTTGTAATGAAATTAAAGTTTCAATCACTTTGTGGCAAAGAAATGAAATTGGGTTGTAAGTCCTTCTTTACAACATATACGTACTCTTTTAGGGTGTGTAGCTGTTGAAGGATCCCTTAGTGCTCAGTGTATTGCCTCATCGAACGGCCATGGCAGATGCTTTTAAGTCAGCCCATCCTTCCTGCGTAACTTACAAGAGGAACTGGATTTCAAAATTGAACGACTCGACCCCTGCCGGGGTCTAATCCATAACTCCAAGGTTTACTAGCAAGCGTTTAACTAACTGAGCAGCCCCAAGCTATCTAGTAGATATCTCCGATTTGATAGAATCGTAAAAAACTCACATCTATCGATACTTTCCAAAGCTTTAACATCTAAGAATCCAATTGCACCACTTGGGTCCTCGTCAAATTCTATATTAGTTAGGTGTAGAATAGCGGCTAGTATTGAATGAATCTGGTCTCTTGTCTACAAATAAAAATAGAGCAAAACAATCGAACACTTTGTTTTAGTAGTGTTAGTTTGATAACCAAAAAGGTTTACCGAACTCATACATTAAATGTGTATATTTGAATATTCCTAAGGTCGTCGTTACAGAAAACTCTATTTGAAAGAGAAATGGAGTTTAACTTCTTACTTTTTGTATAGAAATGTGAGATCTACTAGGTAGTGTGAAGTTATACTTTCCCTTGACCTACCTCTTTGTTTAGACCAACTTCATCGAGAATATTGATCATTTCATTATATTTCCTCTCATAAGATCTTTCCTCTTCCACTTTGTTAAAAGTTGTAAGTATTCTGAAGATTAAAAGAGTTGCTGATGACATATTTTGTGCTACTTTCTAGCGAGATGAGAACAGTATATTGTATTCGACGGCAACTAAAATCATAAGAATCGCTCACCAGTTCCTTTCGCGAAACGTTAAACATCGCTAAAAATCAATTTTCACTAGTCTAAAACCCTTCTGTTTTTCTTATATTATATGTATTACCAACTGCTTTTTAAAGAATAAATATATTACATAACAATATTGATAGATAAATATTTGAAATCCCAGTTTGGAAAATTTCTCCTTCCGCATTGGATATAAATATTAATATTTGACATACCTATATTCGCTAAGCTCTTCCAATTCCAATTCTCGGAGTTCACAATCTGACATTCCAGCAAACAGAGCATAGAAAGCGTGAAAATTCTTTTCATTTTCATTTGGTTCCGTTACTCTAAATTTCTCAAGAATATACCCTTCTATTTTAGCTGAAACAGATATAAATAACTGTCGTATGTGCTATGTAAAATAACATCGTACATAATTGTGGCTGAATATGTAAGAAATTTTTCAAAAGATTAAACACATAAAGACTTAGCATGCTATCTTCTAGATAATTACGCCACTGGCGGATTTGATCCGTTTACTTTGGCTAACGACAAAAAAGTAATGAAAAGGCTTGCAGGAAACGTTTTCTGAATTTGATTGTTGATTGATCTCTTTTCTTTCATAGAAATGCTCACCGATGCCGTCACGGATGATTTAAGACTACATATGAAGAAATGAAAGTCAAGTCCATTTGCCTAAACTGACAACCGTGATTCCTTCAGGTCTTTAGGTTCAGATTCATTGCATTTCAATGTATGTGTTAAAATCTGCAATTCCCATATTAATTGAGAGTGACCTCCAATTGTGTTGCTTTCAATGTTTATTCTAGAGACAACAACGTCGAGGCAACGTGTGGGATATGTTATTGTATAAAGAGATTATGTTATAATAACATTGAGATGATATAGGCAATATAAATGATATACAAGTATATTAAGTAAAGAGATAAATAAAACAAAGATTATAAAAAGTCAACATATAACCTACCAAATTCAATAGTATTATTATCAGTATACGATATCTCCACTAGTTTCCCGAAACGACTTGAATTTTCGTTGAGTGACGTTTCAGCATTTCCAAAAAATTCAAGCACTTGATTTATCTGTAAATAGAAGGTCAATCGCATACTAATTTACATAAAACAATCAAATTAAGTTATTCTATACATTTGTCAACATGGATTAAGAACCTGGTAAATAAATACATATATCGATGAAAAATTTATCAGAGATAAATGAGGTGTAAGTTAACCTTAACAAATTCGTGGATATTTTTTTTACTAGTTAATTACCAATGCAGCAATTCTACAATATTCGTTGTCTAGGTAAGGCAGACTCTATATACACATTATTCAACTTAAAAAAATGATCATCAAAAGATATCAAAATAACTTGAAAGTTAAAAGACATCTACATAAGTCAATGTGTGCTCTTCATTTTTTTACAAAGATAAAAGATAACCAGGAAGAAATTCCTATTATACCCAGCGATAGAAGTCATAACGTCCTGATACCCACGTTCATACGGATTACATACAATTATTGAACAAAAAAATAGTGGAAAATACTCACGAAGCTAGTTTTATACCTTTTCTAACTTAGCAATGAGATCATGTTCCTTCGACGGAGATTTGTTCAAATGAATTAAATGTTTTAATATCAGCTTGGTGCTTTCTGTCTTCCCTGCTCCGCTATCACCGGTAACCACCAAACATTGTCCATTACCATCTTTAAGTGCACGATAAGCGAAATCTGCTGCCCAGAAAATGTGTGCTGGTTGAGAACTACGATCTCGAATATTTGTATATATTTCATGTTGCTGTAACAATAAGTGATGTAATTTAAAGCATATAATATTAAATATTGGAAGAGCAGTTCGCTTCCGAAAAGTTGTGAAGGTACAGGAAATTCATCTGTAATGGTTGCTTTGCTTCATAATATATAGATTATCTTGGGTCCTCAAGAAAAAGTGCATCGCCAGATGTCTGTTTAAATTAGAAACTTTCGGGATTTTATATTTTAATAGTTTTCATGAGAGATCTTGACAGTGTGTACTTGATTTTGGCACCTCATAGGTTTAGCTCATTAGTTTTCAAGGATCGTTCATCTGATGCACGAAATTGATTAACATTAAATGACACATTCTGATAGGTTACGTGTAAGATAGTCCATGCACATTATGAAAAGTCTACAATAGGAATTCCCCCATGTCTATAAACAAAAAAACAGGACGTAAATGACAACCTTGTTCACAGCAAACTAAAGGCAATTAGTGTATAACTTATTATTTTATCTAATTTCAGATGAGAACAGAAGAAAAAAACCCTGCAGTATAGTTCCAATTTCTAAAGTAACAAGGATTTACAGCGATAACTGTATCACCAACATACGTCTATAAGATAAAACGAATATTGTGGCGTATTACTTAGTAACATATACAACTGCTTTGCATGTTCAATTTTTAAATTTTCATTTCATGTTTTATATTGTTTTATATATATAAACTGTTTTACAATACATTTTAATTTTTTTATGCCCAAGCATTATAATGCGAATTACGGGAGCTTGGTATGTTGATAAGATCGCGTTGCTTTTAGATGAAAAGTTTGTGAGCTAGTGTCTGTGATTAAAAAGTATTTCAAAATTGATTATAATTGGTGATATAAGCCATTGTTTTGTTCAGATTTTTGACAAGTATTAGTAGGCTTTTGTATTTATTTTTGGATTATTGAACTTGACATATGCTTCGCAATTGTTTTGATCAGATGTTGAAAAACAGGCAGATTTTTTTTAGTTATCTGATAGAGACTATTACACATCTGATGCTTACGTATGTTTATTAGATCTTGAATACGTTACACTTCCAATTTTTAAACAATATTTTTCATAGATTACCCTAACCTTTGACACATTCCTTAATGGGTATCGTGAATTGACCGCACCTATGGCTGAAAAAGGGCAGTTGTATTAAGTATCTCATGTCCTGATTGGGTCTTGCCGTCGACCCAAGAGGTCAGATTACAGTAGATTGCAGTTGTTGCCTGTCGGTAAAATACCCAATATTGCATTACTTCGAGGGTTATACCCAATGTGTACTCTGATTTAAGATGATATATGTAATGAATGAAAGACACGTCATGGAGTTACGAAAGGTTAAATATTATAATATCTAGAGATTATGTATTTGACATTTAATGAACGCAGCCTTCTTCTATATCTCCCATTTCTTATGGTAGGTTTGAAATCCAAACTAACCAAACACGCTAACCACCAAATCCTCAAATAACAATAAATATTATAAGATTTATGGATCGTAGATTTTCTTCTTAAGAGCATGGGAAGAAACATTATTTATTTCGTTTATATTTTTAAAAAAATATTTGATTCGGTAAATTTGAGTCACTAAGAATTTCACTGATTAGTTTCGTTTCGTATAATGAAGTCTGTGATTCAACTGATTTATGATATCAGCAATGAAATTTCATTTATGTCGTTTATTTATTTTATTAAGTGTTTATATTCATTATTATCCTCTTAGTACACATTTAAATTTTGATTTGAGCAATTCTGTCACCTGTATGGTTTTTTTTAGGTATCCAGCTGCGAGTAAAAAAGATAAACTGCATGAAGTCATCTCCAGGAAGTTATCTGGGGGTAATACACTTGTCACGATTAGACACTATCAATCAAGAAGATATTGCTAAAGCGCAATTTATCTTGCCCTTTTATGTGACCTTGCATATTATCAGATATGTTGGTAGGTAGATGACAAGTTAACGTTCGCCGATATATTGGACCTTTCTACGTTTTTATACCCCAGGTAAACCCTTACCCATCGTAAGCAAGAGGTAACTGGTGAATGGTACAATTTTAACTTGTCAAGAAGCCTGACTGACATTTATTACCGAACTTGGTTTATTTTACCGAACGAAGTTTAGACGACTTTAGCTGGTTCTTAAGAATTGATTCGAAACTTTCTGTGTTTTTTCTGTATATCTGAAACTCAATTCAAATAGACTAAAAATATTCATTTAAACATATGAATACAAAGATGGTACAATTTTACAATTCGTTGAAACACTTGTTCGACACGAAATACATAATGTTTTAGTGAACTATTTTTATATAAGAATTATATTATCTTATTGTAGGCGTGTGATTCATTGTTGGCTATTATATATTATAAATTGTCAGAGATGTCATTGATATAAAATAAATGTAATATAAATTGATATAGATACGATTAATATTTTATTTTTGCGTGCCTAACAGCCTGTATTTGAACGTTAAAATTATTGTGCATCTACATTCTATATGGGCAGGGTTTTTTCATGCCAAGCTAGAACTGTGGCGCATGGAGTTAACACGTCTTCATCTGACTTTTGTGTCTTTCAGACAAGGGTAGGAATATATCAATGTATAGCTAAAACGCATAGGCATATCAATTCTAAAAAAAACATACAAAATATATACAGTATGGTGTTAAAGCGTTACTTGTGAATACTTACATAAAAACTGTTCTGTTCAAAACGTTGCTTTATACAATCCAATAATATTTCATTGTCTATTGTTTCTAGTTGGGAGATATCATCAACATTACCTAATGATGGTAACGATTGGGGAACTTTCCTAAACATACCAATCAAATATACTTAGTTCTTAACATTATGTCTTTCTACTAAGCTAATCTTTTTAAAAAAGCACGCTAAATATGTTCGTAGAATAAACTGGTCGAAATATCTCTTATAAATAAGTCTTATGAATTCACGTTCTGTTACTCTGACAACTGAAACCAGCACATTCCCCATTAATTGTATATGTCCATCATAGTCTGTGCCAAGTTTGATATAATCATTAAGGAACAGATCACCAATAGTTATATGTTGTTCGAGACCTGTGATCCTTGGACTTATGATAAGAAATTGATAAGAGTCCTTTTATATCCTGTCATGAGCCCTTAATACCGCCTCCCAAAATAATTATTATCTTTTCATAATATCTTTAAAAATATCTATCCGGGAGAATTCCCAAGCTATTACATAATTAAATAGAAGTTCCTCTATCTCATATCTCTCCCCAAAAATGACTGATACGACATAGTCTCTTAATAGACGACCCCTTTATAACCTATACACGTGTTTTCTAAACGCCTGTTCATCTTTACGTACACTTTGCCTTGGAAATAGGGAAGAAAGTAACTGTTTTGTTAATTTGATGGAAATTAGTGTGCTTATTCATGCTGGCGTGGTTTCGGTTGAGCATCCTTTTTGTTATTGCCTTTGGACCCTATGGCGAACCCTTCAGAGCAAGATATGCGGGAAACGGTGTCGTTTTGGAGAAATAGAAAATAGTGCACATTGAATCTGCTGAGATTCAATGAACTGGATAGATAAATCATAATGAACAATCCTTTTTGATTGGGTGTAAAATTCCACATCCTCGAACTGTCCGAATTGGGTCAGAAAAGACCTAAAAATCGAAGCTAAAGTTACGCAAAACAATTTTATAGTCGTAATTTCAGTGGCAATCAATTGATATAAATTGATTACTAAACTGAGAATAAATATTTATTTGTGGTCAATGAAAAAATGGTGCTCAGGCTCATGGGTTTGAGAGCTATATTGGAAGTTGGTTCTGACGGTTCCTACAAAAACGCAACACCGCTCCCACCCCAGGTTTTCCTAAAGTCCTAGCCAGTTGTATAAGCAAAATACTAAGGATAAACCCTAACCGATCTATTATGATGAAAATTAAGATTTGTGTAAAATAATCTTTTACAGTAAATGACGGACATTTTTAGGCAGGCCCGATTTTCTGAAATTTCCCGGCTAGTTCAAGGGCCATTTATTGTCTTTGTTTTTCGCCATCCGTGTGAACAATCGTACATTAGTTTCAGAAGCGGAGTTTTGTCTACGGTAATCGGTGATTGTGTTCACAAACAATGATTATTTATTGCCAGTCTGTCTTATATTCAAAACGTAATCTAGTAAGTTTACGGCAAAACTATTTATTTCGAGTTCGGATGTGGAATTTTACACCCACCGGTTTTGAACCGATAGGTGCGGACGGTTTTAATCGAGAGAGAAAAGGCACTTGGAAATTCCCTTGAAAATAAACTACACCATATACCGATAATTATATTGAAATCTAATCAGGTTGAGGATTTGAAGGTAGGGCTATCCAGTATCATGGCAAAATTTACACCTTACATATATTCATGCAAGTCATAACATAGATAAACCAAGCATGTTATCAATAAACAAATAAACCCAATATCGTTTATTAGATTTTATATAATTTAATACACCTTACAATAAACATATGTTACCTCTTTGAAATAAACTATATATTTGATAGTAGATAGATATAACATGTAAATATCATATACTGTACAGTTCTCATTTGTAAAGTCGATTTATTTGATATAGCAAAATTACATATCTAAAGATTTTGCTTTTGTTTTTGGTCAAGGGTGTGTGTAATATTGAGACCAAATGACAGGTGAGGCGCCAAGCAGGATATGCTTACTTTTCTTAACAAATGATACTATTGGTCATAACAAAATACTTTCTTTTTTATGAAAAATGCATTCGCTGCTACCAATGTATTGACAAACTACTTTTAGATTTAGGTTTTAGATTATTTGTACTTAGATATTTATTATTTTATTAATATAATGCCAACAATCAGATATAACAAATTAGATTAAGAAAATACGAATAGAATATACCTATATCGGCAACATAATGTAAGAATCAGGTATGAAAAAACGCACTATTAATATCTTTTTATTTCTTACAATTTACGACAGGGATTTTTCTACTATAAAACTGCTTAATAAATACAATGAATTTCTTTCTTTTTAAATTCCATCTAGTTTCGTTACAATCCATCAAAAAATCGCACCTTCTAGAGTGTTTACGGGCAATAGTAGATGGGCAGACCACATACATATATATTCTATTATCTTGTCTTATCATGTCAAGTTTGATATCTCTGCAAGCTGTAACATAATACCTTAATTTCTATATGACTAAGTTTTTTCTTCGAAACTGCCACACAGCGCAGTTGATTTATATTAGAGATTAGGGAGATCGTTCTATTTCATAAAATGTTTTAGGAAAATAGAATCCACTAAAACATTTTATCCAAATGATTGTAGTCCGTGCTACTTTATAACAGAATTACGCGCGGGAGGATAATTCTAAAAATAATCGTTTTGTGTGCAGTAACAGACAAGCGGATGTTGATAAAATGAAGTGATCTACTTTCAGTTTGTCTAACTCAAGATTTTCATGTTTCATGGCCATGATTAATTGAATTCAAGTATTGGCCAAGATTTCATGATTATAACATATTGGAAAGTTTTCAACGAGATTTCTTGAATAAGTAATAAAAGGTTGAATTTCGAGATGAGTGGATTCCTCTACAAATAGGGACCAGGGATATAACTCTAAATGTAAATGACGAAATAAAAATTGTCGAAATTACCCTCAAACTAGGAATTGCACTTTCTAGTTCTATATATGTCTTTTCTATATACGCGAGAGTATCAAGAAAAACAAGTCGTCTTGATTTGAAAGCTCAGATTTCGACGGCGAGCTGTAATCTCTATTATTAAGTAGCTTAGGTACAAAATTCCCGCTTCTGACACCGATTTACGATTGGTCAAACGGATGGTGAATCTGTCCTATTGAAGGTGAAACTGTCCGTTATGTATAAATTTTTCATCAACTTAGTTGACCAAATATATACTAAAGATTGCATTACAGTAAGCTATTGTTTACACTTGTTGCTTAAAGGAACAGGTTTGCCATGTTTGGGTGTTGATTATGGTCCTGAGTATAATGATGTAAATAGTCTTACTAAAAATGATTAACACATTGATTTGAAGATACAAATTTCAACGGTAAGCTGTGAACACTATTACTTATAAGCTTAGCTAAAAGAAAAACCCGTTTAGAGACTAAGGTACGATTCCTCATTCAGATTGCGTTTTCTTCCCTTTAATCTTCAATGAAAAAAAATATACTTCACAAAAACAAGTTGTAAATATTCTCTAGTGATTAGCGTCTCTTGCTATGAACGCGCAATATCGCATACCTCTTACATAGGCTACTTCATTTAAAGTATCACAACAGCTTTGCTTATCACCCTAACATAAACCCTATATCATATGCTGAGACACGATCATGAGGGTGTTTTTTTTCTCGCTTTGTCCCCCGTGGCACGTAGAAATTGCAATGTCAGATTCCATGTGAGATTTTAGATATCAGACATATTGCCACGGGCGGATGCAATTAGGCAAAACAACATCCAATGAAACCGGCTCATCTGGTCCAATTTGAGACGTTACAAGAGTTTTAAAGGGCGTTGCCTTTTCACGAATGAAAGAGGAAAAGCGTACAGTGTGAGAAAGTTTTTCGAACCAGTGTCTTTTGGTACCCGAGATATTAGCGATTTAGTAAAAGTTATTTTTAGGAACAGAAAGACATTCCCGATCAATTTACGCCATTGCACATGGCGAGAGTCTAAACAAAGCATTCGGACCCGAGCACGATTGAAAAAGAATTCGCAAGCGGTATTTGTCAACAAGGGGAATCCCCGAGGTCACGTGGCGTTGTATTTATGACTGGATGATAATAAAACGATGAAATCTGTAGGTTGTTTGCACTGTCGCCCAACACAACGGCTACTGGATTAATTAATTTCTGGTCTAGAATGCAGATAATTATTATTACTTTATATTTGAACAATATAGAAAGAAAATTAACGCAAGAATTGATATATCTTAGTTTTCGCTGAAATTTCAATTGAGTAAAAAAAATCTGCCTTGAGTGACAGAAGACTCAGCAGTCATTTATTATGTGAAGTCAACAAACCTGATGTTGTTATAGAAAGCTTATTCAATAAGGAAGAGAATAATTAAGAAAATTCCAATTAGTTTGGCCCTGGGAACTTTTTTTTCCATTTTCTCGTAAAATATTTATATTTCCATGGCTACCACCCAAACCAGAAAAAAAAACATAAAAACCCCACATTAGTTTCTAAGTTTCATGGATTTCTATCCATTCATCTTTTGTAATCTTATGTTGAAGGTTTTTAATATTCAATTTTCATGATATTGTCATGTTTGAAAGTCTGTCAAAACATTTTTAAAATGGACATAAAAACTTTAAAGTGAAGGCAACGATCCCAATCTTTCTTAAATGATTAAGGAATCAGTTTTTCATATAACAATTCCATATTTTCAAAACATGATAAAGACCAGTCAACGATCTTAAAATTTATTTCATCAGCGTAGGCCAGTTAGTTCTAAGTTTTCGAAAGACTTTTTTTTCTGTAATTTTGGCCATTAAAATAATTTTCTACGATATGTTGGTAAAAACTCTTGAATTTCTTTGCATTTTCCCTATGAATTTGAAATTATTAGATGTTATTTCTATACAGTCAAGTAACCTAATTTCGTGCAAACCTATTTTTCGTGCATTTCCGGAAATGATTAATAATTTACATGTGCGACCTCGCGTGACCTCCGCATTTGCTTGTTTCGATAAACATGTGTTATATCTATAATATCAGCTAGTAGAATGAATCCAGTAGTTTCAAGCAAGGTAAAATGTATTAATGTTTACTTTGACAAATACAAAATGGCGGATTTCAGTTATTACCAAACGTCACTATTATTATCGGCCGAATTTCCTTATAATCCAAGCGGTAATTGGAATTCCAAGTGTCGTCTGCTAGAATTTAGTCCAACGAATGAAGTCACGTGATCCACTAGCGGATTCCGTGTCAGCAGAAAATTTTATGGAACACAATGTGGGCCATATTCTTATGTTGTTTCAGTGACTTTTAGCAATAAATCACGCTACCTGTCTTATTTTGTCAGTCACTTTTTTTTTAAATCGTGGTTCTTTGAAGGAATTGTCACTAGTTATAATGAATTGATATTAAAGATAAAAACTAAGAGAAGTTAATTACACCACTGGGTATGCATACAACATATTTTTCTCGACTTATTTACAGAGCAAACATTGTACACGAAAATAGGTGACGCATTCACGGCAATTGCCGAAATATGAAATATGGGTCAAAGTCAAGGATTCATAAAGAAAATCGAAACAGACCAATTTTAATTATTTTGTAGAATATCTATATATTTCCTAATATTATAATCGGATACCATGTTAACTCGAAAAATGTGAAAACTCAGAACCGACAAGTGAACACTCCTAATTTCACCACATTATTCTGTTAAATAGCAAAGTAACATGAGTAACCTTTCTCATACATTACTGACAGACTATAATGCAAGCTATTTAAATATATTTTAGCACATCAGTTCATAAAAATTAAAAACAAGGCTAAGCTGAGACCATTTTAATATTTTAACTCCTATATTTAAATTGAAGATCTAAAAGAAGCCTTGAGACATCAACCCTAGGGTTTTCTATATACAAATCTTTATCAAGACTGGACGATAGTTTACGTCATCTAGATACAATCTTGATCCCCCTGTACCCGGGTTATACAACACACATCTCCAGATAACCGAACTAATTAACCACTCAAAGCGGACATGAAAACAATATACCCCCAGGACCCATTCTGATCAAAATGATAATTAAACAAGAATTCATATTGAAATTTCAATACAATATTTCAAAATTTAGTGTTACCTTTAAACAGTGACAATATAATAGAGGAAGTATTTGGTTAAAAATTACGGTAAGATACCACCTTTCATAGTTATTCATTCAAGACGGTTGGCTCCACGGCGCTCAAAATTTTCCACAAATTCCCTTTTCATTATATTTTAAATATATAACCTTGTTATGCTCTTGATATACTTTTTGTAATTGGAACCTTTGATGTTTTATAAGGCTCCTTGAAAACGATGAAAGATTAGATTAAAAAAAGAAAAAAAATATCAAGATTAATTCCTCTAGCAGATTATACATGAAAATTTTGTATTCTGTCAAAAGCTTTTCCCGAATTTTGGAAATTGTTTTACGGAAATAAATATACAATACATACAATAAACTAACGAGTAGGCAACAAAAGTGAATTTACATTATTTACGATTTACATTATTTTTGGTAGCTTGATTACAAAACGTTTCTGTTCCTTTTAATTTAACGTCTATGATGTATATACTAGATGTACTTGATATATATTTATCTGGTATTTTTTTGTGTCCACGCACATTGGTTATGGCTTGCATTTCAGATAAGTTGCAAAGATTTGCCAATAGATTTGGCAATTTTACAAATCAAATATAGTCAATCGTCTCCGATATACCCCCAAATAGGTTTAAATAAATAGAGAAACCCACAGATTGATATATCTTATATTGATCTGATTTAAAATAAGGTACGAATAGTTCTTCAACAGTAAAATAATCACTTCAATCTACATTAGAATAAGAACAATCTTATAAATCAACAATTTGCGGCTGAATATATAAAGATTAGTGTCATTGTAATATAGATTGTCCAGTATTTATTTTATATATTTTCATATACAAGTATCACTATAAGCTGATTAGCAAATCTTGAGCATACATTTGAAAAACATGTACATGGAAAATACTCCATAAAATCTTAAAGTTATTTATTATAAATGTTTTGCAGTACAAGGTCAATTGTTTAATATATATAAAAGTCACGATAACTCATGATTTGCTACTTATTTTGAATAAGTATTTTCTTCTTTAAACTGTGGGGCTTACACAAGATTTGCTAACAAATTTCCCTTTGAATGTTATTAATTCACTCTCATACCCCCCACCACACTCAAACAAAATTTTTACAATCTCAATAGGATAACTAAATAGCAGAAACACATAGTGAATGGTCGTCGTCGTTGTGCTAATATTACTCGATATTTAAGACTGTTATTGTGGTTAAGTAATATACGAAAACACAGGCATGTAGGTGTACGGACATTACCAACCAACCTTTAATTACATTTTGTATGCATCAATCGCCCTATTAGTTTGTTCAAGTTTATTTTCACATAGTCACGTCACTACATCTCACCTTATATTTTTATCAATATAATCAACGGTCAATCTGAATGATAACTAAAAAAGAATTCCTTTGCAACCATAGCGATGCATGCGTTATTTATTGAACTTTATCCATTATATCTCTTTATAATTTCCTTCACTCAAACGATTTATGTCTATCTGGCTATATATGTCTTTCATGAAGTCCAGGCCCCAACTCCAAACAATCATAAATAATAGATTGATATATATGTAATATTTTATTCAAAGGTAAACTTTCGCCCTTCATATTTCAAAACTAGTTTTAGACTATATCAAAAGCTAGACGCACGTGAACAGTATTGTCGGTAATATATTTAGTTTATACGCAGATACACTTAAAGTCCTAGATAGAAGAATAAGTTTATTCAACCCCAATTCCAATGGATAAATAGCACGTTTCCATAATTCTAAGGTCATGGTTAATATTTAAATATAGTCTTCAGTAGTATATTAGAACTACACGACAATCGCATAATACCTTCAATTATACTTCAATTTCTATAGTCAAGAAAATACGAGTCGTCATTTTCAATTTCAAACACAGATAGTTCTAGCAATTTCAAACGCAGATAGTTCTAGACACACGTAGTTTTGAAGGCTCAAATTTAGACAGTGAGCTGTGACCACTAGTACTGATTAGCTGAGCTACACATTCTTGTCTCTGAGACAGAGGTACAATTGGTCAAAAGGATGACAAACATGTCTCTAAATTTAGATCATGTCGATTTTTGAAACATTAAAGGAATACTACCTCTTAGAATGGACATAAAATATAAAGTCTCAAATATGGTGAACAAGTGTATTATATTATTCATCAGTTGGACTTGAGTAAAGAATAGAATCTCCATATAAGAAGATATATTCATTAGACTAAATCATTATTGAAACATTATTTTTTTGTCATCTTAAGAGGTAGTTTACCCTTCAGACCTTTCACAATCCCACACTATATATAGAGCGGGCCAACAAATAATGAGTTTAAGAAATACTTTCTGATATTAGTTCACTCCATTAAATTTTTCTTTACAGATTTATGCTATCATGATTTAAACAATACTAGACAATGGAGAAGAGGAGTAAAAGAAGAGAGACAACTCTAGTCTCTGATTTATCACAGTTGTCGTTCTTAGATGAAAATGTTATACTTAACGAATTGAAGAAACGCTACAAAGAAGAACAATATTATGTATGTTTATATGATTATTTATTTAGTGAAACCAATCAAATCTATTTACCCTCCTTTCGATTACTTTACATCAGGTACCCGAAATAACATCCACTGTTTTCAACTACACTTTGAAGGGGCCAATATTGAAAAAAGAAAAAAGAAACCTACCATAGGAAATCGAAAGAAACTAATGATGTAGTTGTGGCAAAATGTTCCTAAATGAAAACTGCATGATTGAACAATCTTAATTAGCCCAATCCGGAAAAGAAAAGTGTACAGTAGCACTTTGAGCCCATGAATTATTGTAATGGTTATAGTAATTCTCATCAGTATTTAATTGATAATAAATGTTATATTTACAGACATATCTGGGCGATGTTTTAGTTGCTTTGAATCCAAATAAATCTATACCAATATTTGACGATAAGGTAAGTATTGAAGCATCGAAAATTTGCAAGATCAATCACATTCATCAATTCACACTATTAAAACTTATGATTTCTCTACTCTATACACAACCATTCCTAATTCCAAATTAAAATCCAGATTTAATGACATTATATACCAGGCCTTCTTATCTAAAACCGAAATACATTGTTGTAACTCAACCTATTACGTCAAAAACCACTCTGACGCTATCAATAATAATATATAGAATATATCAGAAGAGGATGTCGTTAAAGTGTTGACTTTTTTGATAGATAATTGGTCGAATTTTGCTGGGAGATATTTTAGCAAGTAATCGGTATTCCTATGTGTACTAATTGTGCTTCTTTACTTTATTTCTTTACTCTATGAGGTAGAATTTATTTAAGGCCTTCAATGCAAGGTCACTAAACAACTAGCTCGTTCCTTCAATTCTACTATTCGTTACATTACGAATTACTCGGCTTTTTGAGACTATGTAGATAAAATCTACCCAGGAGAGATGGTTAGACACCAGCGTCCTAATTGGATTTGCTTCTTGAAATTGCCAACAACCACGATCTTTGTGTCAAATGATAAACGTGACAACTGATTTTCCAACAGTAAATTTCCAATCATGTGCAGTAATACACCACAATCACCAGCTTATGGAGTGTACATTTCACAACTCATCCGCTATGCAAGGGCTTGTTATGGGGATTTCCTAGCTAAAAGCTAAAAGCTAAAAGCTAAAAGGTTACTTGACACACAAAACTTCATATGTCATGTAGAAAATTATATTGTCGTTACACCTTGGTAGATACAAAAACCTGTTTGTTTCTGGCATTGGCTGATTTGTTTGGTCAGGCATGAATTGATCTGGTTGTATCTCATGATTTTTACCATTGTCGTACTGACGGGTTTCGTTCGCAAGCAGATCATTCTGTCTCTTTCGAATCACCTGATCGTAAATTATTTTGGAGGAGTTTACTACCACACAACGTTTACTCTAGATTTTGCCATACTTTGGACGATATTTTGATTGACGGAATTGTCTTGCATATACGGATATTGTATTAGCAGCATTTGCAAATTCATTTGTTAGTGTAGGTTACAAATAATTGTAAACACAATATTTTTTTATGGAAATTATAATTGAAAAATACAAAACAGGTTATGTCTTCAGTTTTTCTCCTGCAATGTTTTGTATCCCCGTATGGACCAACCGGTCTCAACTCCAAAAATATGATATACATTTCATTTCCCAAAAATACTGAAACAGTGGATCAGGTTTTTGTGACTTAATATCGAACGATATCCTGTAAAATATTTCAGCATCACGAAGAGTATAGTAATTCCAGTTTGGATCAGACCGATTCCAACAGAACACCACATATATTCTGGATAGCTCAACAAGCTTACAACCGTCTACTAGCGACATGTCAAAACCAATGTATATTAGTCAGCGGGGAATCAGGGGCTGGCAAAACAGAGTCCACAAAATTAGCAATTTCCCATCTATCTTATATGTGTTCAACAGACTCAAATGAGAATCTACAAGAAAAAATCATCCAGATCAACCCCTTGCTAGAATCATTTGGAAATGCTGTTACTCCAATGAATGATAACTCGAGCCGTTTTGGGAAATTAATTGAACTACACTTCACCGAGGATGGCCATTTGAGTGGGGGTAAGAAGCTTTTGGGTTTTTGCCCTATATTTTTTCGGTTGCTATCCCCCCTCGTTTCCTACGCCAATAAAGAGAGTATCTTGAACAAATCCGAGGGGTTCCTAACTTACTTTTTGCTTCGAAGCCTGTCTTGAATCATTTTCATAATGTATGGTTTAACATATTAATGCATAAAATAACTCTTCCTAGTTGCAGTTACCGTTCATCACGGTTACTAGTTTCTAACGTTTTGAATCAAAAACATCAAATGATACTTATTTTTTCAGCGAAAATTTTCGATTATCTGTTAGAGAAATCAAGAGTAGTACATCATGGTTCTGGAGAACAAAATTTCCATTTTCTATATTATTTATTTGATGGTCTGACAGAGGATAAGAAAAAATATTATTATTTAGAGGACATTGAGCAATTTCGGTAAATATAAATTATTCTCAAGCACAGTTTTCGATTTATTTCTTCCCACAACAACTTTTGTATGGTTTGTAAATTTCAACTTCATCCTCGCTTGCAGTTAGAAGAAGGTGAAGTTAAAGTTGAAATACAAGTTCAATGACAAAGCGAAATGGTGGAGACAGCAATGCACTGTGAAGAGTTTAAGTTTTAAGTTTAAATGTTACATATATTATACTTCAGAGTACTTCAAAATGGTCGACGTAATAAATCAGAACAAGTGGAGAGAAATAAACAGAAATTTCACCAACAAATTGATATTATGAAGATGATCGGGTTCTCGGAAGAGGTACACAATAATTTGTTTTTAATTATCTCATGAGTCATATTTACCAAACTATATTCATATATATTCCGATAAATCCATGTAATCGAAAACATTTATCATTGTACGTGATACGTCCTATCTTTCTAAAGAAGTACAATAAGGTTAATGCATTGTATTAGCCTATTCATGTTAGATTTTCAAGTGATCATGCAATATTTCCGTTTACGGCCAAGTTGACTGGATTCGGTCAAGTGAGAGAATGCACTTTTCTGAGACGCGCCGACGAAGGATTGGCAGTGGTTAAGATTGTCATTATTATATACCTATTAAATATAAAACCACTTCTAAGAATATCAATAAGGTTATTATAATCTACTTGAGCTAAAGAAAACTATTAATTTTATTGAATCATAAATGAATGTCTTCCTTATTTAATATGCTTTTATTGATTTTTATTCTTTTAAAAGGACATTTCAAGTATTTTGACACTCTTATCTGCGATATTGAACGTCACCAATTTGGTCTTTGTAGATGACACGGAAGTGGATGGCGTTAATATTGAAAATGAATTCCATCTTCGAGTTGGTATGACGTTAAAGACTTTATATTCAACTCATCGAGTTGAGTGGGGGCCCATGGACTTTAGTGGGAATATTTCTCTTTTTAACTTTCTGCTCTCCTGCATTCAACTATTGCCAGTTACTGGAAGATTTAAGGATTTTCAGTCTGTAGCTATTACCTATTATTGCTAGTTGCTTAGTTTGATTATAAATGTATACTTCTATACATTTTTTTTAATTTTGTATTTTTTTCTGAGATTGGGTTCCCTAAGGGGTGAGAGCTGTGGACTACAACCAGTCCCTGTGGTAGTCACTGTTATTATTGAATTTAATTTAATTAGTATATCAAATACATATACATCCTGGTCTATACAGTACAAATTCATTAAGTTTTATTGGATTTTTGTTAAATTTTAGTTTGGTTTCCCAATATGATACAATGCACAAAAAATATCATTTCATTTCAGAAACCGTATCAAGTATATCAAACTTTTAAGCATAATGCAATTATGCAATAAGGAATATTTGTTCTCTTTTCCAGCTACTAGTTTCTTGGGGATAGAAATTGAAGAACTAACGACAGCATTGATATCTAGTACAATATTTGTTAGAGGTAGGCATCGAATAAACATAATATGGCATAAAAATGTACGCGTAAAAATGCTAGAACCCTTCCTTCCCCGAGAAATAAATATTCTGTAAAATCATTTTATTGGCATATTAATACTGAATGAAAAGCTATTCTTCTTTTTTTTAAATATTACGAAATGTTCCCTGTTTAAAGGATTGTGAAGAGGTTTTTTAAATTTTGTTATGTGTATCGGGGACACATCAATTTACACTATTCCAGTTTTCGACCAGACGTCTGTGGTTCCTACAATTCCTCTGAAACTAAGTGTTTGATGACGTCACTAATCGCGATGGGCCTTATGTGATAAAGCATATTTTGCGATTAATGATGTCATCAAGCCCTTTTGTGGAATTGCAGAAACCACAGACGACTGATTGAAAATTGGAATGATGCAAATTAGTATTATCAGTGTTCTTGACTCATATAAATTTTTTAGAAAATCTCTATACAATCTCTTTAAAGGTCGATATGCTTTTGACATTTATTATAGCTATAAATTTCTCATATGAATATTCGTCTCATATTTTCATATTTACACTCCTTAATCGTCCTTTCATTATTATGACGATGGATGAAGTAATGCATATTACAGGACTACACTCGATAACCAATCTATAAATGATATACTTTACAAGAAGTACTAAGAATATACTTAACATATTCCTGTACATATTCCTGTCAGATTCAATTTTTGAAATTGATGAAAATGACCCAGATCATCGCAGCATAGTCTGAGCGAGGTAAAAAAGGTTGCGTTGATTTGTTGTAGGGAAGTATATCCATGTAAATTTATTGCGACCTATATGTACAAGTTGGCTTGCTTTTAATACAAATTCATTGGTAGTTTAAAAGTTATCCTCTGAAAAATTGTATTTGACTACAATGACAATGGGTCACAGATTATTCGTAGACGCTAAGCTTTTCATCTCACCTGAAACTTTCTACCGTGTTTCATTTAAGAACGTAAACGAAATCTAGTATTAGGAACTGAATTAATACATATTACATGTTTCAACATTTATTTTGTTTCACAAATATGCACATTTTCTCGAAAATTTAATTTAATTTGATGAGGAAGATTTTGGAGAATAGAATAATGAGATATTTTTTGTGTTTAAAATGAATTCAGGATAAAAGCCCCTAAAATATAGTTGTAACTCAATATAGTTATTGAGTCACAATTCAAAGAATTTAGGTATATCCCCTATTTATTACCCTGTTAAAACTATTTCGTGTGTGACAGATTTCACAGAAAACCTTTGATTTATTGAAAGAAGGAATTTAAACTAAATGTTGACGAGTCAACCAAGATAAATTCCATGGAAACTCATTTAAAGGGATTGCAAAGAGATTTTCTAAAAAGCCACATCATAAAACGCATAGTTTTAGTGGAATTACTAATACCACAGACATCTGCCTGAAAATTGAAATGAAGCCTCTTGATGCTGATGGTGTCCTCGATACACATAGAAATTTAAGCAAACCTCTTTACAAACCCTTTAAACCTTTTATCACATCGTCGAATCTCCGAGCCTTACCGATAATCATTTTACTCCGAACACATAATGTCATTTTCTAGTCTTTATCAAGCTATTGATCAATACTTATAATAATCATTTTAACCATAATTTATACGAAATGAATCGATACGCCTATCAATTGATTCCTAAACTAAACTAAAAAATCTACAAAATGACATCCCAGAAACAAAAGATTGTACCTTTAAAACAGTATATTATAAGGTTGGTGGAGATCAATGAAGGAAGTGAAACGGTTTATCATAATTATTTCAATCCAGAGAAATGCGTGAATAAAATCTTCGAAATGACATTACAGAAAAACAAAAAAAAAATTAAAAGGTTGTTCCTTAAAATATGCAAAGGGTGTAAGGTTATGAAGATAAATGCACGCGATACTTGTGTTTTTTATATAAACATTTTGAGAAATAAAACAAATTCTAGGATGCTTGAGTGATTTTCTTTTCATACGTTGTTATATTGGTTATTTAAACATTATGTTATAACTAAAATACTCATCTTAAAGCGTATCTTTATTTTATAACCCACAACACCAAATTAAAGGATGGTTATAAATACTGCTTTAGTGATTCTTGTTCAGAAAATATTTAACCAATATGTTATTTTAACATTATGCAAAAATTAGCCAAACATATTCATCTTATAGCGAGCTAATTCCATAGCCTATAAAATTCATATAATTGAACCCTTTCAGGTGAACGAGTGGAAACGCTAAAGAAAAAACATCAAGCTGAAGACTGTAGAGATACTATAGCTAAGATTCTGTATTCAAGATTATTTGGTTGGATTGTAGGACAAATTAATGTTCATCTTAAACCAAAAACAGACAATGGGTATTGAACTTATTATTCACACTCGACACTTCATCTACCCAATATCTGAACATAACAAAAACTTCAAAATATGAGATACTTTAAACTGCTACAACATATGATCATAGTAGATACATAATTATAATATTATTCTATTCCAATTGTTCTGGAAATGTTCTCCAAAACCCCATTTAAGGTTAATGACTCATTGTATATAGGCTATGTTTATGTGCCTATGCTATATCATGGTGGACAAAATAATCTTGTGGTCAGTGGCGACGCCAGCCTCCCTAAACTTGGGGTAGACTCCAATCTGCAGATAGTGGTCAAGGTATACGAACTTTATCTTATAATTTCGTAATACCTTGACCATTGTGAAGATGTTAGTTGTGCGTGTGTGAGGTTTCTCCCCAAGAAAATAGAATTGATTTGGTGCATTCTGCCATATATTTTTGGGCTGAAGTTCATGAAACTGGTATTATTTATTCAAATCTGTTAGAAATGAAGTGGGATATAATTGAGGGTACAAACCATATTTTAGACTAATATAATAAATTGACTGCATATGGCTGAATAATAGCCATTCATTTACTCTATTTTTTTTTCAGACGTAATTCTACAGTGTCTATATTAGATTTAGCAGGTTTTGAATGTTTACCTATGAACACATTTGATCAATTATGTATAAATGCTGCCAATGAGCGTTTACAACAGTATTTTTATGATAAAATATTCAAATATGAACGATCTGATTATGAGAAAGAAGGTGTGGACGTCAGTCTTGTAGAATTTCAGGATAACCAAGATTTGATAGACTTGTTTTTCAAGGTAAGAATATCTGATGTTGTATGAATAAGCATAAGTCATAGTAATGATATTCTACATTTGTAGACCTATATTTTTCATAATTGCATACTATTTATCAGGTAAGATTATTCTATCGAAACAAAGATGGTAATAAATTTGATACTAAATTACTTTAATTGGGAAATTGATTTTGGTTTCCTTAGATGTAAAGACGACTGATTTGCTCCTTAATTAGCATCGGAACTACGTGGCCTATGCAGATGATCAGAGAAAGATGAATTCATATAAAGGGAGACAAGAGTTATAACAAATAACCTACTATTAGCAATAGATATATCGCCGAAGTCCAATGCCAGAAAATAAGGAATTGTTGCAATCCGTCTTAGTGATGTCAGTTGGATTCAAATTGGACATACAAGGTCCCTTTATTTCAAAATTATTTATTTTATTAGCTATATTTATTAGCTATTGACAAGACAATGAAATGCTGAATATTTTCACTTCATCTGGACTGGATCTTTTTAATTATATAAAGCTAATGTGAATACGCATTTCTAAACCATACAGTGTTTTTCCTTTCAGAAACCATTAGGTTTATTTTACCTTATTGATGAAGAGTCGAGTTTACCAAGAGCTAATGATAAAAGCCTGGTTCAGAAATTAGAAAATATTTGTGGTTCCTCTCCACATTATAAAACAGTACCAGGAGATCAAGCTGCTTTTACCATATCACATTATGCTGGAAAGGTATTGAATCCCTAATATTTGATTTTTAACCTTACTGAATTCTTTTACTAGGTGGTGTACAAAACAACATGACCACTATTAAATAAAACAAAAAAAATAAGTTCCATTCTGCCTGATGAGTTCAGTACCATACTGCATTAAATATCGTATTTAAACTTAACTGACGTCACTTTTTACACTTCACAAATCATCACATTTTCTAGGTGTCATACTGTGCCAAAGGAATGGTTGAGAAGAATAGAGATTCTATAAGCCAGAATGTTCTAGATTGTTTATTAAAGAGTTCTAATGATATGGTTCAGATGCTGTTTTCACCTTCACAGCAAGAGATGGGATCCTGTTCAAGGTATGTCTTAGTTTGATTTGAAAAAAGATCCATGGTAATGGTAAATTTAACTGATTAAATTCCTCTTAATTAACCTCGATTTTGGCTGTGACTATTACACATTTCAGTTTCGTGTTGATGTATTCGGTTCTCATTGACCACCAACAATACTAAATGATAAGAAATGAAACCTAAGAAGTTGAACACTTACATCACCAGTGATAGTAAAAAATGGTTGCATGTTTTACAATTTGAATAATATTCGATTCGAAAAATAATTATACTATTTATTGTAGGGCATTCGGAGCAACTCTTTTAAAACCACAAGCTCCATCTCGTCCAGTTATTGAAATAACCGATGGGGATAAAAGTATATCAAAAGCCACAGCAGAGAAGCTAAAACGAAAAAGGTTAGTATTTTGTTTATACAATTTTTGAATGTGGTATTGCAGACTTTTTCAATACCTGGAAATTAAATACAACATTAAACATGTGAAATTGATTAATCAAACTATTTATGTAATCTTCCAGCCTCAATAAAAGTAATAACGGATCTGAAATTCAAACCAAATCATTTGTTTCAAGATATTTTCGGGTAAGTTACCATTATCAAATAGACTTTGGCAGCAAGACAAACCTTTGTATTTTAAAAAAAGACAATTGTACACCAATAAAACTATTCGCTGAGAGAAATGAGTTTTGGATTGTCATTTGATGCAGGATATCGTCAACACAAGTCGTCAGAAGGTTACGATCTTATTGGAAATGATTAGGAAGCTTATGAAGCCATCATATTTATTTATGTCAATAGCATATGAAGAGCTCGTAGGCTACTACCAATGTTTCGCCAATATGATGTTTTGGATTTTGGGTTTTGTATTGCAGTTTGGATCGTTAGTATTAGTTCATTTATGATTATTATTTTCAGAAATCTTTAGATGATTTGATGACGAAGATTTCATCTGTTAACCCTTGGTTTGTCAGGTATGTTTGAGTTTGTATCACAAAGTAAAAAACCGATATGTACAATCAATAATCTAAAGTCCACAAAAAAGTGACAAAAAAAGAGAAGTAGACTTGAAATGAGTCCAATTATCCGGGAGCATTCAAAAGAGATATGAATGTCGAAGCCATTTGTCCACGCAAGGAGTAAATGTTTCCTTTCAGAGCACTGCGGCCACCAAGATAGCATCTCTGTCTGACTTCATTCACAAGACAATTTCATACGTACGACAATCTGGGTCGTTATTTCTCTAGTATTATATTTTGGATAATCTAATTTGAATTGATTTATCAATGTGATATACATGTATCAATTTGCAGATGTGTTCGTCCAAATTCAAAGAATCGTGCCAACAGTTTTGATGCCGAACTTGTTATGAACCAATTGAGATGTAATGGATTATTAGAAATTACCAAGATACGGCGAGATGGATTTGCTATCAGGATACCAGTTCAGGATTTCGTTAAAAGGTATTCTGTGGGGAAGGATTGTTGCATTCCTATTATTGTACTAGTATTACACAGTCTTTTGATAGTGTACATGCTTATGGTATTATCACATATTATGCTTCGGCTTTCTGGCTAGAATAAACTAGAATGAAAAAAAAATTGTAGTAGTCAAATATTATTATTTATTTCATATAATTTTTTGATTTTTATTTAAGCTATCGAGAAATTTGTTACAAAGCAAAAGAAGTATTACCAGATCCATGGCAGGCGGCACAAAAAATTATGCAAGTGGCAAAGGCTAAAGATTACGTTTTTGGTCATACGAAGGTAAGTTTTAATCTGACCTGTAGCTAGTCCGAAACACCTGCCTCTATTCCAGCCACTGATGGATATTTTGACAGTAGTTTGGAGTAGAGTCAGAAGAAAAAGATTTTCCACACCTCCAAAGATGCGTTTTCTCTAACATAATATTGAATTAAGATGATTGTAAATTAGTGTTGGGTATCACCGTAACTTGCGTTTTGTTAGTATCAGTATCACGTGACTCCGCGACCTTTGAACTTTTGGCTGCGCACGCAGTTTTCAATGGCCGATATTAGATCAGTTTCGTACAAAAAAAATTTGATGGAACCGGAGACATGTCATTGATGGTGTAGGAGGGAAATTATGGTGTGACTGAACTACAAAAATATCCATCTTTCCAATTATCCATTTGATCTAAAGATTGTTTTAGTTATGGGCCCCGGTGTATTTTAACCAGTGCTTCGGGTACATTTCGGTAGGAACTGTCCACAACTTATTATTGGCGTATTAAGTCAACAGCCTTTGGCCACATAAAAGCAAAAATACATCTGGTTTCAATCTACAGGTATTCCTTCGACACTGGCATGGACCACTGCTCAATAATACATTGGAAAGAATCAAGAGAGAGGAGCGCGAGGCAGAGCAAAGAAAACGAGCTGCTTTGGAAAAGAAATTAACTGTTATCAAATCACCAGAGCCATCAGCCATAGTTGCTTCAACAACAGAATCTAAATCTGTGGTCAAAGTTAAAGACTGGATTCAACTCAATGAAAAAGAATTCACAGAAAAGGAAGATTTAAATCGGTCATCGTCATATATCAAGAGCATTGTGGCCGATGAAATGAACATATCATTCTCATCTTGTTCTATTACGGTTAGTTCATTGTGACTTTGGAATATTGAATATTAACTTATGTACTGCACATTCTGTCAGCGTTCCTAATACGAATGAAACTAATCAGTGTGATAAAAATCATAATCATAATACTTTGATATATATGGCTATATGATTGGTCGGAATGATTAGATTAATAAGTATGTCGAAATACAGTTTCTAGCAATAATTTGTTTTCATAAATAATTTGTTACTTGCATTGCAACTATAGGCGATCTTATGTGCTTTCTTTGATGTTATCAATTTTTCTTTTTAAAGATAATGTTAAAATAATTTTTTGACCAGAATATATTTGAAAGAATTCAGTGATTGGACATAATCCGCGATAAATAGAGTACATAATAATGATGATTGCTTTTGACGAATGAATTTACATCTTCTCACACTTCAGGAAAAGAATGATCTAGATGAAGATGAATGTTTTGAACCGTAAGTACAACACTTCTTATTTTCGAGTTGAACGCTTATGCACTGTATCCTAGAAATCTAGGGAGACAGTGAAAAGAAAAACAAATTCGTAAATGTTTTTGCGGAACTTTATGTTTTACCGTATTATCGAATTTATTTCAGATAGGCAAAAGCAGAAGGTAAGAGCAACAGCAATACATAATTATAATCACCTTTCCATTTGGATATGTAACATCTAACACGAATATGTTTTATTTTCAGTCGTTCCTGGGATAGATTCCAAAAAATACCTCGAGATAGAATTGATCAAAGAGATACTTTTAGGACATTCCTGAAATGTTGTAAGATAATTTGCTATCAAGCCTTATTTATAACCGTATTAGGTTCGGCTGTGGTCAGTAAATTGTCACTATTAACTATGACATCGGGGATAGTTCGGGTAATATAATTATATCATTTCTATCTAATAGCAAAGTTTGGTTAGCACATAACGAACTTTTTTCAAAAATCGATTTTCTTGAGAATAACATTATATGGAAATGTTTCAAACACAATTTTCTTTACAGTATGGTATTATTAATGTTCAAAAAATACTTTTTGGATACTGGTATTACCATACAGGATGCGAAATGAAAATGAAACGGCGTTTTGTGTCCCTTATTATAGTTTTCTAGCTAAAGAAGAACACGAGTTACTCATGGTTTGGATTTAACCTTATTCTGTTGAAACCGCCAAGAAATTGTGAAATCAAACCACCCTAATTAGTGGTCCTGTTTGTTTCAGGAACTTGGAAATAACGATGCCAATCCAACCCATACGATGTTATTGATCAGTGTATGCTTTCCATATTTCTGCTGGATATTTGCATACACATTTAAATCATTATTTGGAAGCACTGGGTGGCCTTCAATAACTATGACTATAATTGTAAGTATTACTGATTAAAGGTTTCACGAAAAGAGAAGAAATTCTGAATGATTTTCAGACTGACGTTCTTCTTTGCCTCTTAATTCGATGCAGCAACAGCAGATCCTGTATCATATCAAGCATTTGAAGATCTTTGACTTTTTACGTGCACAAGTTATAGATAAAGGGCATCATATGTTCGTCCCATCTGTACGTTTGGTCTGAGTGAACTAATAGCTCACTGGCCTGGATTCGTCGTCCCATTTGTTATTTTACCCCATACCTTATAAAAAATAGAAAATGGTATGAACTGAAGAGCTTTAAACTCTTGAGACTAAAGATTATTCAATCTGAGCTCAAAATGGGTACTGTGTCGGGTGTCGCTAAGCAGGGCATGATCACCCTGCCTACCAAAACACCTTGTAACATTGTGACCTTGCTCTAATTTCATATGAATTATGCTTATGAATCTTTTTTCGTAATTTCAGACTTTAATTTTGGAGCTACTTCACAGTTTTGGATTATGTCTTCTGCTATTTCGAATCTTACCCAAAGTCGATATATTTGGCGCTTTGATAATATTATCTTCTGTGTCAGCAATACCGTCAATATTGCAGATGTTCTGGTCATTTAAGGTTAAAACTATGCCATATAAGAAAAAAGTGTTAGGGAGTATCTTACACAGTGTCGCCGCCTTTTTTCAAGTAGGCTGTATTGTTATGACCATATTTTTAGGAGTTTTGTTTAAACAAACTGATAAAGATGCAATGAAAGAGTATGTTGTTGGAGATCTTAAAGCTAATACTGTGGTCAACAATGCGGTTGTCTTCTTTCGTGGATCAGTTTCATGGGAACTTCCGGTATCATTGTTTCTAATTTCATTGGGATATTGGGAGAATTTTATGGATGGTGATATTGCTATAGGGCGAGTTAAATTGCCATTCATATCATGGATTAAAACTCTTCATGTTGTTAGACAAAGACTCTATACATTTGTAGGGGTTTGGAAAATTGGTTGCTCTTTCCTGTTTGCGATGCTGTTAGTTGATGATTTTAGATTTAGTTTAAGTTTCGATTCAGCTCATACATCTCAATCAAAAGCGAACATGACAGAAATAGAAACGTTTTTTGACCATGCTGAGCAGTTTGGACCTTTGTATCTTCATCTTGTATCGGCATGGATCTGCTCCTACGTTTCCGGTCTAGCTTGTAAATTGTGTATGCAGTTGTTTGGTTTTTCACTTCCGCTTTCTCTGGTCACACCTGTTTCTGCAACTGTTATCATTTTACAATGTCGGTATAATTTCATACCTGAATCGGCTAACTTCTATTTTTGGATTTGTCCAACTACTGACGACGAATTGGTAATATATCACTACATTCTACTGGGAATATCGTGGCTGTCCCAGATTATCATCAATGCTCATATCTGGTTTCCACAGTCCGATAGAATGTCAAAAGTTGAAAGGTAAGTCATTTGAGTAGTTTATTGTATCGGTATTGTACGCAGATTGGATCTGTTAAATTTGGATTTATTAAAAGCCCAAAAGTACATGTTCATTTCGGATCTTGCTTCACCACAATGAAAAACATATCAGGAAATGTTACTTGCTTTAATATGGCACGGAATTAATTTCTGACCTTACATACTGTTTTGTATTTCAGGCTATTTGTATCACCAACACGATGTGTTCTAACAGATCAATCTCTGTTGATGAGAAGAAGACGATGGGAGAAAGGAACATTCCTCTACCAATACGGTGATGATGAAAGTGAATTCTACGAAATGTCTCAAAGAAATGAAAGCGTTCCAAAAATCTATGCTTGTGCTACCATGTGGCATGAAACTAGAAATGAAATGACACAACTTCTGAAGTCTATATTCAGGTACCAATAATCAGAATTGAAATTGTCTACATACATCCACTAGTAAGGAGAGAAAATCCTTTGTACCACGAATATGACTTTGCCTTGTTTGGGAATATCTGGTAATTAAGACAGGATTTTTAAGTTTTGCTGTTTATAGCACCAAAACACTTTTTTAAGTGAAGGACCATGAAGGAATGAAGGTGACCAGGCAGTTTCTAGATTAGTGAAGGTTTATTTTGCATTTCAGAATGGATATTGATCACAGTGCTCGTTTTCTGGCACAAAAATATTACCAAATCCACGATCCCGATTATTATGAATTTGAAGGTATGTGTATTATGTATTATAACATTTAAATTAATCTACCTCGGAGTTATAATGATACTGCTGTGGAACTTTGTGAAAAGGTTAGTGTAAATGAGATAAATGATTATGTTACGAACTTTCTTTGTGGATTCTGATAGAGTAATTTCATGATATCACAATAATGTATTAACAAAGAAAGTAGTATTGTATTAACTGATTTCCTATACACATTTTCAGCACATATTTTCTTTGATGACGCTATGGCTTTAGATGCAAACAATACATTATTACCGAATACATTTGTTAGAGATTTGGTGGATTGTCTTGATGAAGCACTAAGGTGGGTAACACTATGTTTATGCCACTTAAAATATTATGTTATTCAAACCATCTTGGATAATTTATGTTAAAGCGACCTATGATATATTCTGCTAGCCCGACAAATCTGGTCCTACCCGTTTCTCGGACGTTATACATTAATGGGATATCGGCACGTTCAGGGCCAGACGTGAGATGTCACCCTGTATGGTAGTTTCTCCAACGAACTTTTAGGTCGCTAGTTTTGCACCATGTTTAAAGCCTAAAACATAAACTTTGGTATCTATACAAAACTGAACCACTAATGAGTCCATCAAGACCGGATTACCGGAGATTCTATAATTCCCTAAAAGGGCCGATATCCCAGTGGTACATCATGTCCAATGAACTTGTAGGGGCAGATTTGTCGTGCTGATGACTTTACATATTATTATTTATATATACATTGTAATTAATTTAAATGTAACATGGTTTAAAGTTTACTTTGATAAAGGTTATCGCGATTTAAAAGATATTTGATTACTCATACCTATTTGATTTGCACTCTCAATTGATTTATCACTTAAACTTCCTTTGAATTCAGTGTATAGGTGTACATCGAAACAGGTTATGAATAATCAGTTAATCTAAAATATTACCTACTGTTAAATAATGCATGTTTGACTTGAAATCATCTCTACACTCTTGGTCTATTTCAGTTCGGTTCATGAAAGACAAATATCACTTGGCCCACCTAAGAGGACACCCACTCCTTATGGCGGAAGATTTACATGGGATTTACCCGGTGCCACTAGCTTAGTTGTCCATCTAAAAGACAAACACAAAATAAGACACAAAAAGCGATGGTCACAGGTAAGATGTCACATTCCTACTGGTATTCATAAATCATAACAAAAAATACTTCTTACAATGCTTTCTTAGACTTGTAAATCAGTGCTGGTTTTGTTTTTATTTACGTTATTTGCAACTTGAGAAATCAGTCGATCATTACTTTCTAAGTACAATGAATTATTCTCTTATTTAAGGTGATGTACATGTATTATTTATTGGGATTTAAACTATTGGCTGAATCTGAGACAGGTCACGAGAAAGCATCTGATATAACAGATGATCAAGTTAGATTAACAGATTCTCAACTTCGCAGACGACGTCGTTCAGCTCATTTTACTCGTAGTGTATTATTTAATTATGTACCAGAAGAAGTTCAGACAGAGGTAATATATTTACATTATACGAGATATAAATTATACAAACCGAAAATTGTAAAATACAAAAAATCTTGCTCTGCACTCCCAGAATCACAGTTTACTTGTATATGAAACTTCACTGGCTAAGTTCTTTTGACACTGTTTGTTTATGCTTCAACTCTTTCTTGCAAGAGTTTCATTTTTTTGTTCACACCTCACATATAAAATCTTTAAAATGCATTTTACATGAAACTTACATTTAATTTCTTTCAGGCTGAAAACACATTCATTCTTACATTAGATGGTGACGTTGATTTCAAACCGGATGCAGTGAGATTACTTGTTGACAGAATGAAGAAGAATAAGAAAGTTGGTGCTGCTTGTGGACGAATTCATCCTATTGGATCAGGTAACGATAAAATATATTCAAAAAATGTCGGTTATAAACTAAAATCATGGATTCTTTGGGATATTATTTTGAAAAATATTCTCTTTGTTTACAGGTCCTATGGTTTGGTATCAACAATTTGAATACGCCATTGGCCATTGGTTACAAAAAGCTACTGAACATGTTTTCGGTTGTGTTTTGTGTGCACCAGGATGCTTTAGTTTGTTTCGCGGGTCAGCTTTAATGGATGACAATGTGGCAAGGCTCTACACCACCCGAGCCACAGAGGCCGGGGAATATGTTCAATATGATCAAGGTATGGTACGCTCTATGTTTACGCACATGAGAAAATCTGATTTAGTATGCAATATTTACAATCCATTATAATTAAAAATTCGAAACATTGTGATACATAGCTAATATGCGCCCTTTTTCAGGTGAGGATCGATGGCTGAGCACATTACTACTTCAACAAGGACATAGAATAGATTATTGTGCTGCAGCAGATGCTCTAACACATGCTCCTGAAACATTTTCAGAATTTTTTAATCAACGAAGGCGATGGGGACCATCTACATTAGCCAACATCATTGACTTGTTAGGGGAATGGAAGAATACCGTGCGCATAAATGACAACATCAGTACCCTTTATACAATATATCAGATTACCTTATTGGCCTCTACAGTTCTTGGGCCAGCGACAGTCTTATTGATGATGGCAGGAGCGTATACCGTAGTCTTCAAAACAACCATTCTACAGTCTTATACATTGGCCATCGTTCCTGTAATTTTCTACATTGTTTTATGTATGTATAGTAAGGCAGAAACTCAACTGACTGTTGGGGCTATAATGAGCGCGATATACGCTGTAACAATGACAGTTGTTCTTGTCGGTACAGTCGGAACAGCAGTAGAAGGATCAATAACTAGCCCGAACGTAATATTTATGATAATGTTAGCTGCTGTATTTTTTATAGCGGCTTTAATGCACCCTGAAGAGTTCACGTGTGTTATACCCGGTGTTTTGTATTTCATTTGTATCCCGGCTGGTTATCTGGTTCTCACTACTTACTTCCTCTGTAATTTAAACATCGTATCATGGGGTACCAGAGAGGTTCCGGTGCGCAAAACAAAAGAAGATATTGAAAGAGAGTGGAAGGATCAAGCAGCCAAAGCGGCATCAAGAAGGAAAAAGAACTTTTTGGGGTGGTTGGGATTTGAATCGATTTTGAAAGAAATAGCTGAAATATTTAAGCAAATTAAAGGAATCACTTTAGATAAAGTAAATGACAAACCAAACAAATCTTCAACTGATATTTTATTGGAGGAACTAATAAAGGAAATAAAAATTGATCGAAAAAGTCGCACTCCTGCCAAAACTGTGTCTGTACCAACACCTAATGGTAATATGCATGCTATTCCACTAAGTATTCAGTCTTCAGTCGCGGATTCTGTGGTTATTTCTGAAAGTAAACCAGAAGTGAAAAAAACTAGCACAAGTACGATTGCTGAAGAATCTGTTAAAGATGAGTCATGGATATCTGGTGAAACGTTTGGAGATGGACCTATGATATTTTTAGATGCTAGAGAAAATAGATTTTGGGAGCAACTTATTAAAAAGTATTTATATCCAATAAACGAGGATAAGGAGCATCAAGAGAAAATAGCGTCAGATTTAAAATCTTTAAGGAATAATGTTGTGTTCGGTTTCTTTATGGTTAGCTCGTTGTGGGTAGCATTATCGATGCAATTGGAAGTACTGCAAGGGGAATTACAGCATTATCTTTTCTTTCAAATCCCAAGATTAACTCCTGATGACAAACCTTTAACATTCCAGCCTCTTGGTATGATGTTTCTTGTTTTTTTCGCCTGTATCTTGTTTATTCAGTTTGTAGGCATGTTCGTCCATAGATGGGGAACAATGCTTCATGTTCTGTCTATCACTGACGTAGGATTTGGGCAGAAGTTCAATGAAAAGGATAAGATTAGAGAAACTATCATGAGAGTGATTGAGCTGCAGAAAGTAAGAAATATTGAACATGAACCCGAACCTGACTATGATGAACCACTACCTGATTATGAGACTGGAGAAGGTGATGGAATGGCAGAGGAAATTAGTATACATAGTGGGGAGGACTCGGTTACAGTTCCCCCCTCATATCATACTGATGATAACTTTATATTTGACTTCCCAAGACGAACTATGAGAAATGCACGAAAGCGCCAACGAATATTTAACAGTCATGGAAATCCCACAGGTAGGATTACTAGTGTTAAATAACACATTTTCATTGAATTTAGTTAACTAGGGGTGTTTTGATGTCATATCTTATGCTACACCGTAGTGCAAATCAGCTAATTTTTGAGAATTATGCACTGATATCACAGTTCCTTACTCCGAGATTAAAGGAACTAAATCTTTTTTATGAAAAATATGATCGAACCCGTAACTCATTGCAAATTAAAGCGAACTGTGAATGCTATTATATTGAAATGACGTTATTTGAATTTTTTCAACCTAATTTATCAATTGGGTATTCTAAAATAAGTATGTGCAACCAGACCGGATTGAACCTAGATTTCATAAATTCAACATAAAAGACCAACGAATGATTCCATTCTAAATGGAATTTAAAACAATGTTATTATCATGCGTCTATATTTTATTGCAGCTCGTGCTTTAGAATTAGCATTTGAAAAGCGGTACAGAAATCAACTGGGACGAGAGAAGTATGAAGGTACAGACAGTAGAAGATTAAGTCACATATCCGAAGAAGATTTATTTAACGTACCAATGCCAGACTACTTAGAAGTGTAAAATTATGTTCAATTGGGATCCGTCGACAAGCACAGATGCTAAAACTTTTGTTAAGAAACTCTCAGTACATCAATACATTGTCGGTAATCAAAAGGAACTTGATTTAAGTTTGACGCGCCCTTGGTGGACTGGTGATTTTTGGTTGAGCACTTTCATTTGAACATCTTGAATAACCCATTAGATTGAACAAATTTCCAAAATCTCTTTGTTCTAGAGGATGTTTTAAAAGTGATGATTTCTCAAAATGATATTAGTTATACATAAATATTGTTCATTTGTACATACTTAAATTAATTACTATTATTTATTGGGGCTTTGTATGGATATTTGTTTATTTATGTTTATGTATTTTCGTTAATGTACTAAATGTAGTGTCCAAAAAACTAACGCAAGTGGATTTGAAGGCTCAAATTTCGGAGGAAGGTGCAGGATCTGAATTTATCCAGCTATACTCATTTTTTTCTCCTTTGCCTCTATTGCTATTTTAGAAAAAAATCTTCTAAACTAACAACTATATCTTATATCTTATGAACTATCCATGATAGTATTTTGCACATGCATTTTGTATCAACTGAATATCAAATTCGTACGGAGAGAGTTTAACAATGTGTTTCAGTCTATGAAAATGCCAGCCCATAAGAATATATTTGTAAATATGACTCTACAATCTGAATTTTCAGTCTGATAAAGAAAAGACGCTAACTCAGCTTTTCGGTTTTGGACAGTCCGCCCCCCCCCCCCTTCTACCCCCCCTTTCAAGTTTCGTATCAGGGAGTAAATTGCCTGTGAGTCCCACTAACAATTCCGTGGCCCCTACTCAACACCCTACCTAATGGTTCATTCAAACGCCACTGGAAAGACAACTAAGCACATCCCAAAATGGCATTCACTTCCCAAGACAAATGATCAAGGGGCAATGAACTATCAATAAATAATACTTCTTATTGCTCTATATTTGGTTTAGAAGTTCGTGTCTTAGCCAGTCCCGAGAAACTCAATATGGATGTTTATAGCTTCAGAGGATTGTGCTTGGGATAGTGCCAATTTTTTTCTCTGGTCAGATTATTATCATGATATTTATTGTAAGAAAAGAAATGCACATTTTGATAATTATCTTTTTAATAAAATAACTAAAATGGAATTAAATGAAATGCATTGAGGTTCATTAGCACTAAAACGGGCTGAGTAGCTCCTGGACGCATAAAAGTATGAAGTCTAAAAATAAAAATAAAGGTATGAAAACATAGATTAAAATTGCCGTGTGCCCTGGAGACTGTAAAAAGGCGTCTCAGCAACTCGAGGTTGTTGACAATGACGCAATGATGTCTCCTTTGCAACACGTGAAAAACTTAAAATAGTCGAGTCATTTAACACAGACAATATTTGTCTTCATCTGTTTCACAAGGAAACCCAGCCTTACATTTCATACATAGGTCTCTTTTGTGTGGTATACGTGTGTTGATATGACGATCTCGATTATCATTATCACACTCACAGTCTACTGCGTCACAGTATCGACATCGCAGACGTTCAATTTCATACGGATCATTGATCCAACGGCATCTGCGACATTTTTGTCCATAAGCTGCCTAAAATAAGAAAAAAAAATTATATAAACGCTCAGTTCTATGTCACAAATATACACATATTCCAATCCAATAATCACTGTATTTCCACAATACAGGCCTCACGAATGTGGTCATAGTCGAGAGAATATATTCGTGAACAAAACATTAAGGGGATACGCTAATACCCGTAAATCCATAATATCGATAATATCTGCATATGAGAAGATTAATAACCACCTAAAAGTGATGGAAGTCTAAATTGGGGTTTTATAGTTTATAACCTTATATTTACAAGAAATGGACATGGACTCATCAAATACCCCCATTTCACCAAGGATTGTTTTTTTTTAATCGGCCCGATTTGTACCAGATTGTCCTCGATGATTTATTTTTTTGATAGTCTCAATTGCCGTCATGAATCGCCTCAAACCGTCCACTTTTTGACCCGATTGAGTCCCGACCACTAGATTATTGCGGAATGACGAATCACAGACGTTACTCGAGCTATAGATTCTGCAAAGGCCCGGTAGAGACCCACTTCTCACCGCAAGTGAGCGATCTTCCCACGTTCTTCGGCCGAGTCGAGAGTTTCCAAATGTAGCGTAGGGAGCCAAAGGAAACCGAAAGTAAACGATCTCCGGACGTTCTTCGGTCGTTCAAATTTTCTCAGGAAATTTTTGGGCCCGATAGTACCGACCATTTTTTGGGCGATCGGCCGCATTTTTCCGCAAAAAAATTCGGGAACCTGCGAACACTATCGAGCACTACCTTATACCTCCGAGGGTCGAGTATCGCAAAAGCTATCGGCTTCTAATTATAAACATGCTGAAAAAAAAACAAATTCGATCAAAACCGTCGTCCCGTGGTCGTCCGAGGTTCACTTTATCGCGCCCGCACTCTTAAGCATTCGGTTTAACCTCTAGCCCTCTCAAGCGAGGCACGTAGAAGGGCTCGACCCTCACTGGTTATTCGGATGGGACTTGTGACCGCAAATGTTCATTAGTGCCCGATCACCCCCGCAGGTAGCCGACCTTCGTGCCGAAGTGTGCCAAAATATCGAGTTTTAATTCAAGGCGTCAACATACGCCTCCATTCGGTCACTCTCGCGTAAAGAACAGTGGAAGAACGGCAAATATCGGCAAGCTAAGCGGGTTCTATGTCGAACTGGGGTCGTCAATTTCTGACCTATCTTAACCTGACAAAGCGCGAAGATCGCTCACTCGTTCACGAAAAGCGGGTCTCCATCGGGCCTTTTGGGTTCTACCTTCGGATACTTGCGCGTACTTTCACGTATAGCCGATCACATTTCTGTACCAGATCTTCCCCCGAATGTATAGGTCAGTGCTCGATAATGCTCGCAGGTTCACGACTGGAATACTTCTTGTCTTTCCAGTGACCTATGAGGAGTAACGATTGCTTTAAAAATGCTCACCTGCTCTTCGTCGTAGTTCCATACATATACTTGGGAACTCTCCCACATATTATTACAACGGTCACATTCAAAGTAGCCATATCTTCGAAGCAAAACAGGATTTCGCCTTCTTCCCCTGCTTCTTCGGCCCATTTCGTACTTTATTTATGCATCAAGTCTACTGTTAGGTTGCAGCACCACGTAGTATATTTAGTTTATCTCCATAATAATACCCTTATATAAACCAGTTTGACTGCTTACGTGGCAATCAATCATATATACGGGAATTTCCACGTTAAAAATAGACGTGATTAAAAGTATTTCTGGATTTTCCGATTGCTATTAATAATTGATGTTGTATTACAAAATAAGTAGACAATGCACACACAAAAATCAATTCAATTAAACGATTAAGCTGCACTATATGGAATGCAGCACCTGATTATGATAATAGTAAAAAAGAAATCAAGCTACCAGAGGTAATGTTATAAAAATAAATAACATATAGTAATGGAGTGTACCATTGTCTCCAGCAAGTATGCGTAGCTCACTAGGTCACTAGTTTGAGCACTCTGGCATGGTACGATGAAACCATATATGTGGGATCATCTGAGGTGGCTCTATAGCCAAATCTTAATATGAAAAATGTTCCTTCTTTAGTCCATCTTTAAAATGGCCCAATTCTTAGGATAATTTGAGAGATTAGGGTAACGAATTCCAAATTATACTAGCCCTAATTTTATTTATTTTTTATTTAACCGTTCTTTTCATAGCCTCGAGACGGCATTTAGGAATGTGCAAAGAATTGTCCCCACCTTTGAGAGAAATTCGCCCGCGCATTGAAAATTGAAAAATATAATTATGGCAAACCAAACCATTAACACTGCTACTTGCATAATACAAAACAATAATGTAAACATATAAAATATGATTAGAATATGTCTTCAAAATAGTCAGACCCCATCCCATACTAAAATGGCCATAACTCCGCCAATTTTGGCCCTAGAGGTATAATTTTGGTGTCAAACGAAAGCTTATCATATCCTGCGTCCATTTCGGCAGAAATGTGGAATTTCATCAAACTTCCGAGAACATCGACTTTGAAGTATCACACCTATTTTGTAGAGGAAAAGCCCCCGAAAGATGTTTGCTGATAGTCTCCTGGATTAAAAGTGCTATAGCAGGCTGTCTATGCACGACAGAAACTTGAAATTTAAAACGGAAGAATTTTACATGTGTGTCCTTATGTAGGCAAAATTCCATCTTTACATCTCTGATAGTTTTCCAATGGTAATCTGACACAAGTTTGTGTTTTTCTTTAACCTGTGCCACAAGAAAGTCTATTTGTCTATAAGTATAGGTTAATGGCCGAAAGCAGTCCAATAAGTTCAATAATGATCGTATAACAAGGACCGAAGGTCCTCGTGTTACGTCATTATTGAACGCATTGGACTTCTTGAGGACCATTAACCTACTTACAATACAGATTACACAAACAGTAACATCTACTCATGCACGTGAAATATTACAGGTCACATGAAATCAACTCACGTGCCATAACATACACAATAATTTAGAAACGTTTTCAAGATGTCCGGTCATGAGTTATCAAAATTATTCTTGTTCCAGGTAAATAATATTCATATTTTATCGCTTCGTCATTCATTTCAATGTTCAATGATTAGGAGTGGCAAAACGATAAGCGATATCGATTATTATATAAATACAAGCACATTCAGGGTATATTCTTTAAGTGATTATTATTTTGTTAGGTATCTTGTTACATACCATTTTACCCGAGATGACCTGCCCTAAATACGTTTGAAAAGACATCTCCGATCGATATGTTATGCCACATTATTGCATATCATCTTATATATTATGACTACTTTCTGACGACAGTAAGCCCAAAATCGAATATATTTTCTCCCATTTCACGTGTAGTCCTATCCATAATATTATAAATTTTCAATAACATTGTCTTGAAATGTCTTTGTGTTCATAGAAATGTAATTTTTGGAAATTTCATATTTGAAAAAAAACAGGTCCATTAATTTTCGGTGAAACTGACTTAGATTTCGGAACTGAAAATTTCCCCCCATATTTTCAACTATTGTCTGAGCAAATTGAAGTTTTTTTTGAATGTTTTTGATCTTTTTTAAGAGAATTAGAATATCAGCCTCAAAATAGTACTGCTAGTCTTAGAATGTGTTTGCGTTGATAAGTTTACATTGAAAAAAAACACATTTCCTTCCTAGAAATGTCAACCCTCAAAAGTCACAAATTTTGGCAGAAAATGGGCCTCTGTAAAAGAAAATTTTGAAGACATAATGTGTGTAGTCCCAACATTTACACAAATAAAAAAAAACTTTCTAACTTTATCAATAAAGCAGCACTACAAATCCAGCTAAATACTAAAACTTAAACGAAAATAAAAACTATAAAAACTGAAAAAAATTACTTAAAACTGCGTTCACTCAAAACAGATCTGGAAACAGTGACTTACACAATGAGGGTAGCATTTCCAACACCACTTTCTGGTGACATTATAATAAAGTCAGCCGGTAACACAGATCTAGCTACATCAGCACGCAGCCTGTTGATTGAAGCTATCTCGGTCTGGTGTGACATCACATAGTCGGTATATTTTGATGGTAACCTAGTCTCTCTTGCAGATCTTCTTGGTGGTGCTTCTGGAGACAGATCTGTTGCTGAAATCTCAATTCCCGGGACTGTAGTAGTCACTTCATCCGTGGACGCTGATGGCGATTCTTCTGTAGACTCTGATTCCGGTTCTGATGTCACTGGTCTCACTACATCATCCTGGACTGGAATGTCTTCAGGCCCGGCAATCAGATCTATAACTGACTCAGATGTTCCGGTAGAGCTAGCTGTGGTCGGGTAATCCGTCCACTCCACTATTATCACCTGGTCCTCATCACTTTCCTCAGATTCCTCTACCCCTCTACCCCAACTGATTTAGCTAGATCTGTGTTACCAGCTGACTTTATTACAATGTCACCAGATAGGTTAAAAGTGCTGTTGGAAATGCTACCCTCATTGTGTAAGTCACTGTTTCCAGATCTGTTTTTATTTTGAGTAAACGCAGTTTTAAGTAATTTTTTCAGTTTTTATAGTTTTGTATTTTCGTTTAAGTTTTAGTATTTAGTTGGATTTGTAGTGCTGATTTATTGATTAAGGTAGATAGTTTTTATTATTTGTGTGAAAATTTTGGGACAACATTTCCCGAAGAAGAGGAGGATGTTGAAGGGTTAAAATATATGTATAATTGTAATTAATTATTTTCGGTCACTTTATTAATCTAACAGCCAGTTAAAGTCACACTTCACTGTTTCTATTTCTTTCCTATAACTTTCTCTGTCTCTGAGTTTTCATCACTGAAAGAAAGTGGATATTTAGGATAATTATTATATATTGAATCTCCTTCAATATTATAAGGAATTTGTGGATTTAGTGTTTTGCATATTTGGATTCTCTTTTAAGAGGTATGTTGTATTTAATAGTTTTATAGTTCTACTTTTTGTTTACCCTAGTTACCAATTGTCGACCATCTTGGTTCTAAATAGTTTAAAGTCTTTGCATACATTACATTTAATTATTACAATGCTTTCTTATACATTCACTTCAGCATTACTTTACATTCTATAAATATTCTTTTATTCTTTCATTTCCAGATATCTAGCTCCTGGTAAGGTATATCACTTTAACCCTGCTAGTTTAGTTTAAAACCCCTTTATAGAGTAGGTTTGTTTATATTTTATTAAGCTCGTTTACATTGTCCCTAGTGTGTGGGTAAATAGAGCCCATATATTTCATATGGTCCAGGTGTCAATGTTTTCATATTATATAAAACGATTGTCATTTTAGTTAAAAGTATTGAGATTCTATTTTTATACGCCCACATGAATATGTGGTCGTATATTGTCGTTGCCTCTCTCCGTCGGTCCGTCAACATTTCTAGTGAGCACTATAGAGACTAGAGTTTTCATCTGATTTTTATAAAACTTGGTGTGATGCTTTAGAATGATAAGATCTCGGTCAAGTTCTAATTTGACGCATTTTCGATGAACGGTTTTTGAGTTATTGCCCTTGACTTTGTAAAAACGCATCAAAATTTGTTAAAAATAGTTCGTGAGCAGGATTGAACCTACAGTTTTCAACCGATTCTGATGAAATCGGTGTGATCATTGGAATTGATAAGATCTTGGACAAGTTCTAACTTTCGATATTGCCCTTGACTTTGTTAAACACGTCGAAATTTGTTTAAAAATTTAGTATAGAAGTAATAGAGTGAAACCATAAAGGGTATAACGATAACAAAAATGATTAAACAGATAATTAACAATAGATTAACAATGATTAAAGGTTTACAGGTTAACAAAGGATTATGCACAGAAAAATAATGAGATAGGAAGATAGAGGGTTTTAATGAAACCATTTAAAGAGCAAAGATAATAAGAAGTGATTAATTGATTAAAACGGAAATATTTTGGACAGTAAATAATATGATATATTATGTCCATGCAGGCCTAAAAATCGTCAAAATCTAGGAGAATTCTGATAGACTCCCACTAAGGCAGTCTGCGAGATTCCTTCGAATGCTGTACTAGAATTTAAATTAGTATACATAGTGGGGAGGAATCGATTACAGTTTCCCCTTATATACTGATGATAACTCTATATTTGACTTCCGAAGACGAACTATAAGAAACATATACATGTGTATTTAACAGTCATTTGCCAACTTAAAAAAAAGGGTTTGCAGCCCCCAATTGTACCTTCACTTTATTTTAACAAATTTGAAAAAATGATTTTTATATGTTTTTATGTAACAAAATGCACAAATATTTCTTAAAATATGTTCTTGGATGAACCCTCTGAGACGCTCCATGTCACCTCCACATGTTGTTTGATTCAACCTCGACAGTTGTCCCCCCCCCCATCAAGTCAGTGTACCCCCTATTTGCACCCCAGTCTCAAGAAGCTGACGCGACCACTGAATAGAAGACCAACGCAGGGTTCAATTGTAATAATTACATAAAAGATGAAATCTAAAAAAGATTTATTTAACGTACCAATGCCAGACTACTCAGGTAACTGAGTCTGAGTGAATAGCAAACAGTGGTCATTCTGGTCAGGCATTTTATGGTGGATTAATTGCACCAGTCAGCTGCTATATTTTGATTATACGTAACGAAAAATAAGGTTAT